CCAACTTTATTGATTACGTGTTTAAAGTACTTTCTTGGGCTAAGCTTTAAAATTTTTATAAATTTTCATCAAAATATTAGATAGCAATATTTTTTCAATAAACATAAATATTTCTATTACACTATTGAATTTTACTAGTGTAATTATAACAGGTTTTTAATTACCTCAAATAAAAGTTACATTGTTTTTTTTCCAAATTTTGTTTACTTTAATAAGTAATTCAAATATGTAAAGGATAATTAAGAATTTTGGTCTAAATTAACAAAAAATACGAATAAAATTTAATTAATGTATTGTTTAATTTTGAGAAACGTAAAACGAGAATGTTCTAATTACCAGCAATGGTCTTTTCTGGAACATTCAATGCTTGTAATTATTTTAATAGGTAGCATTTTACTGAGAAACTATAATAAGACAACTTGAGTAATGAGTAATGAGGACTTCGGTTCCCTCTGTATTTTGTACCGTATGTTCCATGGGGAGTGCTCTGAGGAATTGTTCGAGATGATACCGGCATCTCGTTTTTACCATCGCACCGCCCGCCACCGGAGTAGAGTTCATCCATACTATCTGGAGCCACTGCGGTCATCCACAGTGCGTTTCCAGAGGTCTTTTTTGCCACGTACCATCCGGCTATGGAATGAGCTCCCCTCCACGGTGTTTCCTGAGCGCTATGACATGTCCTTCTTCAAACGAGGCTTGTGGAGAGTATTAAGCGGTAGGCAGCGGCTTGGCTCTGCCCCTGGCATTGCTGAAGTCCATAGGCGACGGTAACCACTCACCATCAGGTGGGCCGTGTGCTCGTCTGCCTACAAGGGCAATAAAAAAAAAAAAATCCTTTGAGTGGGGTTAAAATCGACTACGTGCTTTACAGGTGCAGTAGTTTTCTTCATATTCAAAAATTTTAGTATAAAATTGAAAGTAAAGTGAAGCGATTGAATTTAATCAAAACACCGAATATTTTAAAAACTATTGTCACTGGTCGTGGAATAGATACCTTTAATTGATAAAAGAAATTAAAAATAATCGCAAACACTTACTAAGATGGTCGAAAATTCTGATTTGGACTAAGACACTATATATGTATGTATGTATGTGTGTATGTATGTATGTATATGTGCTTGTGTATATATGTATGTATATACTTTTTTTTTTGTGTATGTTTTTGTAACTTAATATAAATTTCATTGCACCTACCACTATTCGCTCTGCACTACCTTTGGTTGACTGGTAGAGAATGCCTTAGGCATTAAGTCCGCCAATGTAAATTTTACATGAAGTGTAATAAATAAATATAAATAAAAACTATAGTCGTATAAGTATTTGAAATATCCGTAGTTAATGAAAACATTATCGCCACATAGTTACGAAAATATTTTAATTTGCACCTTAATCTTCCAACGCTTTTAAATAAAACTACTTTTCTCAATTTACTATATTTAATCGAGGATTACTTAACTCAAGAAGCTTCCTATAACACGAAGATTATAGATTCGCAACGTCAGAAATAATAGTATAATGATAATTTAAAAAAAACAGAGATTAAACCGTAAATATAGTATTTTATGTCTGCGACTAAAACCGAAGACAATACACAATTCTTATTACGTCTGAAAATTTAAAAAAAATCTCAAGACGTTAACATTTTCGTTGTACGTCTATTACGGCTCCCGCTTAACAGCAATTGGACCTTGGTCGTCTGCTCTTCTAATAATAATAACACATGATTTAAAATTGAATCATCAATTAATTGAATATGCAATTTCGAAAAGGGCACATGTCGCATATTTTGTCAAATACGTTTTTTCATATATACTAGTGGACCCGGCGAACTTTGTTCCGCCACACGGTTTGTTTCAAACACACCAACCGGTCAACTTCAAAATTCTACTATAATTAACCATAGAATATATTACGTTTAGCTGTCAGTTGCGTTTTGTTATACCACGTTTTATGTCACGTCCCACGGGAATATGATAAAGTATCCTATGTCCTTCTCCTGGCTCTAAGCTACCTCCTCACCAATTTTCAGCCAAATCAGTTCAGCCGTTCTTGAGTTATAAATGGTGTAACTAACACGACTTTCTTTTATATAAATAGATATAGATGTCATGTAGTTTTGAGGCTTACCTACACCCATTTTATAATAGTTCCAGTAATTTTCAATTGATAATTAACACTAAAATATATCTCAAAGGCTAATATATTAAATTTTACACTGCTTTAGAAAATAATCAGTTTTTTTTTCATTTCCTGAACATTTTACATTTTCAGAGATGTGCCCTTTTCGAAATTGCATATTCAATTATTTAAATCCATTTTTTTTTTGGGGTACAATAATCCACTTTAATGCGTAAAAATGCTTTCGTAACAGCTAAAAGTAAAAGTCGCTTTGAATTCGATCAGCAGGGTCGTTGAACTCCGCCTAGTATAGCCAATGAATTTTGAAGGATACAGACAGGGGTTTAGCAATATGAATATGTTTTGAATATTTAAGGCACCGTGTGCATACGGTACTGGAGGCTTTCGTGTTATGAAATTATGGGCGCTCGTAAGCATTTTAGGTTATACTGGTGGTAGGGCGTCTTGTGATCCCACATAGGTGGGCACCATTAGCACCGTTGTTGTACCGTAAAAACGGAGCCTTAGGAGTCATGTCTCAAGTTGGGCAGCAGTAACGGTTTCCACGAATTGTTGTCTTCCCTACAATTTTTATTTAACCAAATGTTGTCCTAAATTTTGACCTTGAAGTGAAGGCTTCATTCAACTTCACCTTTTTTTTTGTTCTGATTAAAAACAAAAAAACATGGTTTATTTGTATGTGTAGGTTAAATTATCAAAGCTATTTAAGGTCGTGACTTTGTCATCTATTGTTTAAATACATAATACGTCCTACACAGGTATGTCATTAGTCGTTTGTAGAATACTGATATTCGTTCGACGGACGTGACGCACGAAACTGACGATGTATAGGTACAGTCCCCGCCGATTATTATTGGGAAGAGAAAATCGGGTAATTTCGGCTTCGTATAGCATTATCTCTGTCGCTCACTACTCTCTCTCTCTCTCTCTCTTCTTGGCTATTTATCTTACACGGTGGTAAGGTCAGCTTTCCTCATTCTACTCCTCCGCTCTGTCTTATACATCCTCGTCAGCAACATTGCATCCCCTTTTGTCCTTTAACACTATATTTTTCCACCTTGTGTTGGATCTTCATCTAGATCTATTGTTCACTACGTATTTGAGATTTATAATTAGTAGTGTTAGATACTAACAGATTCAAGACTATTAGTATTTCGTTCTTTGTCTAAGAACTATTGCCTAAGGACTAAGGACTTTGACTAAGTTCTAAGGACTATTAGTATTTCGTTCTTTGTCGTTCGGGTGTGCAACATTTATGGCCCGGTACTGTACCCGCTCCATTTCAATTGGACGAGGAATCGCGTGCTGTTTTCAATTATGTATTTAGAAGTATTGGATGAGCTATCGTGCTTCGGCAGAAAACACATTACGATGTTCGCAATGTTATTTGGCTGAATTAAACTGACAGTATTAAGTAGGCTCTCAGATTATTGGGTTCTCATAGTCATAATTGTAAAGATATTTGAGGACTCTTATCGCGTTTTTTTTATTGTATTTTATGCTTTGAGTAATTGTTGATTCTTCAAATTTAATATTATAAGGCAATGACCACGAAAATCATTTATCTATGATAAACTACAAGTTAGTATAGAATTACATAACCTACAGTATTTTTATATTTTTTTATCTTGTTCAATAGCGTTAGAAACATGTGTCAAAGGTATATTGGAAGGTTAAAGCGTCTTGTGAACTTGCACGGGTAGGTGCCACCACCCTGCCTATTTCTGCCGTGTGATGCAGTCGTGTCTCATGCATTTCTTGATGATGTCATTGACGTCTGCTCCTGTAACCATTTAACACCGGGTAGACCGTGAGCTCGTTTACACATTTAAGCAATAAACGTATAAGAACATAATTAAAACTATTTTTACAGCTTAATCTGGAGTATATGTTATAAATTTATTCTATTTTATTTATTTTCTATGTATTTTATAATTATTATTTCAGTTTCCGTAGTCACCACCGGCGACTGAGGTTCTTTTTGTTGACATTTGAATATGATATGTAATAAAATGATAATTTAAACGCGCGAAACTAAACTGTAAACGCGGTTATAATTACGTAATCTTATTTTGAAATTTTCTCTACTAAGTTTGTTTGCACTTTTAATTGCATATTCGCGTGCAGTTTCTAAGGTAAACATCTATCTATTAAATATTTACGCAGTGACTATTTAGTTAGACTACGAAAACCGGAAAGACAACAATTTTTGAAGACTAAATCGACAGTTGATCGTTTGCTTGATAATTCATCTAAACGGAATGTGTTAAAGATTTCTAAGTTGTCAAAAAAAAAAGTTGAAAAACAAGTTGAAAAAAAAACTATTTGCGTGAAACCCTTGATTTTAAGTGCGAATAAAAACTGTATTATTATTCACAATTGATACACGGTTTTATGCATAATGCATACAGTAATTTCATTACACACTTGAGCGATGACCTTAATGTTATAAAAAAGGACTTTTTTTTTATTGCTTAGATGTGTGGACGAGCTCATAGCCCACCTGGTGTTAAGTGGTTACTTTGTTTTACTATTGTTTGTTTGGCTATTATGCAAGCTCAGCCTCGGATACTCCTTCATCTGTAATAACAAAATCTTCACCTTTCTCCTAAGTCACTAAATATAATTCATAAATTAATTGTTATTTTCCTGGATTTGTAAAATCGTCCTGTGCTTTTTTAACGCGTCACAATTAGGCCTTTCGTTCTGATGGACGGGGTGGCTGTAATTGTAATTGGGACTAAGCCTTGGTCTAATTCAGTCGTGGTTCCTATGTACTCCGCTTAGCACCCCATGCGTCGTGAACTCCACCCATACGTGCCAGTAAACGGATTAATTTTAGCTATTAATTTTTTCAGATGACATTCTCTTGCTTCGATTTCTGAGCAGCGCAAAGTACAGCTTGGAAAAGGCCAAGAAGACCATAGACCTGTTCTTCACCGTCCGCTCTAATGCGCCGGAGCTGTTCTGTAAGAGAGATCCCTGGGCACCCGAGATCAAACGGATCTTTGATGTCACGTGAGTATTTTAATCTGGTTATTTTTACTGATGGTAGGACTTCTTGGGAGTCCACACGGGTAGGTACCACCACCCTGCCTATTTCTGCCGTGAAGCAGTTTTGCGTTTCGGTTTGAAGGGTGGGGCAGCTGTTCTAACTATACTTGAGACCTAAGAACTTATATCTCAAGGTGGGTGGCGCATTTACGTTGTAGATGTCTATGGGCTCCAGTAACCACTTAACACCAGGTGGGCTGTGAGCTCGTCCGCACATCTAAGCAATAAAAAAATAAAATAAAAAATCAACAGTTACTCTCAATTATGTGTCCTTCTATAGCTTCAAACCATTAAAACTATCACCAATAGAGATTCATTTAATATAATTTACATGGGGATTCGAGAAAGAAAAAACTGAGTTATCACTAAAACTTCCTAATTCGAATACACTGGAATCGATATCGAATCGAAAAATGTCAGTGAATCGTTAATTTCCAAGCACATATTAATTAATCGACTAGTTATCTAAATCCTTACATAGCATTTAAGGGAATGGTCTAGAATCTTAATGCGTTTTTGATGATTTACTATTATTTGTACTAAAGATGTCAAATGGGAATATTATTTACGGCTTAATCTACGCATAAGCAAGATAATAGTTCACTGAACTCATCGACATTAATGCTCTTGAGTAAAAATTCATAAAACCTAATGCTTTCTTCATTGCAATACAGTTTTGAGTTCACGATCTATCTGCGGCTATGACCAGAGACTATAGACATCAGAAACATGATTATTGCAGCCCACCCTAAGGTGTCGAATTCTTGAATTCTTTGGTGGCGTCTCAACTTTCAAACCGGAATGCATGTTACTTTGCGGCAGAAATAGTAGGGCGGTTGTACCCACACGGGTCCACAATACCTCCTACTCCTACTACTTCTAGTACAAGGATGACCAAACTCCTGCTACTTATATTTTGTTAGGGTTTCCGCGAGCCCAAAACGTAGTCAGAATTCGTTTTAAACTAGCATTTAATATTTTAGTTGTACAATTTTCGTTCTACGAATATTTCAATGTGTCGCAGTATCGTTAGTCTAAACAAGATAAAAAAAAATATATTTCTCAACTCTTATTGTTCCATTGATTTGTTTGAATTATAAAATGAGCACTAAGTCGTAACATATTAGACTTGTATAACATTAAATGTTGACGCTTTCACAGCGACATGCTACCTCTGCCGAACAAAACGAAAGAGAACTACAAAGTGTTCATATATCGTCTGAGCACCACGGATCTGGATCTGTTCAACTTCGTAGACGCCGTTAAGACTTTCTTCATGCTGGCCGATACGAGGCTGACGGAGGACCAGGACGTTCCCGCCGGAGAAGTCCCGATATTCGACTCTGCTAACGTGACTTTGAAGTTCATCGGGAAAATCAATCTCTCGGCGCTTAGAAAATATATGATTTACACACAGGTTCGTATTTTTCTATTGAAGACTAGCTGACCCGGCAGACTTCGTAGTGCCTCAATCGATAAATAAAAGAACTAAACTTTTGTATGAAATAAACTTAAAACAAACAAAAGGAATCCGTCCGACGGGGGACACATCGAAGGGAAAACAAAATGCATTTTCATATTTATCTACCTTTTAAACCTTCTCTGGACTTCCACAAATAATTCAAGACCAAAATTAACCAAATCGGTTCAGCCGCTCTCGAGTTTTAGCGAGACTAAAGAACAGGAATTAATTTTTATATATACCTATATATAGATAGATAAACATTTTCGTCTTCCTTCGTGACAGATAAATGGGCAGACGGGTATATTTACTGGTGGTAAGACCTCTTGTGAGTACACACGGGTAGGTACCACCACCCTGCCTATTTCTGCCGTGAAGCAGTAATGCGTTTCGGTTTGAAGGGTGGGGCAGCCGTTGTAATTATTTGAAACCTAAGAACTTATATCTCAAGGTGGGTTGCGCATTTACATGTAGATGTCTATGGGGTCCGGTAACCACTTAACACCATGTGGGCTGTGCGCTCGTCCGCCTATCTGTGCAACAAATATAAAATAAAAAACGTTAGGTTTTATATTTACCAAAAACAAAAAAAAATACGGATTATTAATTTAATATCGAATTGTAAACATAAATAGACATTTTACAAACGCGACTGAATAATGTTATATAAACTATAAGAAAGTTTCACAACTAAAAAGTTTTAGTTACTCAACAATTTTTTTTACGAATCAAACGGCCAAGAATTCGAAATGATCGACTTGAAACATAATATGATACTAAAGCGTTTTATTCATTTCTTAACTGTCACTTACGATAAACACCGGTTTTGTTTACAAGACTTACCGGTGATTTCGTAAAGGGACCTTGATTTACAATGTAAATCCTAGAGTGACGCTAGATCGAAATGTATGTCAATGACCTCTGGGTCAGTTAACTGGCTATCATTTATAAATCGTATAACCGTTTTGTTCATCTGTATTATTCGCTTCGACACAGTGAAGTCCTATCGCGAGCATTACACACTTATTCACATTAAGTATGGCTTAAGGAAAATTAGGTTTTGTCCTCGACCGCGGGTGGGATCATACGTACGTGACACCATCGACTCACGACTGAGCCGATGTAATCTTATATATAAAATTCTCGTGTCACAATGTTAGTTACCATACTCCTCCGAAACGGTTTGACCGATTTTTATGAAATTTTATATGCATTTTTAGTAGGTCTGTGAATCGGCTACTATCTATTTTTCATATCCTTAAGTGATAAGGGTTGTCCACCCCTAATATTTATTTTTTGGACGTTTTTTTTTGTGATTATGTATTATGTGTTTGAATGAGGTTTTGTTATTTTTATATTCCCTCATCGTTCACAACGCTACATGCCGCTTTCACTCATTTACCCACATCCTTACACAATTACACTAAGTTAGTTATTTTTTTTCTACAGTAGAAATTCTCTAGAAATCTTATATATGGCAAAACAACGTTTGCCGGGTCAGCTAGTAATAATATATAATTTGTAAACACTTTTTGTTCATTTGTCTGTGCATTTTTTTTAACCCTCTAAAATATTTGCGTGCGTTTTTTATAAATCTACGCTTCGGCTAACATTTACTGGTCGTTTCATGTAAATTGAATCCAAAACAAAGAGTTGCGTATTAATTTTGAATTGCGCCTTTTAATGTTCTTATTTCATACTCATGCATATTTACTACTTTTATGTAGGCAATAAAATGTTTCCATATAGTGCGAAAAAAACGCTGGGGTAACCGCCACTTCATTTTACTTCAATATTATTTATGAACGAAACAGAATTGTGGCATGACGAAAGCCATAATTATTGTGTATCCAACTATATGTTGATATCAAAAGATGTTGCGTTAATTTAATATTTAATAAGCTGTTCTGTTATAACACTAAATTAATTTAGATATGTATTTAATAAGTTGTTCTCTTTCCACACTAATGTAATTTTGTTAGTGGGTCATGATTCCGATCCGATGGTAGATTCGGAGAAGCACTGCTCTGTTATCTAATACTCTCGGGCTGAGTCTGTGAGCTCGTCTAACTGTCCAAGCTGAAATAGCTCCTTAGGTTATTAGCGATTAGGTAGAAAATTATATTATTATATAAGCGAAATGTTGCTAAGTTGTATGTCTTCGCAAAGAACTTTGTGCTGCCGCATTGACGTTTCATAAATTACCGGTTATCGTCCTCGTCGAACCCGTCGCTTGCGACGAAGGGCTCGACGAATAAATTAACCCTCAGACACAGCTCACTGAGTTTCTCGCCGGATCTTCTCAGTGGGTCGCGTTTCCGATCCGGTGGTAGATTCTGCGAAGCACGGCTCTTGCTAGGGCTCGTGTTAGCAACGTCATCAGGTTTGAGCCCCGTCAGCTCACCTACTAGTTAAAGCTACGCTGATATAGCCTCTCAAGGCTCTCAGCTTAGATAGGAAAAAAAATCGGTTGTCTATAAAGTCGGTTTACTGACGATAGTTGAACGTGACAACGTCATAAGAAAATACTGATGGAATTGTTTCATTTTTCAATTATCGCAATTATCGTTGCTATAAACAATTGACACCACATTCACTTTTCATTGAACGTCATACTCGCATCACTCACTCAAGTAGGAGAGAGACAGATGTCGAACACTGCCGAACGCGGAGGCCGATTGTGCCTCTTTGTCCCTCGTTGCGCGCTCTCGCTTGCACTTCAAGCCTTAAATGGAACGCCTCAGAGCGAGGTAACGGCGCATGAGTCATGTTTTTTCGTGCGTGCAGCCGGCTCCATAGAATTACAAGACGATGTCACGTAAAAAAATAAATTAGAAATTAACTACCTAATTTCGAAACGCATCATTTTAGGATAGAGAAATTCGTTGACTAGAATACATTTTTACGCAACAAATCATGAAATAAGAATATGAACTGGCTCAAAAATCGCGTCAGTCGCTCAGAGTACATCGTGCGTCTTACATATTAGGCCACGGACGCTTTAACAACATTCTCCGTATAAAATAATACTTTTGTAGCCTTTCACAAAAAACATATTTTATTTGACGTAAAATATTAATAACTCTTCCACGCACGTTAGGATGATGAAAGATACATCACACACACACATTCGCGAATTGGTGTTATTGATGAGATTTACAAAACAAAAGCCACGACCTTTTGTTTAGCTATTATTTTAATTGAATAGGAATAATATTTGATTGTATGTATATGCAATAAAAAACATTAATAGAAATGTATTACATTTCTGTGAAAGAACCTCCCTCTCATGCCAGCCTTTTATTATTTCACAACTACCCTCAACTGCTTAGATGGGTACATGAACTCGCTATCCACCAGGTGTTAAGTGGTTACCAGTGTTCTTAGTGCGAGTTTTCCCTACGTTTGCTGCTAGGGGAGCTGTTCCAGATCCCTCTTCGGCTACTCAGCGAAGAAAGCGGGGTGGGCGACGCGGGCACGACGCTCCCGTTAATCTCCCGTAGGGACTGTTAGGTACCGGGTGCGGGGGCGCCCGGTGCTCTGCTGTCGGTTCCGTCGGTGAGGCGGCGCAAGGTGGCTCCTGTGCGCCGCTCACGGTGTGTCTCCCGAGACGACGTCCTGCGGGATCTTCGTGGGGATGGAATCCCGTCCTATTGTCGGGACGGGTACCGGCGACGGCGAGCCTTCGGCGTGCACTGTGCGGTACCGTAGGTTTCGTGGAGTCGGAGTGGTGGAGCTCGATGGGGTTTAGTCGGTAGTCGGTTTGCGGGGCGGGTCCTGCGTGGTAGACGCTGCGCAGCGCCTCGCGCGCCTTTCTCAAGGCGTAGTCTCCCGGTAGGAATTGGAAGAAGAGAAGGACTTTGGTCTTCCTCTTCTCCCTCTTCTTTGGAGGCGCCGGAGTCCGACTTAACCCGGTCTGTTACCCCTCTCGACCGGGTATACGTAAATGAATTCCCCAGCGTTAAAAAAAAAAGGGGCGCTGTTCCAACTCCATACAAATTAGAGTTAACTTTTACGCTATCGAGAACGTTAAAAAACTCGCAATTAACACACAGAGGCCACTCATCTTGAGTCTTACGGTCCATGTTTCAATTGTAATTACGCATATTCTATTTTTGCGGATTTAATTGTTATTACACGGTGCTATTATTTTTCGTTAACGCTACGTGGAATAGTGCATAAAACCATCCATGAACGCAATCTGCAAAATTAATGTACGGTGATTATAACAAATGGCAGCCTTGAGTTTTTTGTGTAATATTCGCTTCGTGTAAAAAATGCACTTTAAGACAAAGCAATATGAAACGTAAATTACCTATTATAGCTTGGTTAAATTTTAGCAACACGCCAAAACAATTGTATTTGGAACGTTTTACGATAATTTGTCTATAATTCGGACAAACAATTGTATTGGCTATTTTTAAATGTTTATTTGTTGTATTCGTGTAAATTAACAACAACATTATCGGAACTTAATAATAATACGTTTGGACTTAACAGTCAAAATAAACACATTAGGTATTCCAATTCGTCTACAATTATTGTCACTAAATTTCACTAATTCTGAAATGTCATATATTATCTTCGGTCTTTTTTCGTGAATCGGACACGCAACTACTTTAAGGTTTAATCTTGCGTTTTTTATGCTAATTATATTATTTCCAACACATCGACTATTGGTACATTTTTCACGTAGCCTCAATCACTGAATACCGAAACTAATATTTTTATTGCACAGATTGGCAGATGAGCTCACGAGCCACCTGGTGTTAAGTGTTAATCTTAACCCATAGACATCAACCATGTAAATGCCCCCACACATCTTGAGACACAAGTTCTAAATCTCAGTTCTTACACTACAACGGCTGCCTCACCCTTCAAACCGAAACGCATTACTGCTTCACGGCAGAAATAGGCAGGGTGGTGGTACCTACACGTGCTGGTTTACAAGATGCCCTACAACCAGTATTAACGTAAAAGTGGTTTTAATTATTTAATCATTTATTTGTTTACAGGAAGCGATGCCCATACGACTGAAGCAAGTACACGTGATCAATGCTCCTTCGTATATCGGCAAATTGTACGCCATCTGCAAACCCTTCCTCAAGACTGAAGTCGCCAAACTGGTCAGTTATTGAACGTATTTCTTTTGATTAACACCTTGACCGCTACGCTGGTTATTTGTGGCATAACCTTTCTTCTGTGACGTCCCAGCGGTTATTGCTCACGAATTTCAAATTATAAAATTCGAATTTCGAAATTATAGAGAATCGTGTCTCTGGAATAAAGTTTGTAGTTTTCAATGTTGGTAGGACATACATATCTCCATGATTGGGTAAGGGCTGGCAATACTCATAAAAGAAAATGTTTTATTTAAATTTTTATATTTTATATTTAAATGCTTGTTTGATTGAAAACAAAGCGACATTTCGTAACAATTCGTATCCAATTACTTTTTCCAAGATTTGTCAAATTAAATTACATTAAACGCGCATTTTATTCGAAATTCAAAAACATTAAAAACGTGTGATTGTAATTGCGAAACCAAAAGACACACCGACAGTATTGATATTCGTGTTCTCCGCTCCACTTCTGCTCGAAGCAATATTTCGGTCCGGTTCGAAGGGTAGAGAACCTGTTATTCCAATGCCATCGAGATTTCGACCTTAAACACCTAAGTAGAGAGCAACGATTACTTTGCGCACCGGTAACAGTTTCAATTCATGTGGACCGTGGACTCGTTTGCCTGTCTGCGCCACTAATAAAAATCAATAATTTCGATACCTTAAGTTCGTGGCCTTACTTAATGATTAATGACTTTTAAAAAAAAACGATTCGAATGTTTTGAAATGTAAATTTGATCAACGCAAACCAGTCGTCATGGTGAAACAAGTTTGACAAGTTTTAAATTTGCATATATGAATTAAGAAATTTTAATGCTTGCCCTTCAGATGCTCGGATGCATTCAGATTAAGGTAATATTTAATGTGATATCTCTATGTTGCCTTATAATTTATGTTCTTCGTATTGGGAAACTAAAGAAAAGTGTCTTAATTGGCAATGAATGACACAAGTGTTAAACAGACCCCGACATTTAGATATCTTGTACAAAATGAATTATTTTACTTGGTAAGTTAGAACGATATTATATATAAATATATATGATATTTATATGGTAATTTTTTAATAATATTTCAATGAATGAATATACTCGGCCCAAAATACAACCGAATGTTGGTATGAAAATAGGATTTGAGAGCGATACCACCAAATTGAACAAATCCGCCAAAAACATATGTCGAATCAAATAATTACATCTTTTTTTTTGCATGTGTGGACGAGCTCACTGCCCACCTGGTGTTAAGTGGTTACTGGAGCCCATAGACATCTACAACGTAAATGCGCCACCCACCTTGAGATGTAAGTTCTAAGGTCTCAGTATAGTTACAACGGCTGCCCCACCCTTCAAACCGAAACGCATTACTGCTTCACGGCAGAAATAGGCAGGGTGGTGGTACCTACCCATCCGGACTCACAAGAGGCCCTACTACCAGTAATTACGCAGATTATAATTTTGCGGGTTTGATTTTTATTATATTACAATATTTTCTTCAGTTTCACTGAGTCGTAGATATAATTAAAACATTTTTTATTCTCGTTAATTGTTTTCCGACGTGTAGGACGAATACTCTACAGTTTCCGTGGCTGCGGAAGACTAAGGTGTTATTCGTCCACATATCATCATTCTCCTCCCGATCCATTAACGATGCTTTTAGGTACCACAAGCACCGGTCACCGTCCTCATCGAAGCCGTCCCTTGCGACGAAGGGCTCGACGAGTGAATTAACCCATAGACACAGGCCACTGAGTTTTTCACCGGATCTTCTCAGTGGGTCGCGTTTCCGATCCGGTGGTAGATTCCGCGAAGCACTGCTCTTGCTGGGGCCAGTGTTAGCAACACTCCGGCTTGAGCCCCGTGAGCTCATCTACAAGTTAGGGTGAAGCTGAAATAGCCTCTCAAGGCTATCAGCACAGATAAGAAGAAAAAAATAATCGTTTATATGTATATTGTTGCAACTAACGTCTATTTTTCTAGAAAAATTATTTCCAGAACATTACGTTTCATTTCACACAGAGCTAACTAACAGTATCTTGAGGTCTGGCCATTTGTTGGACTTCGGTTTTCATATTCACAATAAGAAAGTCGTAGCCAGCAATAGCTTACAAGTTACCACAACAACAGCATCCGATCGTTGACCTTTTAGTCTATCAGAAAAGGCTTATCGAGTAGAAAAAGGATATTATAAATAAAAGGTTATTCTCTTCGTTCGCGGCAGATATAGGCAGGATGTCAGTAACTAGCCGTTCGAGCTCACAAGACATCCTACCACAGGTAGTTAAAGATGTGACCTGATTTTTGCTCTCTAATTCATAACCTCCGTATTTTAAATACTGGTGATTTCTTTGTCTCGTATGAGAACAACTGCTTCGTCTCGTTCGTGGAGCAACTGCTCTTGAGTTGTTAGGTCTCCGTCGGAGGCGCTCGGGCAATTGTTAGCAAATCCCACCCCTCCTGGCTGAGCCTTTACTCGCCCACCTGTCCTGGTGAAACCGGAAAGGCCTCAGGGTCACCAGTAATCTTTCAATCATAAAAAAAGAGAACAACGTTTTGCGTGAAGCAGCTACGCAGCAGTAGAGGAGCGAGGGGGCAGCTGCATTAACTTTATTAAATCTTGCGGGCTCTGTTAATTGTTTCCAGCAAGCAACCCATTAATATCTCTGCGAGCAATAGACATCTAGATAAAATCGGCACGCTTTGTCACCTACCAAACATCCGTGGATCACTCGCTGGGCCAATCTAAAGATTTCCTGAAAAATTTCCAATCACAAACACACGCATTTTACCTTTGAATATGTAGTTAATCGATGAATATTATGAATAGAAGATTTAAATGAAACATTCTAAATTCGAATTAAGTTTATTTCAAAACTCTTTAATTTTGGACGAATGAAATTACTTTAAAATTCGAAAATAGCTTTGATTTGATTAGAGAAACAAAAATGTATTTTATTGTTGAAAATTCGCTTCTATGTTTTCTATTTCTTAATAACTGTTTTGTATTTTGAAGGTTTTGTGGTCTGAAAGTGATAGATACCTATTGGTAATAGTGTTCCTATTTTATGAATAGCCTCAGGTTCCGAAACGCTATGCCATGCGCATCACAAAATTTATCGGTCGATTCATACTTGCATGAGCAATAAATAATGGCTTAATGAATTGACCATCTTCTAAAGACTACCTGATGACTCAGCCGGAGTTAAATGGTTATCTGGTAGACAGTTACAACCAAAATTCTGTAATTTTAACTGTTTAACTGGTTACGTTCAGATTATAGACGTCGTGGCCTAAAGGATAAGTGGCCCGGTGTTCCCATTATCGAATGATTCGATTGTGCCGATGTTCGAACCCTAAGTTCCAGTAACAGCTATTCGCTGTTAATATATTATATAATTTTTATATATTTATAGATTAAATTTCACGAGCCGAACTCCGACACTCTATACAAAGACATTCCACAAGAAATACTGCCTTCAGACTACGGCGGCGAAGCTGGCTCCGTCGAACAAATCAAAAGGGAATGGATTAAAAAGATGGAAGCCAAAAGGTGAGCTATAACGTTACAGTCAGTGGTGGTTGTGTTAGTGGCGATAAGACTTCTTGCGAGGCTGCACGTGTAGGTACCACCCTGTCTATTTCTGCCGTGAAGAAGTGGGCAGTCATTCTACTATAAAACTGAGACTTACAACTCATATCTGAAGGTTTTTTTTCCCTAATCTGATAGCCTTGAGAGGCTATGTCAGCGTAACTGGGCGAGTAGGTGAGCTCTCGGGGCTCAAACCGGGAGTGTTGCTAACACTAACCTTAGCAAGTGCTTCGCAGAATCTATAACCGGATCAGAAACGCGACCCACTGAGATGATCCGCCCAGAAACTCAGTGGGCTATATGAAGGTGAATGACGGAATTAACATTGTTGATATCTATGGGCATCGCTTGCCACTCAACAGTAGAAGAATCAACTATAAAAACAATAACATTTTTGACATCCAATGAAATTATGTTAAACTAACTGACCCGTCAGACTTCGTAGTGCCTCAAACGATAAATAAAAGACCTAAACTTTTGTATAAAATAAACTTAAAACAAACAAAAGGAATCCGTCCAACGGGGGGCACATCAAAAGAAAAACAAAATTGTTATTTTTATTTAATTCCGAGCATTTTCATATTTATCTACCTTTTAAATCTTCTCTGGACTTCCACAAATAATTCAAGACCAAAATTAGCCAAATCGGTCCAACCACGGAATAGATAAATAAGGTACCTTATTTATCTATTCCGTGGGTCCAACCGTTCTCGAGTTTTAGCGAGACTAACGAACAGCAATTCATTTTTATACATATAGATTATCTATCGCTAAATGTTGAAGAAGGTGTGACGATTAGATTTTTTTTAGCGTAATTGATAACGTCGCCATCTTTTTCTAATTTCAGAGATTGGTTTTTAACTAACGATAAGCGCTGGGCGGTCGACGAATCTCAACGGCCCTCCAGTTGTCAGGACGCAAGAGTGGACAAACTCAAAGATCTACCGGGCTCGTTCAGATCGCTCGCTTTGGACTAATTATAATAGGATTAAACTCATAAGATTATTACATAAAGTACATTATATTTTTACGCGAAATGCACTGTGGGCGATTCAAAATGAAATTGTGACAAAACATCGTATGAACAACGAAAGAAGAAAATAAACGGGAAGCATGATTGAGAAGCGTATTAACAATTTTAGTTATAAATCCTCGTTGAGTGGTCGAAATTTCGACCTTAATCATTGATGCTTCAAGAGCTACATTCATTTACGTATTAAGTTTTATTTTCTGTTTGATGATACACATTTTTTCTAGCGTAGATAGGTAAAAACCATTTCCAATTATTATTTTTCGCAACTCGAAGCATAGTACAACAAAATTAAAAAGAATAATACAATAATAATAGTGCAATAATGTAAAAATGTGTTATATAGTACAATAGAAAAAGAATTAAATATATATTTAATAACATAATATGTATATGAGTCTACTATAGTTTACTATAATCTTCCTCGTCCACTTTTTGGGTATCATGGAGCTTAATTATATAAATACCTTCAAAATGATTATAAAGCTTAAAAACAGATTATTTAGTATTTACGATTATTTTAATCATACCTATTTTATTTTTATTAGTTACGTACAAAAGTAAGACGTTAAAACCATTTTATAATTCAATGGGAGGGTAGTTTCTAAAATATGTAAGTATATTAGATATGACTTTTTGGCGGGAACGCGAGGAGTGAAGTTGTGTGATTTGTTTTATTTTGTCTATTTAGTGTTTCTTCGGGTTTAAATGTGTAATAATGGTGGTTTATTAACTGTTTAATATCTGTGAAAGTGCACAAATGTTGACAAATGAAACAAAGCCGCTGGACGTAACTTCTCGGGATCCTCCAAAAAGTCCACTGAAAAAATCTTAGTAAATGACCACAATTTTACTGAGATTATATTTCATCCCATGTCATCTCATTTCATTTCATCCCCGTTGATTAATGTCTCTAATTAATCGTCTTCATTTCATTTCACTCCATAATATCATGTTTCATAAAAATATGAATATAAATTAAAATAAGACATGACTTAAAGGTCTCAGTTACCAGGTCATAAAACCTCTTAAAAAAAAGTATATTAGATATCCTTGCACGAGTTACGCAGTCGGTATAAATGTATGCTTGAGCAACATTATATTACAGACAAATTGGATTCTCCGTATATGTATGTACAAATAACTTTTCACAATTGTTTCGATAAAAATATTCCTGAAGGCGCTGTTTAATTGCAATTTATAAAATTCGCTCGTTGCTGTCTTAACTTAAGGTTGAAAATCGCTTATCACATTTAATTGTGCGCTTGATGTGCTCAACCGTTGATTCAATCGCGGGTTGAAATCTTCAAACATTCCAATGTCAATTTCATTAAAAATGAACTTTATGAAGATTATTTTTGTATACATTTTTAAATGTTTTCTCAATAAAACACTCCAAATTCTATCAACTGTTTTTTTTTTCATTTCAAATGTAAATTGCATCACTCTGTGATCAAACAATTTAATAAAATTTATCAATTAAAAAAAAAAATAACTGATAAATTTATATTTATATATATTATATATATACAAATATTTTTTATAGCAGGTGAAAAGAGAACAATTATAAAAAAAATGTCATTTATGACTACAATATGCGATTTATTTTAATCCTTAGTAAGTTCAGTAATGTAAAAATCAGTCACTAATAATTATTTGTGAATAAATAAAATGTGGTACGATTTTTTGTTTTTCCTACCTAAGGCAGCAAACTAGCACTAAGCACATAGGTCACGTTATTAACACTAGCCCTAGCAAGAGCAGCGCTTCGCAGAATCTACCAACGGGTCGGAAACGCGATTGTCCTTTTAAACGGTTTTATTAAACAAATGAAGTCACGATTTGTGTTCTTAAATCAATTTCTAAACTTCCAGCATAACTAAATGTAGCTTAAAAGCTACACATAAAAACACCTTTAAGGTCTTTTTTTATTCTGTTGGTTTTTATTCTGGTCAAGATACTATAGCGAAGCTATAAAATTATGTATTGTATTTTTATTGAAATCTAAGGCTATATATATTTTAGTTAAAATGTCGTATTGACGCATATTAACCTAGTGCTAAGATACAATTTCAAGTTTATACATCGAAATAGCTTTTTCGAAACGAAATAACAAGTACTATAATATAAAAAGCTTTGTGTAAAATTTTAGAGTATCCGGTGATAAACGTTACACAATTTTGCCTTCGTAGAGTGCTATCTCTGTCACACACTTCTTGTGTGACGTTTGACGTTGTTCTAGTGCAAGCGAGAAGTTAATCGATTGTCTCTTTCTAAAAGTCGATTTGCAATATTTATCGCCGTGTATTGTATTTATTTACGACTGCAGAATTTAATCAATATATACATATGTATGATTATTTATTTATAAATGCGATTTACAGTTTCGTGGGATCTAATGTACAACAAATAAACCGATCTATTTATTTTTTGAAAAATATCATAAAAGTAATCACTATTTACCTTTAATTAACATTACTTTAGTTAATACACATAAAAATTATCTCTCATCATAGTTATTGGTATGCAATTCTGTAAATATTAATCTATCGATAGACTTCTGAAAGATCCATTCATTGCGGTGTCGGCTCCTTTCGACTTCGCACGCTTCTTCATATCAGCTTTCCACAGATTATCATTCAAATACATGTCTCTGTAAAAATAAAAAAAAGGTTATAGCCCAAAAACACCACGTGACATAGACACATTTATAATTTCTTTAGTAATTTTTTAAACTATTCAAACTTCAACATTTTTATTTTATTATCAACCAATCAACGCTTAGGTACAGTTTACTCTTTAAGCTATAAGAATGAGACTAAGTTGATATTTACAAACGCGGCAATCACAAATACCTATATACGTACATAAAAGCTACCTCGTGGCTATGAAACAGGAGTGGATTAAATAAAAATATAAATTACGATGGACAATATGTATTACGTAATAAAGGCGGTATTACGTTGCGAAATTTTGTTGAATTACATTTTGTTACATAAAAGATTCAACTACGCACCGTCCGTCTCACCGTATTGTGTATGCTATCCAGCATTGTAATAAAAATCTGATTGAAGTCTGAATTGAAGCGTTAGAGACCGCAGCGTAAATATTTATACAACTAATAACTAGGAACAAATCACGCAAGGTCATCCGGCGAATGTTTGCCCGAATCGAACCGTGTGGGAATCGGACCCACGACCCTTAATGCAACGGTCAGGGCCGCTAACCACTGCGCCATCGATACAGTCGAGCTATTAATCGAGATTAAACCATAATGAATTCAAACAAGTTTCACAGTTTAATTTCGAGTTTTTAACTGTTAATGAATTATACCCGAAATTTTAAATAAATTTACCGTTTTCGTGGTCACGGTTGGCTAAGTTGTTATTAGTCGATATTTTTGATTATTCCTAACTACCGTCTTTTTTTATCTATACTAATATTATAAAGCTGAAGAGTTTGTTTGTTTGAACGCGCTAATTTCAGGAAATACTGGTCCAATTGGAAAAATTCTTTCAGTGTTAGATAGCCCATTTATCGAGGAAGGGTATAGGCTATATAACATCATGCTAAGACCAATGCAAGTAGAGCACCAATAAATAATGTTTCAAAATCGGGGCTTTAATCCCTTTTGAGAGCTTCCACTGCGTGCGCTGCGGAAACGGTTAAGGTTTCGCTAAAGTAATGTATTAGAGAATTGTTCCCCTTTAAAAGATCTAAAAAAAAGTTTGCGACAGCATATGTCTATATATGGACCGTTTATTTTGAAAGTGGTGTAAGTCCATTTTCTTTTGTTTCGAGAAAATTAAAGGTTACTATACTTGTTGATTTAAAAATATAGGCAAATCTTATGAGGTCTGGCTATGCCACCTACCTCTGTCAATTGGACTTACACCACTTTCATAATCGATGATTATGCAATTTCATTTACCGACCGATTTTAAGTTGAAAGAAATTAAACACGGACTAGTTATATATAAAAATTTACATTAAATTAAGCATGAATTACGTGATAGCTCATTTTTCTCAAAAATGGACTTACACCACTTTCAAAATAAACGGTCCATATTAAGGTTGGCTCACTATAACGTTTTTTGTGTTAAACAAATTTGTTCTAAAATAGAGAATTATTTGTGAACTGCTTCAAGCGGACGAAGTCGCGGGCAAAATCTAGTAAAAAATATTATTCCAGGGGTAGGCATGGTTTTTATGCTAATGCGGTTCGATTATTAAGATTTATTATTACCTGCTCTCTGTTATTATTTTAACCCATTTCTTTTGTTGATCCTTCATACTGGGAGCTTCTCCTCCCAACTCTACGGGGAGATACTTTTTATCAACATGCGCGTACAAGCCTTCGATTTCAAGATGAAATTTTATCTAAAATACAGAAAATTTCTTTTAATATTTTTTTTTATTGCTTAAATTTGTGGTCGAGCTCACAGCCCACCTGCTGTTAAGTGGTTACTAGTGCCCATAGACATCTACAACGTAAATGCGTCACCCACCTTGAGATATAAGTTCTAAGGTCTTAGTATAGTTACAACGACTACCCCACCCTTTAAACCGAAACGCATTACTGCTTCACGGTAGAAATAGTATTAATAAGTAAAAAGAGTATTAATAACGGGGTCGATAGAGCGGGTTACATTGAAAGGTGACACCAGAAGCAGCTCAAGCATTGTCCAGGATGATTTTTACATCTCATTTTATCATCGAAGCCCCTCTCACTAGAGCATAGTTCATGTATTCTATCTGGAGCCGCTGCGTTCATCCAAAGTGCGCTTCCAGAGATCTTTTTTGCCTACGCTCCGACTCTGGAATGACCTCCCCTCTGCGATATTTCCCGAACATCATAAAACATGTACTTCTTTAAACGAGACGACTTGGCTGTGCTCCTCGTATGGCTGAAGTAGCTTAATGTCGGATTGTGCAGCGGAAACCCCCACGAGACTTTCGGAACCTGAATAGCTGGATCTGAAGAAGATCTGTCTATTCTAGTAAAACAATGCTCTATTACGTTTACTTAATTAGCAGAGCAATATCCCGAAATGCACCTTGGCCACAAGTGGACCTACTTAGGGTATCAATCAGCCTTAGGTCATCAAACGAATCAAATAGGTATCAGATCCCACAACTTGAGAATCGTAACTTAAATTTAACACTAATCATACCAACGCTTATTGGTACCTATTTCTACCATAGCGGGTAAATAACGGTACACGACAAGTACTACTCAAAATAAACAAAACACAACAACAAAAATAGTATAATAAAAATAGTATAATAAAAAGCAAAGATATAATTAATAAATAAGAATAAATAAATAAATATTTAATAACTCAACTCTGTCAACTGGTCCCGTGCTAAGTTCGTAAAGAACTTGTGTTACAGGTACCAGATAACGGAAATAAATGTAAGATTTTTATTATACACGTACATATATTTAATATACATCCATAACCCTGGAAAAGACATTTATATTTATCATACAAATATCTTCCTTTGGCGGGATTCGAAACCGCGACCCCCTTGTGTCACTTATGTGTCACCGTGTCACTTACCACTACACCATACGACTGTTATGTTATATAAATGAAGTTAAATGTGCAATAGCATTAAGATGATACGTAGATCTTCAATGCAATAGTTCAAAATGGGTCATTTGACCCGTTATGGTTTGCTTAGTGTTAAATTATGTCTAAATCCATTCGATAAGTTAAAAAGTTATAGATCACCAAATGCTTCATTTAAATCAAACCCGTTACATACCATATCACAAATTTCTTGAGGCAGTACTGGCTTAACCAGTGAGAACAGTTTGTCGTAGTAGGCTGGGCTGTTGTAAACATGTATCTGTTTTATGCGAACTGGCATTGCCTCCTGAAATCAGTAATATACGAATTAAGGTTGCGATAAAATTTGGTAAATAATATTTTTTTAATTCGCTTTTGTTGGATGTTCAGTCAAAAGGCTTATTTATGCATATAGCTTACAATGTTACCGCCTTATCTTTTTTTTATGATTGAAGGATTACTGGTGGCCCGTAGGCCTTTCCAGTTTCACCAGGACAGGTGGGCGAGCAAAGGCTCAGCCAGGAGGGGTGGGATTTGCTAACAGCTACCCGAGCGCCTCCGAAGGAGACCTAACAACTCAAGAGCAACTGCTTCGCGAATGAATCTACTACCGGATCGGAATCGCGACCTGCTGAGAAGATCTGGCGAGAAACTCAGCGAGCTGATTCATGGGTTAGGTTGGATGGCGAACTCTTTGTCGAGTTCGACGAATACGGTTACCGGGGTCCCTAAGCCTGCTCCTAGTGTTAGAGCTGAAGGCGTCTAATGAAAAGGTTATTGGATCAGGTGGATCCGTAAGGACGTGGACCGCCTTATCTAGTTAATGAAGTAAACGTATTTTAAATTATCGCAATCGGATTGGGAGTTTCCCAACTATCTAATTCATTCAGAATGGCTCTTGCACGTAGTTTTTCTGATACTTCATCTCACCTGAGTATGAGTATTATGATCGATTATTTTTTGTATATATAAGTGCGTATTGTTATTATTTTCATTCAAGGCGCTTTGTAAAATTGACCTGGCCAATACAAGAAATAAAAACCTCGCCATTGTTTAGCTACTATGCACTGCTTCACGTCAGTGTGCTTAGTGCGAGTTTTTTAACGTTCTCGATAGCGTAAAAGTTAACTTAAAATTTGTGTGCAGTCGGAACAATGCCCCTTGCGGCAAACTTTCCAACTGCATACAAATCTCTTCTGAATATTATACAAAACATTAAACTGGATTTTCGCAACGTCCCATTAAAAATGTGATTTCTTAGGTTTCACATCAAGTGATTGTGTACAGGAGTTAAAACGATACTGATACCACAGATTCAATGACCGATACTTACAAGCAAATATACCAAGAACTGCTTAAAGAAAAATATATTGACACGGGACACTATCTTCAAATAGAAGTGTTTCGCGTCGATCAACACAATGTGTCCTCGTGGGAACAGAGGGATGTTGTTGAGCCAGTAGTCTGCTTGCATCGCGAATGTCTTCAATAGATCGTAGAATTCGAACCTCTCTAAATTAGGATCGTCGAGTTCATGTATCACAATTTCGTCTTCACCGGCTTCGTATGTGGTGACACTCCTGAAAAATCGGAAGAGATCTTTTGAAATCTTGAATCTACCAATATCTGGGTCTAACAAAATGGCTTCTTTCCGTTGATGGATAGAGTATGTTGTGGTCCTACCAGTGCTACTAAAAGGTGTCCTTAACGTGTGTGTTTCAAGACTTAAGATCAAATCAAATCAAATAAATAAATAAAAATTAAACATAAATGAAAGTACACACTTCTGGAACGTCAAAAGAACTATCGCCAATTCACAAAAACTAGCCCCCGTCCTGAGAAGAACTGGCAAGAAACTCAGCGGGCATGTCTTTTTTTTATTTTTTTATTATTTTTATTTTTTTATTAGATTTTTTTTTAATATTCCTTTTTCAAGATGTGTTATAACGTAACAATTATTGCAATATTGAAATGCCCGAAGCGAGCAAGTGATTCCCACTTTGTGCAATCTTCTAGATAATCATTGAATTTATAGTAAGCTTTATTGCACAGATGTTCTTTAATAGTTTTCTTAAACCTATGTATATGTAGGTTCTGAACATCTTGTGGGATTTTGTTGTACAGGCACACAGGCAGGCAATCAGGGATTCTTACCGATAATAAGGCATAGTATCGTCACACACGGCTAGGTAAACCTGTCATAAGTTTCAGTTAGAAGAATGGAACAGCTGGTATATATCTTTTATTGGTCTAGACCAGACCTTCCCAACCTTTTTTCGTTATCACGTGCACTTTTTTTAAGCTTTTCATTTATGAGTACCCCTTCCCTGATTATACACATTTGTAGAACTAGGCATAGAACTCCATACCTGCTCCTAAAAATGTGTCTCGTTTCTCTTAAGGCGTATCGGTCGGTAGGTTTCTATTAAGTCGTAAGTTATATGGTTCACATTCATTAAACTACATATTGTCGACATAATTCATTTTAATAATGGTTAAAAGTTGACTGTTTTATTTACTTAGTATTTACGCCATTATACTTTTCACGTAGATAAGCATACCACAGGTCACCCACAGCCTATTTTATGTATAAAGGGGTCATCTTTATTTCAATCCATTTGAAACTTAGACGTCTGGTCAATATTAAAGCCAGGAATTTCTTCACTTCTAAAAATAGCTGAGGAATATTGTGGAGTTTTAGGCGATGAATATCCACAATACGACTAATAGGTACCCCTTTGCCAGAATTATACACTTCGACATATTATTATGTAAGTCTTTACCCTTAGCAAGATCCGTACCAACGGACAAATCAGACAAATTGAACATGTATGTATGTATGTATGTATCAGACACACGATTTTCAGCAAACCGGTCTTAGACACGGAGCATAGCCGAGTTAACTCCGATCAAGCATTGAACGTCTATTATTTTTAATACATTTTGTGTGCATTTTGCTAACAAAATAAAAAAATCAAATACCTACTTTAATTATCATTGTAATCAATCTAATCCTTTGAGCATATTCGACCAGTTTAAAATTGTATTGGCTAGATAGATAAACTGCATTTTTTTCCTACCTAAGCTGATAGCCTTGAGAGGGCATTTCAGCGCAACCCTAACAAGTGGGTGAGCTCGCGGGGCTCAAACCTGATGACGTTGGTAACACTAACCCTAGAAAGAGCAGTGCTTCGCAGAATCTACCACTGAGAAGATCCGGTTTTCTGTTGTCCTCTCTACAATTAATTACTTACAACTTAAATCGATCACGTCTGTACTTGTTGGCTCTCTTGTAAACGTTTTGACATATTGTAAATTGTGTTATTAATATTCTAATCACTGAACTAGACAATGGCAATGAAAATTATCAATTAAAAATGAAATAAAGCTAGGAACAATACGATCTCTTCGGCGAAGAAGGATAAGATGACGTCAGAGTTCACATATAATATTAGGGCACCTTAATTCTGCACGCAAGAAAGGCATTGAATAATTTTATTAATTATTACTGATGGTGGGACCTCCTGTGAATCCGCACGGGTAGCTACCACCACCCCGCCTATTTCTGTCGTGAAGCAATATTGCGTTTCGACTTGAAGAGTGGGGCAGCCGTTGTACCTATACTGAGACCTTAGAACTTATATCTCAAGGTGGGTGGGGCATTTAATAATAATAATAATAAAGCCTTTTATTTCCCATCACCAAAGTATTACATGTAAATATTCTTAAATATATCGTAATATGATTTTTACATTTTGATCTATTTTCAGTTTTGTTTATTTGATTTGCGTACATCAAACTTTTTCTTCGATAGGAACCCCTATTTGGGTATAGGCCTCCTCCAGCTTAATCCAATTTTCTTTGTTCTTAGCTCTTTTCATCCATTATTTTCTTCTTTTGTTTTAGCTATNGGCGGGGCGGTGGTACCTACCCGTGCGGACTCACAAGAGGTCCTACCACCAGTAATTACGCAAATTATAATTTTGCGGGTTTCATTTTTATTACACGATGTTATTCCTTCACCGTGGAAGTCAATCGTGAACATTTGTTGAGTACGTATTTCATTAGAAAAATTGGTACCCGCCTGCGGGATTCGAACACCGGTGCATCGCTACACACGAATGCACCGGATGTCTTATCCTTTAGGCCACGACGATTTTCATTAAATGCGCTTTATAAAATTGACCTGGCCAATACAAGAAATAAAAACCTCGCCATTGTTTAGCTTCTATGCATTGCTTCACGTCAGTGTGCTTAGTGCGAGTTTTTAAACGTTCTCGATAGCGTAAAAGTTAACTCAAAATTTGTGTGCAGTCGGAACAATGCCCCTTGCGGCAAACGTTCCAACTGCATACAAATCTCTTTTGAATATTATACAAAACACTAAACTGGATTTTCGCAACGTCCCATTAAAAATGATGCGATTGTGCTCAGGAGTTAAAACGATACTGATACCACAGATTCAATGACCGATACTTACAAGCAAATATACCAAGAACTGCTTAAAGAAAAATATATTGACACGGGACACTATCTTCAAATAGAAGTGTTTCGCGTCGATCAACACAATGTGTCCTCGTGGGAACAGAGGGATGTTGTTGAGCCAATAGTCTGCTTGCATCGCGAATGTCTTCACTAGGTCGTAGAATTCGAACCTCTCTAAATTAGGATCGTCGAGTTCATGTATCACAATTTCGTCTTCACCGGCTTCGTATGTGGTGACACTCCTGAAAAATCGGAAGAGATCTTTTGAAATCTTGAAGAGCGGTGCCAATATCTGGGTCTAACAAAATGGCTTCTTTCCGTTGATGGATAGAGTATATTATGGTCCTACTAGTGCTACTAAAAGCTGATAGCCTTGAGAGGGCATTTCAGCGCAACCCTAACAAGTGGGTGAGCTCGCGGGGCTCAAACCTGATGACGGTGCTAACACTAACCCTAGCAAGAGCAGTGCTTCGTAGAATCTACCACCGGATCAGAGACGCGACCCACTGAGAAGCTTCGGTTTTATGTCGTCCTCTCTACAATTAATTTCTTACAACTTAAATCGATCACGTCTGTACTTGTTGACTCTGTTATAAGCGTTTTGACATATTGTTATTAATATTCTAATCACTGAACTAGACAATGGCAATGAAAATTATCAATTAAAAATGAAATAAAGCTAGGAACAATACGATCTCTTCGGCGAAGAAGGATAAGATGACGTCAGAGTTCACATATAATATTAGGACACCTTAATTATGTACGCATGAAAGGCAAGAAAGGTACGGAAGAATAATTTTATTACTTATTTGTTTCGAGGAATATTTTACACATCCCTGACACTAAATGGTAGGTTCACAGTGAATATAATAAAAATCAAATATATAAAATTATCATATTTTAGTTATGAATCTGCAACATAATATGTGACCACAAATAAATTAAGTGAATTTATAATTTACGTGACTAGCACAGATTGTTTACGTGTTTTTTCCCCCCTCCCTATTCTAGTTGCCTCGAGGGGTTATTCTAGATTCGCCGAGCTAATAAGTGAGCTCACGGGGCTCAAACCGGGGGTGATTTCCGTGTTGTCAAAGTGAAAAGAACTCGGAATATAAATCTATTGGCAGTTTTTTTTTTTTTTTTGTAAATAGTCCTGAGGCTTAAACAGCCTCACAAGGCCACGAACAATACTGCCCGAACGCTTCCGAGGGAAACCTGAGAGCTGAGGCAATATTTCGAATTCGTCACAATGTGACACTAACATTGGAATGATCGTTGTGACCTTACTGATTAAACTTGAATGGTGGCTTTTAATGGCTGCTTAATTAATGCTGCATAAGTGTGTATTAAAACATATTAATTTTTTTGTTTTATATTTCCGCAAATAACTTTATTTTAGAATAGTTTTTTTTTTTGTAACATGCTGTTACTTAATAATATTTTAATTGAAAAAATAATTAAAAATGTAAAATATTCGTCTTATTTTACTAAGTGTTAAGTAATCTGTAGTCAGAGTAGGTCAAGGCTGTATATTATATCTGTATTTTGATTAAAACCTTATTCTAGCTAATCATTACTCATAATTCAAACTACATTTCAGATTTCACATTTGAATACATCTTGTTAATGTCGTTAGCGCGATTCTGGTTTTTTCTAGATTTACTCTATTCTACGTTAACCCCCGCTGCATACACGTGTAGATCTAATTATTTTTTTTGCTAATATGTATGGACGAGCTGACGACCACCTGGTGTTAAGTGGTTACCGGAGCCCATAGACATCTACAACGTAAATGCCGCCACCCACCTTGAGACATGAGTTGTAAGGTCTCACTTTTAACAGTACAACGGGTGCCCCGCCCTTCAAACCGAAACGCATTACAGATTCACGGCAGAAATAGGCAGGGCGGTGGTACCTACTCGTGCAGACTCACAAGACGTCCTACCACCAGTAAAGTGATACATATTCAAAATTCCCAACTGAAATTTAAAATTAGACACAATGAAAAAAACCATCGGTGTAACGTAAATATTTCAGTGAGCAACACTTGAATCAATATCTTGGAGTAAAATGAAATAGTTGTCTATTTGAAGTCGGTTTTCTTAATTTTTAAAAGTTTTTATTATTCCATAATATGATCGCTAAATCTATAGGTACTAATATATAAATCTACAGTTTTACGGATGTTCCGTTCAACTACTGAACCGTGCATCCGATTGACTTGAAACTCGGTATCCATGTAGAAAATACATGTACTTAATGGATAGGCTAATATTTATATGAGTATTGGACTCTTTTTTTTTATTATTGCTTAGATGGGTGGACGAGCTCACAGCCCACCTGGTGTTAAGTGGTTATTGGAGCCCATAGACATCTACAACGTAAATGCGCCACCCACCTTGAGATATAAGTTCTAAGGTCTCAGTATAGTTACAACGGCTGCCCCACCCTTCAAGCCGAAACGCATTACTGCTTCACGGCAGAAATACGCGGGGTGGTGGTACCTACCCGTGCGGACTCATAAGAGGTCCTACCACCAGTTAGTCCCTAATAATAATGACAGTAAATAATAATATTAATTTTAAATGCCCAGCGAAACGGGCGAGTACGGCTAGCTACGTATAAAACTCACGTAATAGAAAATGCGGTTTTCAATTTGCTTGCTGTAGGGTCCCTGAACGTGTACAGTTCTGGAGTGTTGGTGCGACCCACGCAGAACTTGTCGATGCATTGCTTCGTTTTTTCCAAACTTCCGTAGCAACTGTGAATGAATTTTTTCAACAGCATGTCACCTGGGGACAATGCACCGATCCAAAAAGAAACTTAAAAACAAACGATTTTAAATATTCTAATTTTACACACTCTTACAGTCGCAAACAGAAAACGTTTTAATGATACCGATCAATATCCCGAAACATAAATAATTGCATAATACTAAGCGGAGAGATTTAAAAAAGCTTATTTTCATTCCATGCCTATTATGTACAAAAATTCGGTTCTGTATATTATTCCGCTCCGTTTTAACATCAAACAATGTTAAATTATTATAATCATAATGTTATATTATAATATTAAATAATCAGACTTTTAATTTGTATTGACATAAAAGTCAGGAAACGCAATGTACATAATAATATATGAAAGAGCATGACAGGTTCCGAAATCAAATGTAATATTGTTTTTTTATATATGTAATTGTAATAGTAAATATGGCGTGAATATAAACTTAATTATCGTAATGAATAAAGTTTTCAATGTCTTTTGCGTTCAAAGCCTTCGAAATCCTAATGAAAGTTTCGTTTTGTTTAAAACTGTTTATTTCACAACTAAACCTAGATTATTTGGGTGTATAAAGAAACTTTAAGACGTGCGTGCGTTCACTTCGTGTAATTCGGTCACTTATTAGAGAAATACACGTCCTGGGTTCGAAAATGCCAAGAAGTGTGTAGATTTACTGGTGGTAGGACCTCTTGCGAGTCCGCGCGGGTAGGTACCACCACCCTGCCAATTTCTGCCGTGAAGCAGTAATGCGTTTCGGCTTAAAGGATGGGGCAGCCGCTGTAACTATACTTGAGACCTTAGAACTTATATCTCAAGGTGGGTGGCGCATTTACGTCGTAGATGTCTATGGGCTCCAGTAATCACTTAACACCAGGTGGGCTGTGAGCTCGTCCACCCATCGAAGCAATAAAAATAAATAAAAAGATCATTGTAAAGCTTTAACAAATTCAGTTCTGTATAAAAAACGGTTGTGGGAATCAACCATAGCACATCGTACCGTCTAGTCTCACCAGTAGGCAGCGGCTTGGCTCTGACATTGCTGAAGTCCATGGGCGACGGTAACCACTCACCATCAGGTGGGCCGTATGCTCATATGCCTGAGAGGCAATAAAATAATTAAAAAAAAACTAACCCTGTGTTCGAAATTTAATTTTATATACATACATAATTAAATTCAATGTTGCAAAAATTTATTTTTAAAAATCACTCACCAAGGTCTTGCGGCAGGTAATCCTCCTTAGCGAGCCATTCTCTGATCAACGAAATGTCTCTTTCGTAGTCGATTTGCATCTTAGAGAAAACGAAGGTAGCTAAAATGTAGGTACAATAAAAATATTTCTATTAAAGCTACCATTCCAATTATTGATGAGAATAAATACGCACTTAACACCTCTATGTATATACATAATATAATTTTTTTATTGGTTAGATACGTGGACTAGCTCGCGGCCTACCTGGTGTTAGATTTTTATTTTTATTTTTATTGCTTAGATAGGTGGACGAGCTCACAGCCCACCTGGTGTTAAGTGGTTACTGGAGCCCATAGACATCCACAACATAAATGCGCCATCCATCTTGAGATATAAGTTTTAAGGTCTCAAGTATAGTTACAAAGGCTACCCCACCCTTCAAACCGAAACGCATTACTGCTTCACGGCAGAAATAGGTAGAGTGGTGGTACCCACCCGCGCGGACTCACAAGAGGTCCTACCACCAGTAAAATGGTTACCGGAGCACATAGACATTAACAACGTCAATTCCACCTTGAGATATAAGTACTAAGTTTCAATTTTATAGTACTAGGGCTACACCATCCTTCAAACTGAAACGCATTTCTGCTTCACGGCAGAAATAGGCAAGGCGGTACCTAGTATGGGCCTATAGGCAAACGTTCGATATTAGGGTTGTATAGTATTGCAACAAGCGTCAACATCTAGAGTGTTGAGTCATTAATACTAAACAGAGCACCTTATAAGGGAAACACCTGGAAGTGCTATTACTAAACCGTGTGATCACAGAATGGAATAAGCCCTCAGATTTTGTCACCAACAACCTACGAGTAAATAATAAGTCTATTTGTTCGTTGCTACCAACACTAAGATGCTCGAAACTTTAAAATATATATACACACGCATGAGCCCACAGAGCTGCTATTATATCGAATAAACAAAAATTATAATAAAAGAGAGTTAACGTAAATAAAATATAAATTAATTATAAATAGGTATAATTAGGTAATCAATTAAAAATAAATTAAAATTAAAACACGCATTATTTTGCTGTGTAACACCGTAGCTGTCGAGCTTTAAGCTAATAATACTGGTTTTACTGGTGGTAGGACCTCTTGTGAGTCTGCACGGGTAGATACTCCGGAAATCGCCGGACTTCCGCCCTCCACTGGGGAGATAGAGGGCGGAGCATGTCAGAGTCGAACTGACTAAAACCTCCTGTCGCTCAACAACCAACGTCCAAACCTCGCATGAGACAGAACTCATGAAGAGGGAAAGGGGGGAAAGTGAAGCGTTTAGTGCGGAGCACATCTCTCCCATCACCCTCCCCCTCAGGACGCCGGACTGGCGATCGTCGGCGCCACGACCACCAGCCCTCTCGGTCGGCAGGCTATCCGAAGCCCGCCTAGATGGCGCCGGTTAGAGTGAGCTATCCTACGGAATACCCCGCTGGACCAGAACCAGCGTGGGTCGAGGATAGCCGGCCTTCCATCACCCGGATGCTCTTGCGTAAAACGCGTGCAGAGCAGCTTGCACGTCGTCTTCTTAGGCNCCGCGTACCGCTTCAACAAAGCGCGGCATCTCTTCAGTCTCAGGTCCATTAGACGAACATTCAAACGATGTCCTGTTTTTCTTCGATATGCCCGAAGCCCTAAGTCTTCATTTAACACCCTTTTCACCGTGGTTCTGCTTAACCCCATCTGAAGGGCCAACAGTTTCTGCTTACGTTTGGGATTTCTTTGAATTCGCGCCTTCACAGTTTTTATCACTGCTGGAGTCCTAACAGATCGAGGGCGACCACTTCTTGACCTGTCATCTACACTAGAGTCTTCATTGTATCGTTTGATGGTACGATAAACTAATCTTTTGGTTATATTCAAATTTTTCAGTATGTTAAAAATTTGAATTGGCGCGTAACCGCAACGATGCAACGTAATAACTGCAACACGGTCTTCTTTAAGCGTCCACTCCATATTTAAAAATGAGTAAAATTCTAAAAGTATACATTTTTATTTTCAGTAACAATTCGAAATTCGAATTCAATAAACTTTTTTGTGGCCAGCATTCTAAAAGAAAAGTTTTTACTGTGTGACAATACTTATGACCTGACTAGTTATATATTATAATTTTTTATTGCTTAGATACGTGAATTAGCTCGCGGCCTACCTGGTGTTAGATTATTTTTTTTATTGCTCAGATAGGTGGACGAGCTCACAGCCCACCTGGTGTTAAGTGGTTGCTAGGAGCCAATAGACATCCACAAAATAAATGCGCCACCCATCTTGAGATATAAGTTTTAAGGTCTCAAGTATAGTTACAACGGCTACCCCACACTTCAAACCGAAACGCATTACTGCTTCACGGCAGAAATAGGCAGGGTGGTGGTACCCACACCCGCGGACTCACAAGAAGTCCTACCACCAGTAAAATGGTTACCGGAGCACATAGACATTAACAACGTCAATTCCACCTTGAGATATAAGTACTAAGTTTCAATTTTATAGTACTAGGGCTACACCATCCTTCAAACCGAAACGCATTTCTGCTTCACGGCAGAAATAGGCAAGGCGGTACCTAGTATGGGCCTATAGGCAAACGTTCGATATTAGGGTTGTATAGTATTGCAACAAGCGTCAACATCTAGAGTGTTGACTCATTAATACTAAACAAAGCACCTTATAAGGGAAACACCTGGAAGTGCTATTACCAAACGTGTGATCACAGAATGGAATAAGCCCTCAGATTTTGTCACCAACAACCTACGAGTAAATAATAAGTCTATTTATTCGTAGCCACCAACACTAAGATGCACCAAATCTTAATATATATACACACGCATGAGCCCACAGAGCTGCTATTATTTCGAATAAACAAAAATTATAATAAAAGAGAGTTAACGTAAATAAAATATAAATTAATTATAATTAGGTAATTACTTAAAAAAAAATTAAAATAAAAACACGCATTATTTTGCTGTGTAACACCGTAGCTGTCGGGCTTTAAGCTAATAATACTGGTTTTACTGGTGGTAGGACCTCTTGTGAGTCTGCACGGGTAGATACTACCACCCTGCTTATTTCTGCCGTGAAGCAGTAATGCGTTTTGGTTTGAAGAGTGGGGCAGCCGTTGAAACTTTACTTGAGACCTTAGAACTTATATCTCAAAGCGGGTGGCGCATTTACGTTGTAGATGTCTATGGGCTCCAGTAACCACTGAACACCAGGTGGGCTGTGAGCTCGTCCACCCATGTAAGCAATAAAAAAAATCTGATCGCGGAAAAAAGTACATAAAAAACCATAAATAGACATTGCGCTGTGAAATTTATTCCTGGAAGTTAAATTATAAGCAAATATGGTATGCAAATTACACGGCGTCTATCACGATATTTTTTTTCTTCGATCTCAGATCCGTATTAATAGACAAAGAGTGATTTAACCATAAATCAACGCACCACAAATCGTTATTATTAATTATTATACAACGAATACTATAACTATATTAAATTTTTATTATTAAATAAAACTCACCGTTTTTTATTGTGTCACAAAAATATTATTATAAAATATTTTTTAATTCCTGCCGCGCGCACAACCCGCCCGTCCTATCGATATAAACGCGATGAATGTTCAACTTCTGAGATGCGAATTCGTTGATTAGGCTCTTACAAGGTCGAAAATGGAAACATAGATCATTAAGGCACTGGTTAATTAAAATAAAACGTGTTGTATCTTTAGCTTTAGTTCTGAAAACAACTCTGCAGATTCACGGATATAATTAAATTTATTTTTATGCTTTAATAACATTATCTTATTATGCAGATGGCTGGAGTTAATAGACACTGATAATATTAAACACTTATTATTTAACCTATCATGGAGTTGAAAACCAAAAAGCAAACCGCTAGACCTCAAGATACTATTAGTTCGTTCTATGTCTTCTAACCTTTTTTTTTTTTATTGCTTAGATGGGTGGGCGAGCTCACAGCCACCTGGTGTTAAGTGGTTACTAGAGCTCATAGACATCTACAACGTAAATACACCACCCACTTTGAGATCTAAGTTCTAAGGTCTCAGTATAGTTACAACGGCTGCCCCACCCTTTAAAACGAAACGCATTACTGCTTCACAGCAGAAATAGGCAGGGGGTTGTACCTACCCGTGCGGACCCACAAGAGGTCCTACCACCAGTAAAAATGTCTTCGATGGTAATCAAAGAACGTAAATTTTTGCAGTTTCGCGGGGCATACAGTACTGAAAAGGAGGAATAAGGAGTATCAATCTGTCCTTGTGTTGATTTTTTAAATCTATTAGCTGTTATCGAGCTACCTGTTTTGGCTACAGCACACCTGATTGAAAGTGAATACTGGGGCCCGTGTACACTCATTGAGACAGAGAGATCAGCCTTCATTTTTATTGTATAGTAGCGGCCCGCTCCAGTTCCGCTCGGATCTTTAACAAAAATTTCATCGATATTTGACATTGTTTTATTTTTTTAAATAAAAGAACACTTATTGCGGCATAACTATAATAGTTAAGACATGTACTGTCGCAACACTTTTGTAAATAATAATGTTTTCTACAAAGTCGTAGTACATTATTTTATCCTATCATCAATAGTTTTCGCAGGGCACGCGATGTAAAGAATATTTTAGATAATTTTTTTACACCTTGGGTTACATTATTGGCGTTTTAGTAAGGATCCCAATTTTTTTTCAAAAAAGGCTATTGCCTAGGTCACTCGGTAATAGTGTAGCTTCCAAACAGTGAAAGAATTTTTCAAATCGGTTCAGTAGTTTCGGAACCTATTCAGTACAAACAAACAAACAAATCTTTCCTCTTTATAATATTAGTATAGAATATAGACAACAACCGTTACCTACGCCTTTTAAACGAAACGCATGACCACTTCGTGGCAGATAGAAACAGGATATTGGTTGCATCCCGTGCGATCTCATAATACTCCCTACAAATCGGTAAATAGTTTGTTGCGAAAATTGATTATTGATGAAAAACGTAACATTGAACAAAAATAAAAAATGCTACTTATGAGGAGTTATTGCAAAACAACCGGTTGGCCTGCTATTATTATTAAGAACTTCAATGTCAACATTGCGTTATTTGCAATCAGCTGATTTCATTTGTTGTAGTGTTTTAGTTCTCATCCTAAGATATGGTTCGAATTTAAAGTCGTTTGGAAATGTCAATGAATAAAACATAAATCGAACCATAGAGACACGACACGTTTGTAAGTAAGGTCACTAAAGTTTAAAATATCGTTTCTTCTATTTATTTATAGTCACCTTAACCTAATGGGTTAAATAAAATAATCGATTTATATAATTGTTAAATTATAAGCCGTTTTGATAGATTTTTTCCTTACAATTTGAAACAATCGACTTTTTGTTCTCGAAAGACTTCATTGGCATTGTTAATGGAAGTGTAAGGAATTATGACAATAAAATCTACTTTGATTATTTTGGAACGAAGTACCTTATAGGACGATGCGGAGAGGTACTCCAACCGGGAAAAAACGTCCGTAACGTAAGATTTTTATTATTTATGTATACTCTTAGTATGATGGCTATACAGTGTCTAATACATACATAGTCTACGTGATGACGGCTATTATTATTATTCATATAAATAGCTGTTTCTTTGTATATTATTCATTTATATTTCTTATAAATCATTGTGAATAAAATAAAGTTGATAACTTTGTAAAGTAGTTTCTATTTTATTTTTATCAATAAAAAAATCATAATAAAAACTTTATACCCGAATAATTATTTTCTTTATACCTCGAATAGAACTTAAAATTAATATTTTTATAATAAGGAACTTCGTTCCTATCCGGTGTACCACGACACTACACATTTTTTATTATTTTAGTAGGCCACCAGCCCACTAGCGATGCAGCCCACCTGATGGTGAATGGTTACCGTCGTTCATGATCAGCATTGCCGCTCTCTGCCGTTTGTGTACACTCCGCAGACGTCGTTTGATGTTTTTCTACATGTCATCAGACAGCAGTCAGGAAACACCAAGGAGAGGAGTTCATTTCAAAGTCGCATAGTACGTTACAATATATAATGCGTTTTGGTTTGAAGGGTGGGGCAGCCGTTGTAACTATACTTTAGACTTTAGAACTCATATCTCAAGGTGGGTGGCGCATTTACGTATTAACCCTCAGACACAGCCCACTGAGTATCTCGCCGGATCTTCTCAGTCGGTCGCGTTTCCGATCCGATGGTAGATTCTGCGAAGCACGGCTCTTGCTAGGGCCAGTGCCAGCAACACTCCACGTTAGGGTGAAGCTGAAGCTCGTGTTAGCAAAGTTGTCAGGTTTGATCCCCGTGAGCTCACCTACTAGTCAATGTTACGCTGAAATTGCCTCTCAAGGCTCTCAGCTTAGGTAGGAAAAAAAAGAAGCATTTGCGCCGGAGATGTCTATGGGCTCCAATAACCACTTAACACTTCGTGTGCTATGAGCTCGTTCACCCACCTAAGCAATCAAAAAAAAGGAGATGATGGGATCATCTGAAGCAATTCCTTAGAGCACTCTCCGTAGCACGTTTGTGAAGAATTTTCAGTAAAGTGTATTTTTATATTAATGGAGATAGATAGATAATAAACGAAATATAGACAAGTTTTTAATTTTTAATAAACTGAATATTTATTTTGATAAAAATATAAACAACGCATAAACAAAACAATCAGTCTATTCCGAGATTACGAAAGCTTTTCGCATTGTCTACCTCGGGTTTAGCAGTGTTCTTTCTCCATAGGTCATCTCGAGCTAGGACGTCGCTGAAAACAAATTTAATAGGTAAACGTATATTCATAAGGTTCAAAATCATTTGAAATTCTCGTTTGATTTAACTGTATTTTTCCTTCTTATTCTTCTCATTATCTACGTTATGTGTTTTTGATCGTCCATACACCAAGCGATTTTATAGTCAGCCGTCTTTTAGTTTTCGATACTTCAATAAACTTAGAATCTACATTAAAATTTGACCGTAATAAGATGACTGTACAATTTAACATTAAATGAGTGCAGTAGAATGGCCTCGAGCAGGAAGAGATGGCGGGACATCGTGAGACGCATCAAGTCTGCCCCTTCCAACACTACATGACGATCACGACCACTCTGTCAAGAGTGACACGATTGAGAAGAAGACAATTTAACACGGCTTATACTAAAGTTGACTGCATCTGGACAGCATTAAATAGGAATTGGATAGTTCCATGTAGATTTGAGACCGTGACACATCAAATAAGACTATTCTTTTTTTGCATTTTTATTGTTCTTTTCTGAGTTCTTCTGTATTATAATAAATAGCCTTTGCCCGCGACTTCGTCAGCGTGAAATAGTTACTTTGGCATAACGCGAAATTTTACCCGCGACTTCGTTTACGTAGAGGTGAAAATATTTTTAAATAATAGAATGTTAAGGAGCTATTTAAGGAACCAAAAGCACGCTTTTTAACCGACTTCAAAAGAGGGGGTTATCGATTCTGAAAAAACCCGATTTTGAAACATTATTTATGGGTATTGCTCCGCTTGTATTGGTCTTAGCGATGTTATATAGCCTATAGCTTTCCTCAAAAACTAATTTTTCAAATCGGACCAGTAGTTCCTGAAATTAGCGCGCTCAACCAAACAAACAAATAAACTCTTCAGCTTTTTAATATTAGTATAGATTAGAAATTATCTGACACCTTTTTACGCTTTGGTCATTTAAACGTCTTCGCCATCTTGCTTTTCTCTGTCATTCTCTTTTCCCTTTCTCACCGTTTTCTCTCACTCACATCTTAACGCTCCGTTCCACGCTCTTTTTATACATTCTATTCTTACCAATCCTACATCTATGAATAACCTTTATTGTAACTTTGTAATCTTCGTAGTTGCAGTCAGGATTCTTCTTCATGTCACCGACCCTTGAAAACCTATGATCGAACATTGATTTATCTAATTTCATCTCGGTCAGAGATACATACCGTTTCGTTAGCATCATTTCTTTCATTTTTTTCGTATAGATATTCAGACTGTCTCTGATCCCTCCCATGTCCTTTGGTAAGTCATCTTTGTGTACGTAATCGAATAGTGTGTTCGAATTTGGCGTGTGAAAATGTATCTGTTGAAAAATAATTGATTTATAACATCCATCTTCTTACTGGTGGTAGGACCTCTTGTGAGTCCGCGCGAGTAGGTACCTACCACCACCCTGCCTATTTCTGCCGTGAAGCAGTAATGCGTTTCGGTTTGAAGGGTGGGGCAGCCGTTGTACTTGAGACCTTAGAATTTATATTTCAAGGTGGGTGGCACATTTAGGTTGTGGATGTCTATGGGCTCCAGTAACCATTTAAAACCAGGTGGGCTATGAGCTCGTCCAACCATCTAAGCAATAAAAAAACATTTTATAATCAGCTAGGACTGATTTTTGGGGTGAGGACAAAAAATTATAACATCAATTAAAAAAAAAACACGTTCATGCGTCAATGCCAACAGCTTTTTATTAATATTGTTTTCGTTTTCTCGACCATGATCGAGTCTTCGCTACAGTGAGCGATTTAAAGATGATCTATCATCGGATAATAATATTACACGAAACACCGATAGACCCAACGTTATTGTTCGGAAATCGTACAAGTCTTGTAACCGTATTGGCTCGATTCCGGTTTTTATATACTCTATGATTTTGCAATTACACTATCGACTTTTTTTCCTATGTAGTAAAGTGTAGTATTCATTCTCGTGGTTGGTTGATGTGGGGTTTTTATTAAAAAATGCATTAAAAAAAAAGGTCGCTCGTGAACAGGTTTTAGGTACGTTTTTCCTTCAATAAACAATTATAATTAAGACTGAGACCTCAAGATTAGCGGGTAGCGGTTTCTACGGAACAAATTTACATACTGGGTTTAAAATTAAATCGATATGTACTTATGGAATAAAATTATTAAAAAAAAATCTGAAAACATTTTTTTTTATAACGAACGCAGGCGAATTACTCGTCTAGACTAAGAATCATATTTCAAATACAGTATACAAAATAATCAAATACTTCACCTAAATATTGTAACTGTTTTTTTGGCATATTTGTTAATGTTTGCTGTTTTTAATTTATAACGTAATATATTACGAAATGAGTTGCAATTTAGCCAAGCTATTATCTAGTACCTAATAAATTTATAAACTAATAAACGATATGTATCTTGATAAATTTATTGTATTTTGCAGACTATCTACAATTTTTTTTTTTTTATCGCCTTTTTAGGCAGCCGAGCTAATGGTAAGTGGTCACCGTCGCTCATGGACGTCAGCAATGCCAGGAGCAGAGCCAAGCCGCTGCCTACCATTTTATAAATGCCATCTTGTTTTTTTTTTTACTCTTCTGAAGTTCCGAAGTTAGTTCGACCGTAAATAAATTAACGAATTAAGGGTATACCTTTTCTTTTACGTCGCTTTTGAGGAGGGGCTTGAACAACGAATATATTTTGTCGACGATCAGCGGCGTGTTTATGACGTGTATCTGCTTCAAACGCATCGGCATAGCCCCCTAAAACACGATCAATTTCACATAATGATTTACAGATGAGATTAGATAAACCCAGCAAATTAAATATCACTTTTTAACAAACAATCAACTTAGAACGTCTGTGCTGTTTTGTTAATCACATAAAAAAAAAACAAAAAAAAAAAGCGAAAGTCAATCAGAGGAATCTTTGTTAACAATTTTGAAGTCGTGGTGGCCTAAAGGATAAGACGTCCAGTGCATTCGTATCGAGCGATGCATCGATGTTCGAATCCCGCAGGCGGGTACCAATTTTTCTAATGAACTTGACAAATGTTCACAATTGACTTCGTGAAATAACATCGTGTAATAAAAATTAAGCCCGCAAAATTATAATTTGCGTAATTACTGGTGGTACGACGTCTTGTGAGTCCGCGCGGGTAGGTACCAGCACCCTATTTCTGCCGTGAAGCAGTAATGCGTGTCGGTTTGAAGGGTAGGGCAGCCGTTGTAACTATACATGGTAGATGTCTATGGGCTCTGGTAACCATTGAACATCAGGTGGGTCGTAGCTCGTCCACCTATCTAACAGCCTGGCCACGGGACATTCGCCGATACGAATATTCGCGCGGTGCGAACGGCGAAGCGTCTAGCGACTAAAATAAGCGCATAGAAATGTACCTAACAAGCCACGCGCACCGGCGACCGGCGAAGCGACCGGCGAAATGTACCGAGCGAATCGCGCGATGCGGCGGGCGAGCAAAACAAATGCATGAATACGGNAACTATTTATTACGGACATTTCTATTATATATTTACTATGTTCATTACGGACATTCTCTATCTATTTATTTCACAGCTATTTTTCATATACTATCTATTTGCGGACATTTATAACTATTTTTACGTATCTATTCTATTTCTAATTTTCCTAAATGTCCGTCGGGAATGTCCTATTCTAACTATGTTTCTTTATGTCCGTCGCGAACAGACCTCTTGTGAGTCCGCGCGGGTAGGTACCACCACCCTGCCTATTTCTGCCGTGAAGCAGTAATGCGTTTCGGTTTGAAGGGTGGGGCAGCCGTTGTACTTGAGACCTTAGAACTTATATTTCAAAGTGGGTGGCACATTTAGGTTGTGAATGTCTATGGGCTCCAGTAACCATTTAAAACCAGGTGGGCTATGAGCTCGTCCAACCATCTAAGCAATAAAAAAAAACATTATAAAATCAGCTAGGACTGATTTTTGGGGTGAGGACAAAAAATTATAACATCAATTAAAAAAAAAACACGTTCATGCGTCAATGCCAACAGCTTTTTATTAATATTGTTTTCGTTTTCTCGACCATGATCGAGTCTTCGCTACAGTGAGCGATTTAAAGATGATCTATCATCGGATAATAATATTACACGAAACACCGATAGACCCAACGTTATTGTTCGGAAATCGTACAAGTCTTGTAAGCGTATTGGCTCGATTCCGGTTTTTATAGACTCTATGATTTTGCAATTACACTATCGACTTTTTTTCCTATCTAGTAAAGTGTAGTATTCATTATCGTGGTTGGATGATGTGGTATGTATTAAAAAATGTATTTAAAAAAAAAAGGTCGCTCGTGAACAGGTTTTAGGTACGTTTTTCCTTCAATAAACAATTATAATTAAGACTGAGACCTCAAGATTAGCGGGTAGCGGTTTCTATGGAACAAATTTACGTACTGGGTTTAAAATTAAATCGATATGTACTTAAGGAATAAAATTATTAAAAAAAAACTGAAAACATTTTTTTTTATAACGAACGCAAACGAATTACTCGTCTAGACTAAGAATCATATTTCAAATACAGTATACAAAATAATCAAATACTTCACCTAAATATTTTAACTGTTTTTTTTGCATATTTGTTAATGTTTGCTGTTTTTAATTTATAACGTAATATATTACGAAATGAGTTGCAATTTAGCCAAGCTATTATCTAGTACCTAATAAATTTATAAACTAATAAAAGATATGTATCTTGATAAATTTATTGTATTTTGCAGACTATCTACAATATTATTTTTTTTATTGCCTTTTTAGGCAGTCGAGCTTATGGTAAGTGGTCACCGTCGCTCATGGACGTCAGCAATGCCAGGAGCAGAGCCAAGCCGCTGCCTACCATTTTATAAACGCCATCTTGTTTTTTTTTTCACTCTTTTGTTATTAGTTCGACCGTTCCGTTTTAAATAAATTAACGAATTAAGGTATACCTTTTCTTTTACGTCGCTTTTGAGGAGGGGCTTGAACAACGAATATATTTTGTCGACGATCAGCGGTGTGTTTATGACGTGTATCTGCTTCAAACGCATCGGCATTGCCCCCTAAAACACGATAAATTTCACATAATGATTCACAGATGAGACTAGATAAACCCAGCAAATTAAATATCGCTTTTTAACAAACAATCAACTTGGAACGTCTTTACTTTTTTGTTAGTCATATTAAAAACAAAAAAAAAAAAAAAAAAAGCGAAAGTCAATCAGAGGAATCTTTGTTATCAATTTTGAAGTCGTCGTGGCCTAAATGATAAGACGTCCAGTGCATTCGTATCGAGCGATGCATCGATGTGCGAATCCCGCAGGCGGGTACCAATTTTTCTAACGAAATAATGTAGAAATTTGTAGAAGTCAATCGTAGAAGATCGTTTGTAGAAGAATTGTAGAAGTCGTTTGTAGAAGAATTGTAGAAGTCAATCGTGAACATTTGTCAAGTACCTACTACTTGACAAATGTTCACGATTGACTTCTACAGTGAAGGAATAACATCGTGTAATAAAAATTAAGCCCACAAAATTATAATTTGCGTAATTACTGGTAGTAGGACGTCTTGTGAGTCCGCACGGGTAGGTACCAGCACCCTATTTCTGCCGTGAAGCAGTAATGCGTTTCGGTTTTAACGGTGGGGCAGCCATTATAACTATACATGGTAGATGTCTATGGGCTCCGGTAACCACTGAACGTAAGGTGGGCTGTCAGATCGTCCACCCCTCTAAGCAATAAAAAAAAAAAAATAACAGCATTTTATAAACGAAGAGCTAAGAACTCGGCATTAAAATTGATAAGTGTGCTTAGTGCGAGTTTTTTAACGTTCTCGATAGCGTAAAAGTCAGCTGATATTTGAGTCGACTATTATCAAAGCCGGCAATGTGACTTTTGGACAATTATTGGTAAATCAGAAAAACGAATTATTGACTTTGTATTCCATTGGCAGTCACAAAACTCTACTGAACGACATCTTAGACAAATAACAGGTTAAGTATTAACCTTTATTTAATGCAGGTTTTGAACCGTATTCTTTGAAGGAGACGATTATATTCAAATCAATCTGTATTGACATATCAATAACATTTTTTTGTCCAAATGCACAGATTGCCACCTTTGATAATAATTTAGACGACTCATTTGTATGTAATGGAATCGCTTGCCTACGTTTGCCGTTAGGAGCGCTGTTCCAACTGCATACAAAATTGGGTTAACTTTTACGCTATCGAGAACGTTAAGAAACTCGCACTAAGCACAAAGAAATGCTTCTTAAGTTCTCGTTCATTACTTTCGTCCGTTCACAAACTCGTTCACACTCACCCCTTGATATTTCGATATCGTTTTCCCGAGAATCGAATTATACTTAGTAATGAATTTATAGTTAAAATCCTTAACGTCTACAATAACAATGTCGTCGTCAGCCAAACGATCGGTTAAGAACCAAGTGTCTGCGGTCAGCAAGAACAATCTGGAATCATGTAAAGTTTCAAATCGATCGAATCCCGGGTCGTTGACCTGCCAAATCCATATATGTTTTTTATCCGTCGTTTCATAAACTGCCATTTTCCTAAAACAATTGAAAATAACTATAAGCACTTAATAATAAGGTTCGTTGTTGCTTAGCCGAAATAAAAACAAAGTTAATTGCATCGAAAAACTTTGTAAAGTAACTGAAAACTTTAACAATGTAGCATCTGTATGTAAATTCTAGTCACCAAGATACATACTAACTGCATATACAATATTGAAGCTGCGATTTCGAATGTTTCAAAGTTTTACGGCGGTTTTCAAGACGTGTTGTCTATGGACTGTGTTTACTAACGTTTACACCATAGTATTAAATTCATATCGTATAATTACAGCACGGCCATTTTTTTAAAAACTTCGAGAATAATATTAAATGAAAATAATTATGTAACACGTTTTGATTGTTCTAATTTTAAATATACGGATAAATTTACTGGTGGTACGACGGAGTGAGTCCGCACGGTTAGGTACTACCACCCCGCCTATTTCTGCCGCGAAGCAGCAGTGCGTTTCGGTTTGAAGGGTGGGGTAGCCGTTCTAACTATACTGAGACCTTAGAACTTATATCTCAAGGTGGGTGGCGCATTTACGTTGTAGATGTCTATGGGCTCCAGTGACCACTTAACACCAGGTGGGCTGCGAGCTCGTCCACCCATCTAATCAATAATTTGAAGAACGCACAACAGATAAATACCGAAGACATCGCAAAAACTGTTATCACTAGACGAAGTCCACCTCTATTATTGAAAATCATAAAAAGCCTGAAAACGAACTGAAAATTATACGAAAATATAGTTTTAATTGTTTCTGAATTCCAACAACATGGGGTAATGTTTTTTTTTTTTTAATTTTACACACCACAGATTCCTGAACAGACTCACCAGTTAACTATACATTTGAATTACCTAGTAGTTACGCACTTTTAAGCACTCTGCGATTTACAATTTTTTATTGACATTTTAGGTAGACTAGGGTACGGCTCACAGTCACCGTCCTTCGAGGACGTCAGCGATTCCAAGGGCACAGCTTACCGAAGCCTACTGCCATTACATAAATTCAATATGTTTTAATAGTAATATAACTTACACAATCTTCATAGTTTCTTGTATCGACGGCGATAATGGATCTCTATTAGTGAAAAGCTCAGGTGTTTCATTTCTGATACTAACAAAAAGTTCTAGAGCACTCTTTGCATTATCCAAGTCATAGTAGCAACTATGTAAAAACCGATGCAGTAGTTTCTCCGCTGAAAATATTAATGTTTTTTTATTAAACTTTTTTATTCTAAGTTGTTGTTTTATAGTTAACCGTGAACGCAGCAAGTCTTTTTTTTTTTTATTGCTTAGATGGTTGGACGAGCTCACAGCCCACCTGGTGTTAAGTGATTACTGGAGCCCATAGACATCTACGACGGAAATGCGCCATCCACCTTGAGATATCAGATCTAAGGTCTCAGTATAGTTACAACGGCTGCCCCACTCTTCAAACCGAAACGCATTACTGCTTCACGGCTGAAATAGGCAGGGTGGTGGTACCTACCCGCGCGGACTCACAAGAGGTCCTACCACCAGTAAAAAAGTCTTCCAAATTAACAACCTCAACATGGTACCGGACGAGAAAGCCATCAACCCCTGCCTGACTCCTGCAGATATATTTTGTGCCTGCTGCAATACATGTTTTGGAATTTATTGAAATAACTGCATACAGAAATCACTGCTTAAGCAAACAGAAATCAATGTTTGCTACAAATAAAAATTTGAAAATGATTTCGACAAAAGTCAATATAACTTATTCTTGACCTTTTTGTTTATGTTTTGATATTTATAAGATATAATTCCTGTGATATTGTTGTTTAGAAGCCTTTTTTTGTAATACGGGGGAATCCTTTTCCGGATACCCACCCGGTCGAGAGGGTGACGACCGGGTTATGTCGGACTACGGCGCCTCAAGAGAAGAAGAGGGAAAAGAGGAAGACACAGGTTCTTCCAATTCTGGCGTGAGTCACTCTAGAATCGTCCGCTAAAACCGACTACCGACTAAACTCCATCGAGCTCCACCATTCAGACTCAACGAAACCTACGGTGCCGCATAGTGCGCGCTGAAAGTCCGCCTTTGCCGGTACCAGTCCTGATGATAGAACGGGATATCATCCCCGGGAAGATCCCGCACAACGTCGTGTCTCAGGAGACACAGTGGGCAGCGCACAGAAGCCACCTTATGCCGCCTCACCACTGTCGTTTAGAAGCCTAGCTCAAACTAGAAATTTAAAATATTTCGAATTTTCCTTACAAAATTATGACTCAAACTTCTTATATGCAACATAATGCTCGCTAAAATCGAATAGGCGTTTTGATAAAAAACAAAAAAAATTGTTTTTTTGTTTTTTCGACTTTATTAAAATTACAAATGACGAAAAAGTACCAAAAATTACTTACGTATTTCCGGAAATTGAGGTTGATTTCGAACCCATTCGCTAAAAAGCGTCAATTGCTTTTGTATTTCGGAATTCATGTTCTCCACAACAGATCACTGAATGGAATTGTTATTATCACGATTCTATTTATTATTATAATATTAAATTTCATTTACAATTAATTTAACGATTTGTGAATCACTTATAAATTTTCCTATCACATTTCTAAAAACACAATGGCAGCCTACAACATTAATTTCGATTGTGTGTGTATAAATTAGTCACATCGAATTATCTACTGATAGCAAACTAGCGATAATATTTGGCGATGCTCATAGCCAAAGAATTTCATCGCACGTTATCTATTCCGTAAAAATCTACCACGTTTTACGTAGGTACGATTCATATATTTTTTTTAACAATTGTAATATAAATAAATAATCAAAATTGTCTTTATTATTCATCTAACTAAGTAATACAGACGTTAATTATTCTAAACAATAGTTTTGTGTCAACATGTGTTGATAGAACGAAACTAACGAAGCGCGGCGTGACGCATTCGTGAGATCATCTGTTCACTTCAGCTGAATTTTTTATTGTTTATTAAGTTCGTCTACTTGAAAAACACATTCACTGTATTTAATTATCAAAAATCAACTACACTATATTTAAAATTTGATGTTCAGAACATTCTAATGTCACTGCGCGACGTAAAATGTGCAAGATTAGGTAACCTTGAACTAAATGGTTCAAACGGCCGCCTACCTTGAGCTTAGAGTGCGTGTTTATCTAAAAATACATTATAACGACCTATGTTTTGTAAATGTCATTGATTGACGGCAATCATCAACAAGATGAAAATGCAGAGTTTAATACAACTGTGCTCGAAGATAAATTAATGATAACGATAAATAATATTATTAAACACCTGGACTACAATACATTATTTATTTGCTCGCCTAAAAATACCTGCAATAAAAAGGAAATTCAGTTGACAGACAATAACCCACGTCACACCAGCTCATTGACCTCGTGTCAGCTGATTTAAGTTCTTAAATTTTGAAACATTGCGTGCAGTGAAAAAAAAACTTTAGTCTCGTTTTTTAAGTAAAATCTTCTTTAGAGTCGTTACGATTAAAAACTCGATAAAACGGATATACCTAACACTAGAGCATCGACATCATAATCAGACAAACAGATATACATCAATAAGTACTGAGAGTATTGCAATCCCACAAGAGTCGGTATTCCCGTGCTGATCATTTCTGCCGCGAAGCAGTAATGCATTTGAGCACATGTCCCAAGGTTAACACCTTAAAGTATACGGGACTTTATCGATTTATTTGGCAACGGATTCCTCGCTTCAATGCCAATAATAAGATGGTGCTTGTCACTTGATATGTTCGCGTGCGCATGGTTTTCAAATCATTCTTCTACGTAATATGTGGGCATAGATTGAGGCGATATTGTTTACAACTGACTACTACTGCTATGCGGGAGAGAGATGGAGCTTCCCCTCTCAATACCCAAAACAAATGAATGTCTTTGTCAGGCGAATAAAATAACTAAATTGAAGTTGTCGTGGCCTAAAGGATAAGGACGCTGAATTCTTATCAAGCGATGCAACTGAGCTGGTGTTCCAATCCCGCAAGCAGTTAACCAATTTTTATATAGAAATACACATTTAGCAAATGTTCACGATATCTTCCGCGGTGAAGGAATAACATAGTCTAATAAAAATCTAACACGCAAAAATTATAATTTACGTAATTACTGATGATAGAACGTCTTCTGCGTCCGCACAGGTAGGTCGCCACGGCCCGACAACGTCAGCCAGATAACGCCCGCAACAAATCTTCTAATTCACTGGTGGTAGGACCTCTTGTGAGTCCGCGCGGGTAGGTATCACCACCCTGCCTATTTCTGCCGTAAAGCAGTAACGGGTTTCGGTTTGAATGGTGGGGCAGCCGTTGTAACTATACTGAGACCTTAGAACTTAAATCTCAAGGTGTGTGGCGCATTTACGCTGTAGATGTCTATGGGCTCCAGTAACCACTTAACACCAGGTGGGCTGTGAGCTCGGCCACACATCTAAGCAATAAAAAATAAATAATAAATAATAAAAACTTAAAAACCAGTTGGGCCGCCAGTTCGTCCACGTATGTAAGCAATAAAAAAAATCTTTCGACATTCGTCTTAAATTTTATAATTTTTTCGACAAGATAACTAGACATTAATAACAATCCGTTTGTAAATTAAGTAAGTACCACGTCTCAGTTCGTTAGGTCAACTTAACAAAAGAAAAAAAAACAATATACATAATCTAAAAATTTATTATAAAAATCGCAACACCTTACGTTTAGAACAACAACAAAAAAAAACATAGAACATAAAATATACTCGTAAAAATAACTACCTATTCAGGTTGTCTTACTTATATATACGGAATGTTGTATTCACTTTCACCAAATAATAAAATTATTTTCTATTATTTATTTATTTATTTATTACACTAAACTTCATGTAAATTTTACATTAGCGAACTTAATGCCTTTATTAGCATTTTTCATCAAAAATTCCCGCGAAGGTTCCGTTAATACCTCTAAATACACACGCATATATAACATTTATAATCACATTATCTATGTAATAGTTTCTATGGACTTTGAAGTGTTTTTTTTAGATTAAAATACATACGTGATTATATCTGAGTTTATTCAGTGATTAATTGTGTCAACTTAACTTTGTAACAACTAATCAAATGACACACACCTTTTAAATGATTTTTTTTTAATGAAATATATTTGACTTTATCTTCGTAATAGGAAACATCACTAATATTTAAAAAAAATACTGCGCTTATGACAATGATTCTGTATTTTTGATAAAATGATTATTTATATACAAAAAAAAAACCTCCAGTGGTCGTAATAACAAATTGTATAGGACTGAACCACGGAATAGATAATTAAGGTTAAGATATCTATCGACTGAACAGAGCCGACCAGAGGGACTTTTGTGCAAAATCAAAAATCATGAGAACTACGTTTTCTTTGGCAATACATTTTTAACATAAGGAGGAGGATATGAAGAAGAAATTTGACATTATGCCATCTTCCGTTCAAAAGTTCCAATTATGTTCTTTCTTACTTTGTAGTAACATAATTTCTTTTTTATTATTATTATTGTTCAGTCACTTCTTTAATTCCATTACGAAGATCTTGGTAATTTAACACACATTCTCGATGCCTCCAATGAACACTACGCTAACTCCAAATTCGTAGGTTTACAGGAGGAGCGTTTAAACGAAAAAAGTTGATAAAACCTTTAATATTGCAGATATGTTTCTGGTTTTTTTTTTGTGTAACTACCTGATTTACTCTTGCTTCGAACCCCAATCAATAATGATTTGTAATACCTTTAAAATAGTGAAGCGATTTGCGTGAAAACGAAAATTTCAAAATGTTGAGTTAGACTAGTGTTCATTGGAGGCATCGTTCTCTGAATAGACAGAGCCTTTGAGGTTTTTTTATCATGCAGCAACTATATTATTAGATATACTACAACTATACTATAGCATTTAGATTTTAATCGAATTCATTAGTTCTGTTGAATAGTTATATTTCTATATAATTTCGATGAGTACCTATATATTATGTTTAATTATAATGAGACATTAAATTGGTGCGTTTACATGTGAATATTCATATTATCAAAAACAAAGATGTAAAAAATATATTTAATCCAAATAACTTAACAAAATATCAATGAAAGCTGGAAAAAGTGGTAACATTATTGAGGTAATATTTTTCGAAGCGTGGCATAGCCTTGAAAATTCCTTTGCGCTAATTTTAAAGTCGTCACCATAGATAATAAATACACGCGGTCGTCACCATAGATTATACACTTAATATGAGTCGTCTATTATCAAAGGTGGCAATCTGTGCATTTGGACAAAAAAAAATTATTGATATGTCAATACAGATTGATTTGAATATAATCGTCTCCTTCAAAGAATACGGTTCAAAACCTGCATTAAATAAAGGTTAATAGTTAACCTGTTATTTATCTAAGATGTCGTTCCGAAGAGTTTTGTGACTGCCAATGGAATACAAAGTCAATAATTCGTTTTTTTGATTTACCAATCATTGTCCAAAAGTCAGATTGCCGGCTTTGATAATAGTCGACTCATATGTCGTCACGGTGTTTTCGGATTGAATTAAATCGGAGCTCAAATATAATCGTATCGTTAAAATTAAACCAGAAAAATGAGTTATTATGATTGCTGGTAGGTAGTAAAGTTCTGTCGTCCTGCCTTAAGTGTATAATCTATGGTCCTGCCTATCACTGCGGCGAAATGGTCATGCGTTATGCTTGAGGTCAATAGCCGGGTATTTCAATTATGGCAGGCTTGCTTCTCGCGTTGGCGCCTCAGTGTTATTAAGTTGGTAGCATAATACAAAATCGGACGTGAATACGAATGTTTTTATGATAGAATTAGAACTGCTTTCACGATTTAATCTAACGTTGTTTTTATTGTCATTATTTTATTTCGGATGCGTCAAATACTTTACAGTTTTCATACTAGTTTCGTAGTTACGGATGAGTAAGGTTATAGTAGCGTATAATTTATTGACAAGAAAAAACGCGAAATTAAACTTTAAAAGTAATTTTGATTATGTCTACGACTCACGAAAACCGAAGAAAATATTAAGTGTTATGATATTGGAAACAAACTTTAAAATAATGCGACTTATTTTGTTTTGTAGATGTAGTTGTAAATATTGACATAAATAATTTTATTTCAGAATGTTCGAGAAACTTTCTCGAATTATTGTCTTGTGCTTTCGAGCTTCTCGAAGTTATCCTACCATTGAGATTTAATTATAGAAACCATTGTAATTTTAATCTTTAAGGATCTCGACAAATCAGTCTTATGCAAAACTTAATCTATGGCAAGAGTTCGGAACGATCCGACATCAGATGAAAATTCATTTTTGTTCTTCGATTTCTTCTCGACTCTCCACAGATTATCATCACTGAGAATTTCCCTGTAAAAAGAACCAATAATTTATTTGGACTTCCCAAAAATTCATCTGGTATACTTGGCTTATCGGTAGGCAGCGGCTTGGCTCTGCCCCTGGCATTGCTGAAGTCCATGGGCGACGGTAAACACTCACCATCAGGTGGGCCGTATACTCGTCTGCCCTTGTAGGGCAATAAAAAAAATCACATATATATACAATCACAAGATATTATATCCGAATTGTACATTGATTTGGCTTATTTGGTATCGACAGTCAATAATAAATAAAAATTAAGAATCTGGTAGTGAAAATAAATATTCTCCGGTTGCTTTTGTAATAATTACACATTTAAACATTATAAAACCATTATCAAACTATATGACAACATTTGGAATATGCACGTTATAATATGTTCTGTTACCTTAGAAAATACTTACTAACCACTATCTGCGGTGAATACAATATAATAAACTTTTATTTTAATTGCTTAAATGGATGGACACACGGCCCACCTGGTGTTAAGTGGTTAACGGAGCCCATAGACATTAACAACGTAAATATTGCCACTCACATGAGACATGAGTTCTAAGGTCTCCGTTTTTACAGAACAACGGTTGCCTCCAAACCGAAAGGCTTACTGCTTCACGACAGAAATAGGCAGGGTGGCGGTACCTACCCGTGCGGATCTACAAGACGTCCTACTACCAATAAATTATCTTTCAATTCGACCGAGCGCGTTAAGAATAGGTATATTGTATACAACAAGTCTCTGTAAGCTTTAAGCTTAGTGTGCTAGGCTGTGCATCGGCACAACTCTATGGTCATTTAAGAGCTCGACTGAGGCAAGAAACTCGAGAATATCGACCATCGCATTAGATTGTAGTATTATAATTTCACATTAATTCAATAAAACATAATTATTAAAAAAAAACAATATAATTAAATATATAGATATGCTAACCTTCTACTCTCCAACAGTTCCATAGCATCTTTGTTGAATTCCACCATGCTTTTCCTCGTACCACCATAGTCGGACGGCAGATCTTCTTTCTTCACGTAATCGTAAAGGGTTTGTGAATTCGGCGTGTGGAAATGTATCTAAAGAATAAATTTTCATCAATGCACATAATCAGATTATCAATAATATTAAATATGTTATACTAGAATTAGTAATAACGGGGAAAATAGAATGTCTCAAACATGAAAGAATCCTGATCACGCAGGAGTCAGTCACCGTCGATGCCCTAGACACGTCTTTACGGATCCATGAGATCTAATAACTCTTGCTCTAACTCTCTTAGATGCCTTCAGCTCTAAAACTAGGAGCAGACTTAAGGACCCCGGTAACCGTACTCGTGCAACATAACCCATACATCAGCCCGCTGAGCTTCTTGCCGAATCTTCTTAGTGGATCGCGATTCCGATCAGGTAGTAGATGTATTCATGGAGCAGCTATCCTTGAGCCGTTAGGTCTTCGGAGGCGCTCTGAGGCGCTTCGGAAAAGCACATCCCATCCTTTCTAGTTGAGCCCGGGCTCGTCCACCTGTACTGGTGAAACTGGAAAGGCCTCCGGGCCACCAGTTTTTGCTATTAATTTTAATTTTGATTATTTCTACGAAAACCGAAGATGTATGCGAATATTTTTGTATTCATATATGTATTTTGTATTAATCCAACTGTAGTTGTCTTTCAAACAGATTTACAATATTACAGAGACATAAAAAAAGGCAAAAGGAGGTGCCTCAGCCCCACCTACTTACCTTTTTATTATTATCTGTGATATTGTGTACTCCAATTTTTTTTTTCTCAACTGAAGCGGTACATATAAAATGATAGCGGTTAGTTATCATGCAGCCCCAAAAGTTATTGGCTAGATATATATATATATATATCTATAGATACTTATTGATTATCAGATTCACTGACCATATTCGTAATTTCTTGCTTCATGAAAGGCTTCAACAACGCGTACAATTTGTCTACAAACGGAGGGGCGTTCACAATGTGAATCTGCTTCAGGCGTATCGGCATTGCGTCCTGAAATAAATAAAAAATAGATATTCTATTGTTACCGAGTCTAGGCAACCCCCGACCCAGAGCCAGCGCTAAAACTATAAAATATAAAAAGGATCCCTTGCTGCGCCTTTGCCTCTTTTTTGTGCGTGGCGTTCGTGTGTGCGGTTCTTGTTGAAACATGTTTGGGACAAACATGTTTGTTGTGTAATTTTAACAGTTTTCGTTAATAGTAAATTGAAATCATTTTGTTAATTCAGTGAAATATAATTAGGCCAGTTCTGTGTTATTTATTTGTTTTTGTTAACTACCTCACTTCTGGTCGATAATACTATATTAAAGAAAAAAAAAATCATTTATTCGCCAAGCATAGTCAAAATGAGTTATTACATAAGTTAAAAGCAGCGTGCGTGTATGCTTTGTCACTAAATAACATGCGAATTTTAGTGCAGTGCAAGATTATATGATAATATATAATTTACCTTTCATTCATTCATAATTCAACAAATAATTAAAAAATCCATTTATTTTGAATGTCGTCCCTAAGAAAATCATTTATGTGATAATAATTTTCACTAATAAGATTATCTTTTAGCTTTTTCTTAAAATGACAATCGTCTAGGTCTCTTTTTTTTTATTTTTTTTTATTGACCTTGTAGGCAGATGAGCTCACAGCCCACCCGGTGTTATGTGGTTACTGAAGCCCATAGACATCTACAACGTAAATGCCACCACCCACCTTGAGATATGAATTCTAAGGTCTCAGTATTACTGCTTCACGGCAGAAATAGGCGGGGTGGTGGTACCTACCCGTGCGGACTCACGCGAGGTCCTACCATCAGTAAAAACTTGACACCAGGGTTTCACTTAGCTATAGCATTGCAGACGTTCGCTAGTGACAGCGACCCCTTAGGTGGGCCATACTTAATAGCATAAAGGCTAGAATTAACAAACAAATCAGTATACAGATTTTATGACCATTATCGTATTTGAAATATTGCGTATTATGAGTTAATCATTTTTTTTTCCTACCTAAGCTGATAGCCTTGAGAGGCTATTTCAGCGTAACCTTAACTAGTAGGTGAGCTCGTGGGGCTCAAACCTGACGACGTTGCTAACACGAACCCTAGCAAGAGCCGCGCTTCGCAGAATCTACCACCGGATCGGAAACGGGACCCACTGAGAATATCCGGCCAGAAACTCAGTGGGCTGTGTCTGAGGGTTAATTTACTTAACGAACCCTTCGTCGCAAGCGACGGGTTCGACAAGAACGGTGACCGGTGCTTGAGGTACCTAAATGCACCGTTAGTGGATCGAGAGGATCCGAAATGACGTGTTTGGGGCGACGTCGACTGCTTTCCATTCTTTCCGCAGGATCGCGAATGCGTTAATAATCTTGATTACTCGGTTATTTCTGCAAGGGTTTTCTCAACGGCAACTACTTTGTAGTCAAGCGCGAACCATAATAATAGTTTAATTTAAGTTTACTTAATTGCAAAATGTAATTTTATTTTAATAATAGTTTGCATAATTAATTTCAAGTTCGTTCTGTTGTTGATTATAAATATTTATCACAATAACAAAAAATTACTATTGTTTTATTACATGATTTTAAAAAGTGAGTTCATTAAAATTATTTAATAAAAGAAGTTTAATATTATTCATGTAGTAGTAAATTTATAGTGATATTAATTAGCAGTAATAGTAATAGTAGTAAGTAAAAGTTAGTATGTTCGTAATAGTAATATTATAATTTTATTTGAAAAAGTGAGGCTCACCTCCTGATATTTCGATAGTTTCTTTGCAACGGACACGTTGAATTTCGTGATAAATTTCAATGAAATATCTTTAACGTCCATTATAACCATATCGTCTTCCTCAAGCTTCTTATCGCTCAGCAACCAAGAATCCGTAGTTAACATGAAAACCTTGGCATCTTGTACGTAGTCGTAATTTTCCAAAGACGGGTCATTTAATTGCCATATCCACACGAATCTTCTTCCCGGTATTTCGTAGTGGGCGAGGTTTCTAAGAAAATAATGAAGCATCAAAACTATTCTTCTTTTATCTCATGGCCGACGTGACTAGAGGTCGATGACACAATAATGTGACTGAGTGGTACTTTGACGTAGGTACTTTGAGATTTTCGGCAAAGCCTTGTGGGCTTTGAAATGCATTGTGCTGTAGGTATATTAAATTTGTGCATTGAATCTAATAAACTAAATTGCTTTATTAATTCAAATCATGAACAGTTTGATCTCTCTGATATATGTGAGTCGTCTATTATCAAAGGTGGCAATCTGTGCATTTGGACAAAAAAAAATTATTGATATGTCAATACAGATTGATTTGAATATATCTAATCGTCTCCTTCAAAGAATACGGTTCAAAACCTGCATTAAATAAAGGTTAATAGTTAACCTGTTATTTATCTAAGATGTCGTTCCGAAGAGTTTTGTGACTGCCAATGGAATACAAAGTCAATAATTCGTTTTTCTGATTTACTAATCATTGTCCAAAAGTCAGATTGCCGCCTTCGATAATAGTCTACTCATGTATAAGTTAAGAAAAATTAATATAAAGAGTTAAGTAGCATGAGAAAAAATGTTTAGGTATTTTGATAGCTTTGACAATATCTGGTAGTACTATACGAATTATTGAAGTTTAATTAAAACTCCCCTTACTATTTAATCTCATAAGCTTTATTGTATTAAAAAATTATAAGACACAACACAAGATATACAACTTTTAAATAATTATAAAAACATAATATAATGAACAGCTCTTTGCGCGCAGAAATGACTAACAATACCTCAAAGTTCGGTCTTGCGCCGAATATTTACCAGTCGTATATTATTATACAAAGAAAATACAATACAAACAGTGCAAAAATAAATAAAATTAATCATTTTTCAATATGAATATGAAAAGTTGTTTAAATAGATGAATGCACACAGTTTTTTTTCGGTTAGACCTCGATTAATTAACTTTGGGACTAAGGTCGCTACGACCTTTGCCTTTTGTTACACATTCGACATTGTCGAACAGATTCGCCTCGATCCAGTTTTGTCCAGAACCTCGACCTTCGCAGCCTGTCAGGGGATTCACTGACCTTTGCCTCGTTAGTAATTTTGATACATTTGCTATTTATTGATTTTATTCTCATTCAAACGGATTGGAATTAGAACGGGCTTTAGAATAAGACGTCCGGCGCATTCATATTGAGCGATACGACTGTGCCGATGTTCAAATCCCGCAGGTAGATAATACATTTGAACAAGAATTTTTTGTAATTAAATACGTCCATTACAAATTTTCACGAATGACTTCCACAGTGAAGCAATAATATTGTATAATAAAAATCGTATTAACTGATAGGTAGGATCTCTTGTAAGCCCGCACGGGTAGGTACCACAGTACCACCGCCCTGTCTATATCTGTCGTGAAACCGTAATGAGTTTCGGTGTGAAGGGTAGCCTATTTTTTTTTTTTTTTTGCTTATATATGGGTGGACGAGCTCACAGCCCACCTGGTGTTAAATGGTTACTGGAGCCCATAGACATCTACAACGTAAATGCGCCACCCACCTTAAGATATAAGTTCTAAGGTCTCAGTATAGTTACAACGGCTAACCCACCCTTCGAACCGAAACGCATTACTGCTTCACGGCGGAAATAGGCGGGGTGGTGGTACCTACCCGTGCAGACTCCCAAGAGGTCCTACCACCAGTGATTACTCAAATTATAATTTTGCGGGTTTAATTTTTATTACACGATGTTATTCCTTCACCGTGGAAGTCAATCATGAACATTTGTTGAGTACGTATTTCATTAGAAAAATTGGTACCCGCCTGCGGGATTCGAACACCGGTGCATTGCTACACACGAATGCACCGGACGTCTTATCCTTTAGGCCACGACGACTTCAGTAGTGTTATAAAACTGATACTTAGAATTTATGTCTCAAAATGCAGGGCATCATTTTCGATGTTGATTCCTAAGGGTTCGGTGTGCTTAGTGCGAGATTTTTAACTTCTCGATTGAAAATTAACTCAAATTTGTATGGAGTTGGACGTTCTTACGTTTGCCACTAGGGGCGCTGATACAATATATTTCTGCCGAGAAGCAGTAATGCGTTTCGGTTTGAAGGGTGGGGCAGCCGTTGTAACTATACTTGAGACCTTAAAACTTATATCTCAAGGTGGGTGGCGCATTTAGGTTGTAGATGTCTATGGGCTCCAGTAACCACTTGTAGGCATCGGTTTGGCTCTGCCCGTGGCATTGCTGAAGCCCATGGGCGACGGTAACCACTCACCATCAGGTGGGCCGTATGCCCGTCTGCCTACAAGGGCAATAATAAAAAAAAACACCAGGTAGGCTGTGGGCTCGTCCACCCATCTAAGCAATAAAAAAAAAACTTACGGTATCCAGAACGTTAAAAAACTCACACTAAGCATACTGGTAACTACTTCACACCAGATGATCCATTCATCTGAGCAATAATAAAAACATAAAGGTATTCCCATTTCAATTGTTTTGTTAATTAACAAGAGATTAACCAAGCCGTGGTTGAAAATAAATGAACATGCAGGTCTTTCGCCCATCATCCATCACTTGTCTTGTCAATTGTCAATAGCGTTACGGACTAATATATGTTTTTTTAGGCTTAGATGGGTAGGCGTGATTGTGACGTGTCTGCTAAGCCAGGTGTCATTGATCTTAAGTCTCAGACATAAGGTGGAAATTACAATGCATTGTAATAATCACTTTCCTACGCGTCTTCTATATACACTTACAGAATTTGCAAAGCCTTCTTCATTGGCGGCGACGAAGGATCTCTATTCGTGAACAATTCAGGTGACGACGAACGTATGCTGCAGAACAACTCCAACGTGACCTTCGACTTGTCCAAGTCGTAGTAACAGCTGTGTAGGAATTGTAAAAGAATTGCGTCTTCTGTAATCAGAAATAACAATTATAATTCATACTGAACAAACATCTGCATGTTTCATTGTGATGCGTAATGAAATTTATTTTATATTTAAATTTACAATTTACTCATTCCCATTATCCCAATTAATGTTATTAGATTTTGAGGATTTAAATCTTATACCTTTAAACGAGCAATTCTTGTATATATATATATATAATTGAATATAATATGAATATAATTTGAATATCGGAAACGGCTCCAACGATTTTCATAAAATTTAGCATACCGGGGATTTCGGGGGCGATAAATCGATCTAGCTACGATTTATTTTCAGAAATTGTTGTTTTATTCGTGTTTTCAATAATCAACTCTTCCCGACATCTATTGGCGAATAATAATACTATTTTTCTTAATTGAGGGCAACTGACTGCTTTAAAGACACAACAAGATGGCGTTATAAAAAAAAAACCGGTCATCATCTAGTGATTAATATAACTACTGACGTGTCTATTCGTTTGTACAAGTAATACCTAAAGGATATAAAAATTCACGTCTATTAATGACTTTCGAAATATTCTAAATGAAACGTCATCAATATTTAACGAACCTAAAACAATAACACGTTAAAAGTGCCTTATAATTAAAATCGAAATTCAACTTTGTAGCTTGCAACTAAGTAAGGTATCTAAATATACATGAAGCAAAAACTTTGTATCCCTTTTTACGAAAAACGCGCGGACGGAGGAGTATGAAATTTTCCACACTTATAGAGAATATAGAGAAGAAGTGCACAATGCTAATATTTTTTAAAAATAATGCATAAAAGATACATTAAATCAATAAAGAAAACATTACACACACTACATACCATGTATTTGACGCACACACGCATGCATACTATTTATTGTCAAACTTTTGTTCTTGACGTCTGTNAATACAATGCTGTATGTTTTCCAAAGGCACATCAATATTACGGTTTTACATAACAATAAAACCGATATTATGTGCCGAGAAGGAAAACATACAGCATTGCAGGAAGTTCTTCCTGGTGAAGACTATGAAGATCAAAGATGGCTGCGCTTCCTTTATACTTGCTGGCAGCACCTAGCGGCTAAAGATGGAACTAAATTGACTGTCTATGATTGGACATAGACAAGGAATTTAAGCTAAGTACACACTGCTTCTTCATAATACAATGCTGTATGTTTTCCTTCTCGGCACATAATATCGGTTTTATTATGTAAAACCGTAATATTTTGTATTAATCCAACTGTAGTTGTCTTTCAAACAGATTTACAATATTACAGAGACATAAAAAAGGCAAAAGGAGGTGCCTCAGCTGCCCACCTACTTACCTTTTTATTAGTATCTGTGATATTGTGTACTCCAAAATTTTTTTTCTCAACTGAAGCGGTACATATGAAATGATAGCGGTTAGTCATCATGCAGCCTCAAAAGTTATTGGCTAGACATATATATATCTATAGATACTTATTGATTATCAGATTCACTGACCATATTCGTAATTTCTTGCTTCATGAAAGGTTTCAACAACGCGTACAATTTGTCTACAAACGGAGGGGCGTTCACAATGTGAATCTGCTTCAGACGTATCGGCATTGCGTCCTGAAATAAATAAAAAATAGATATTCTATATTAAAGAAAAACAGAAATCATTTATACGCCAAGCATAGTGAAAATGAGTTATCACACAAGTTAAAAGCAGCGTGCGTGTATGCTTTGTCACTAAATAACATGCGAATTTTAGTGCAGTGCAAGATATTATGATATTATATAATTTACCATTCATTCATCCATAATTCAACAAATAATTAAAAAATCCATTTATTTTGAATGTCGTCCCTAAGAAAATCATTTATGTGATAATAATTTTCACTAATAAGATTATCTTTTAGCTTTTTCTTAAAATGACTATCGTCTAGGTCTCTTTTTTTTAATTATTTTTTATTGCCCTTGTAGGCAGATGAGCTCACAGCCCACCCGGTGTTATGTGGTTACTGAAGCCCATAGACATCTACAACGTAAATGCCACCACCCACCTTGAGATATGAATTCTAAGGTCTCAGTATTACTGCTTCACGGCAGAAATAGGCGGGGTGGTGGTACCTACCCGTGCGGACTCACGCGAGGTCCTACCATCAGTAAAAACTTGACACCAGGGTTTCACTTAGCTATAGCATTGCAGACGTTCGCTAGTGTCAGCGACCCCTTAGGTGGGCCATACTTAATAGCTTAAAGGCTAGAATTAACAAACAAATCAGTATACAGATTTTATGACCATAATAGCGTATTTTAATTATTGCGTATTATGAGTTAATTTTTTTTTTTCCTACCTAAGCTGATAGCCTTGAGAGGCTATTTCAGCGTAACCTTAACTAGTAGGTGAGTTCGCGGGGCTCAAACCTGACGACGTTGCTAACACGAACCCTAGCAAGAGCCGCGCTTCGCAGAATCTACCACCGGATCGGAAACGGGACCCACTGAGAATATCCGGCCAGAAACTCAGTGGGCTGTGTCTGAGGGTTAATTTACTCGTCGAGCCCTTCGTCGCAAGCGACGGGTTCGACGAGAACGGTGACCGGTGCTTGAGGTACCTAAAAGCACCGTTAGTGGATCGGGAGGATCCGAAATGACGTGTTTAGGGCGACGTCAACTGCTTTCCATTCTTTCCGCAGGATCGGGAATGCGTTAATAATCTAGATTACTCGGTTATTTTTGCAGGGTTTTCTCAACTGCAACTAATTTGTAGTCAAGCACGAAGCATAATAATAGTTTAATTTAATTGCAAAATGTAATTTTATTTTAATAATAGTTTGCATAATTAATTTTAAGTTCGTTCTGTTGTTGGTTATAAATATTTATCGAATTATGAACGAAAACAATAGCTGTTGTTTTTATTACATGATTTAAAAAAGTGAGGTTTAATCAATATCTATACTAATATTATAAAGCTGAAGAGTTTGTTTGTTTGAACGCGCTAATCTCAGGAACTACTGGTCCGATTTGAAAAATTCTTTCAGTGTTAGATAGCCTATTTATTGAGGAAGACTATAGGTTATATAACATCAAGGTAAGACCAATACAAGTGGAGCACCAATAAAGAATGTTTCAAAATAGGGGTTTAAATAGCTCCTTAACATTCTATAATTCAAAAATATTATCACTCTCTGCGTAAATGAAGTGGGGGTGAAATTTTGCATTATGCCAAAGTAACTATTCCACGCGGACGGAGTCGCGGGCAAAAGCTAGTTATTTAATAAAAGGAAGTTTAATATTATTAATGTAGTAATAAATTTATAGTAATATTAATTAGTATTAATAATAATAGTAGTAAGTTAGTAATAGTAATATTATAATTTTATTTGAAAAAGTGAGGCTCACCTCCTGATATTTCGATAGTTTCTTTGCAACGGACACGTTGAATTTCGTGATAAATTTCAATGAAATGTCTTTAACGTCCATTATAACCATATCGTCTTCCTCGAGCTTCTTATCGCTCAGCAACCAAGAATCCGTAGTTAACATGAAAACCTTGGCATCTTGTACGTAGTCGTAATTTTCCAACGACGGGTCATTTAATTGCCATATCCATACGAATCTTCTTCCCGGTATTTCGTAGTGGGCGAGGTTTCTAAGAAAATAATGAAGCATCAAAACTATTCTTCTTTTATCTCATGGCCGACGTGACTAGAGGTCAACGACACAATAATGTGACTGAGTAGTACTTTGACGTAGGTACTTTGAGATTTTCGGCAAAGCGTTGTTGGCTTTGAAATGCATTGTGCTGTATATTAAATTTGTGCATTGAATCTAATAAACTAAATTGCTTTATTAATTCAAATCATGAACTGGTAATAACAAGCCAGTTTGATCTGTCTCTGATATATAGATATTAGTTAAGAAAAAATTATATAAAGAGTTTAGTAGTATGAGAAAGAATGCTTAGGTATTTTGATAACTTTGACAATATCTGGTAGTACTACTATACGAATTATTTAAGTTTAATTAAAACTCCCCTTAGTATTTAATCTCGTATACTTTATTGTATTAAAAAAATATACGACTATATACTATGTAACTTTTAAATAATTACAAAAACATAATATAATGAACAGCTCTTTGCGCGCAGAAATGACTAACAATACCTCAAAGTTCGGTCTTGCGCCGAATATTTACCAGTCGTATATTATTATACAAAGACAATACAATACAAACAGTGCACAAATAAATAAAATTAATCATTTTCCATTATGAATATGAAAAGTTGTTTAAATAGATGAATGCACACAGTTTTTTTTCGGTTAGACCTCGATTAATTAACTTTGGGACTAAGGTCGCTACGACCTTTGCCTTTTGTTACACATTCGACATTGTCGAACAGATTCGCCTCGATCCAGTTTTGTCCAGAACCTCGACCTTCGCAGCCTGTCAGGGGATTCACTGACCTTTGCCTCGTTACTAATGATGATACATTTGCTATTTATTGATTTTATTCTCATTCAAACGGATTGGAATTAGAACGGGCTTTAGAATAAGACGTCCGGCGCATTCGTATTGAGCGATACGACTGTGCCGATGTTCAAATCCCGCAGGTAGATAATATAGAAATTTTTGTAATGAAATACGTCCTTAATCATTTTTCACGAATAACTTCCACAGTGAAGCAACCCGCAAAAAAAATAATCGTATTAACTGATGGTAAGGTCTCTTGTGAACCCGCACGGGTAGGTACTACCACCCTGTCTATACCTGTCGTCGAGAAGTAATGCGTTTCAGTTTTAAGGATGGTCTAGCAGTAGTGTTATAAAACTGATACTTAGAATTTATGTCTCAAAATGCAGGGCATCATTTTCGATATTGATTCTCGATCGCATAAAAGGGTTCTTACGTTTGCCACTAGGGGCGCTGTTTCAAATCCATACAAATTTGAGTTAACTTTTACGGTATCGAGAACGTTAAAAAACTCGCACTAAGCATACTAGTAACTACTTTACACCAGATGAGCCATTCATCTGAGCAACAATAAAAACATAAAGGTATTCCCATTTCAATTGTTTTGTTAATTAACAAGAGATTAACCAAGCATTGATTGAAAATAAATGAACATGCAGGTCTTTCACCCATCCTCCATCACTTGTCTCCTAAATTGTCAATAGCGTTACGGACTAATATAAGTTTTTTAGGCTTAGATGGGTAGGCGTGATCGTGACCTGTCTGGTGCTTAGCGGGAACCAGGTGTCATTGATCTTAAGTCTCAGACATAAGGTGGAAATTACAATGCATTGTAATAATCACTTTCCTACGCGTCTTAATGATTTGCGGCTACTGGTATGGGGATGGCAAAGGTGTTCGTATTCTATATACACTTACAGAATTTGCAAAGCCTTCTTCATTGGCGGCGACGAAGGATCTCTGTTGGTGAACAATTCAGGTGACGACGAACGTATGCTGCAGAACAACTCCAACGTGACCTTCGACTTGTCCAAGTCGTAGTAACAGCTGTGTAGGAATTGTAAAAGAATTGCGTCTTCTGTAATCAGAAATAACAATTATAATTCATACTGAACAAACATCTGCATGTTTCATTGTGATGTGTAATGAAATTTATTTTATATTTTTATATTTAAATTTACAATCTACTCGTTCCCATTATCCCAATTAACGTTATTATATTTTGAGGATTTTTATAATATATTTTATATATAATTTGAATATCGGAAACGGCTCCAACGATTTTCATAAAATTTAGCATACCGGGGATTTCGGGGGCGATAAATCGATCTAGCTACGATTTATTTTCAGAAAACGTTGTTTTATTCGTGTTTTCAATAATCAACTCTTCCCGACATCTATTGGCGAATAATAATACTATTTTTCTTAATTGAGGGCAACTAACTGCTTTAAAGACACAACAAGATGGCGTTATCAAAAAAAAAACCGGTCATCATCTAGTGATTAACATAACTACTAGTGACGTGTCTATTCGTTTGTACAAGTAATACCTAAAGGATATAAAAATTCACGCCTATTAATGACTTTCGAAATATTCTAAATGAAACGTCATCAATATTTAACGAACCTAAAACAATAACGCGTTAAAAGTGCCTTATAATTAAAATCGAATTTCAACTTTGTAGCTTGCAACAAAGTAAGGTATCTTAATAAATTTGTGGTTTTACGATTGATAGAAATACCTTATGCCACGAAATGCCATTAGTTAATATACAGCTAAAACAATTATTTTTCTTACCGAACCTTGAAATAAACGTAAACACGAAGCAAGCTATTCAAATTTAAAATTTTATGGCAATTTAAGTTCACGTTTATTTTTGTTCTACTAAAGTTAGTTGTTATTTCGATTTTAAGAAGAAACTCAGATATTAGTCATCAGTTTACAGAAGGTGTCTTATGACGAAGTATGCTGTGTGCACATTAAAATCTTAACACATTTGTACATTAAAATTTATATACATACTAGTCGTACTCGCCCGCTTAGCTGGGCATTTAAAATTAAAATTATTATTTATTGTCATTATTATTATCCCTAATAATAACAACCGTCCAACACTCCTATAAATATTAGCCTATCCATTAAGTACATGTATTTCAAGTCAATCGGATGCATGGTTCAGTAATTTTAACGGAACATCCGTAAAAACCACTGTAGATTTATATATTAGTATACTTAAGATACACTTGAAAATCCCATTTCAAAATTTAAAGCTGTATCTAGTTATCAAACCTGGGCCATTAGGAGTCACAAATAAACCGGCTCAGTGTCTCTAAGCGTACGCCTTTTTTTTAAAACTAGAACCAATCGAAAACCAGTTCTATAAGACACACACGCGTCGACGAGGTTTCAATGCTCAGACGATTGAAGATAACATATTAAAATATTGAACTAGCTGACCCGGCAGACTTCGTAGTGCCTCAATCGATAAATAAAAGACCGACGCGACGGGGGACACATCAAAGGAGAAACAAAATTGTTATTTTTATGTAATTCCGAGCATTTTCATATTTATCTAAACCTTTTAAACCTTCTCTGGACTTCCACAAATAATTCAAGACCAAAATTAGCCAAATCGATCTAGCCGCTCTCGAGTTTTAGCGAGACTAACGAACAGCAATTCATTTTTATATATAGAGATAATCAATTTCCGGGCCAAATTATACTAAGGTTTTTCGACATCCCTAGAATGAGTCCTTAATAAAAATAAAACTATATATATTTTTTTGCAAATTTTTGTTGCTTAATATCTACATATATTGCCAATCAACTCTTTCTTCTGTTACTGTGTCATTATTCAATCGTATGATATTCATGTGCGGGTACCGGTAGGGAATAATGTAGCTATGCTCTCCGATTTCAATAGGATAGCCGATATTCAATTGTATTTGTAACTGCACTCCCTTAACTCAAAATAATCCGAGACGTTATTATATTTATGGGCTTGTAAACGCTTTCTACAGTCGCCACGGCCCGACAACGTCAGCCAGATAACACCCGCAACAAATCTTCTAATTCACTGGTGGTAGGACCTCTTGTGAGTCCGCGCGGGTAGGTATCACCACCCTGCCTATTTTTGCCGTGAAGCAGTAATGCGTTTCGGTTTAAAGGGTGGGGGAGCCGTTGTAACTATACTTGAGACCTTAGAACTTATATCTCAAGGTGGGTGGCGCATTTACGTTGTAGATGTCTATGGGCTCCAGTAACTACTTAACACCAGGTGGGCTGAGCTCGTCCACCCATCTAAGCAATAAATAAAAAAAAACTTACCTTTTGTTACCTTGAGACTATTCTTCGAAATACACTAGAGGATACACTAGAAAACGTATAATGTTAGTAGAACAAACTTACCTATATCCTTGGGCAAATTCGGTTGCCGGTTCGCCCATTCCTTTAATTGATCTACTTGTTGTTTCACATCGTCGGATACTTTATCCATTTTGTTTAGATATCTGAAAAGAATCACTTAGTCGGTATAAAATTTGACAGCTATATTAAAGACAAGAGTTTGACCAGGCACGTTATTCTCGGCAAAAAATAGAAATATTTCTGTTTATATGTTTTTTTTTAAATCCCAAACTACCAATAATAATTCTGTGACAGTCAAATCGTATCGAAGTAAACAAAGAAACGCCGAGCAAAAGCTAAAAAAACGCAGACAATTCTATTTATTGCGCAGTCAATATTTTGTACTATTTTATTTTTTATTCTTTAAGCTGGTAGCCTTGAGAGGCTATGTTAGCGTAACCGAGCCCGTAGGTGAGCTCACGGGGTTCTAACCAGAGGACGTTCCGAACACTAGCCCTAGCAAGAGCAGTGCTTTATAGAATCTTCCATCGGATCGAAAACGCAACCCACTGAGAAGATCCCGCGAGAAACTCAGTGGGCTTTTGTACTGTTGATACATGTTAGGAGCAGGGACGTCTTAAACTAGGATGGGGCCCTTGGGCACACAAGAATTTGAGGCCCTTTTGGAAAGTAAAAAAAGCGAATTATTATAACATTTTTTTACTGAGTATGAGACCGTTTATTATAGGTAATCAAATACAGTATGATATAATATATTGTCATTAATGATATTAGAATGCTCCTGGTTTTTTGGTTACGATTTCGATAACGGTTTCTTTCGGGATTTCTGTTGAGCAAAATCTTCTATTATAGGCATAGTATATGCCTTGTAAAAACCTTCTGATTACTGATTTGTGAAAAAAGTGTAATGTGCCCGACAAAAATGTTTTGAAAATAAACGTGTGCGAGAAATTGTCGGTCTTTTGGGGCCCCCTGAGAATGGGGGCCCTGGGCACGAGCCCCGTGTGCCTTTATGGTAAAGACGGTATTGGTTAGGAGTATATATTTGTACATACATTCACGTGCACGTTTTTGAAAGCGTTAAAATCTCATTGTTTCAACAATTATATTGTGTTTTGTAAGTAACAACCGAAGCTTTCTCCGAATATAGAAATTTGAATGATCGATTACGATATAACTTAAATATCCTACTGTCAAAACATAAAAAAATAACGCAATATGTTTTTGGAATTCCGTAACTAAATGGCACTACGGAACCCTCAAATATTTATAATGTTCTCACGAATCGCTCTCTTGAAAATTCTTTTACCAACCTACCACGTGTGTCCAAAGCTGTAATAATCGAATTATTTCGAAATATTTAATTTCCTTTACATACGTATTTACAGAATTTAAAGATATTTTTCGGTAGGCAGCGGCTTGGCTCTGCCCCTGGCATTGCTGAAGTCCATGGGTGACGGTAACCACTCACCATCAGGTGGGCCGTATCCTCGTACGCCTACAAGGGCAATAAAAAAAAAAAAATACACATCAACAGTTGACAACGGCCTTGACTAATAACAATATTCGTTGAAGTTATGGACAAAAAACACGGATGTTTTGAAATTATGTTTCCTTGCAACGCGCGTAAGTTGCAATCGTGTATTGAAATGACAAGTTACCACGATAATTTGAAACGTAGTACGTTAATGAGTATGTTCTAGAAATTCACGTTCGTTCTAATAATTAATGGCTCGGTTTTGTTATTACCGAACAATTATCGGTGGTCAGACTAATAATAATAAGAATTATGTAGGAGTTTTCGTGGCACGTAATATAAAATGAATGAGGAAAATTAATAATAATCACAAGTTATGGTAATTGGTAAAAAAAAACGTATTCATTTTATAATTAAAACCAAATTCTGAATCTTCAGTAATGCTTTAAAACATAGCATAGAAATATATGCAAGTAAAACTTTATTCTTTGTTTATTTACGATTTTACTTATATTTTTTAAATTAGAATTAATGATTTCATCATATCTTTTCCGTAGCAAAAATATGCGTTAAATTTATATACAATTTGCAAGTTAAATTTGCACAAAATCACGCTGAAACTGCAAACCGGACGAACAATTAATTTAATCTGTATTTTTATCCTCTTTAAAGCGAATCGATAAAAAAGTTATTGTATTGTCATCAATCTATGCGCGTGCAAATTTTCAAGTTAACCGGAAGTCTTCAAGTCGCTGAGAATGACGTTAAAAAATCATGTATAAATTAAATTACAGAGAGACACTTTAAATTTTAGCTATAAGTATCGATTAGAATCTATCAAACGTCTGAACGGAAGCCCACTGGGTTCTTCTTCTTTTTTTCCTACCTATTCACTGGTAACATAAAAGGCTATTCCAGCTACGCGCAGACGGGTAGGTGAGCTCACGGCCTCAACCTGAAAGAATTTGCTAACACTAGCTTTAGCAAGAGCAGTGCTCGCAGGAGCTACCACCGGATCGAAATCGGCGACCCACTGAGAAGATCCGGCGAGAAACTCAGTGGGCTAAGGAATAGCCTCTTAGGCTACCAGCGAATAGGTTAGGCTAGCAGGGTAAGGAAAAAAAATGATTCTATAGAATTTCTAAGCAACTTATAAAATGCCCAGTCATTGTGTTAACTATTTTTAATTTCATATCTTAAATATCCCTTTTATACACCACAAAACGAACATCCTCCAGTGGTTTAAACATAGCTTCCATATAGTTCATTGACACGTATTTTATTAACAACAACAAACAAAATTTAAATTTCTATGTCAATTCAATAGCAAACGGAATTAAGCAAACGCGAAGATAATTCCTATCGAATAAATTATTGTCAGTGCGTATGATACGCCGAGTTGGTATTCTGATATGGCGAGTACACGCGGCACTGATCATAGATAGTAGTACACTTAATATTTAAGAGTCTTGACGTGATTTTCAGAATGTCGATTGTTTGATAACACGTTTCTCTCTGTTATACCTATTAAATGTTTAAAACTAGTGTTCATTTATTTAACGTGGTACGTAACTAGAGCTGAAGCGTACGCTTAATTTTGTAACTTTAATATTGATAACGTACGTGATTAAATTTCATGTACATATTTAGTCAATCAAAATGAATAATTATTAATTGATTTTCCTTACAAAGTTTTTTTGTTATGTTCAATGCAGAACAAACACAACAGCTAAAATTATTTCATAGGCACGGCACATTGTGTGGTAACTATTGAAATTATCAGTGATAAAACATTCGAGATTATTATAGCTTAGGTTGATTTACAAAAGAAGAGTTTTCGAATACAAGCTTGTGAGATTATCGGGAAAATGTTATTTAAATAAATAATGTAACTACTGACGTGTCTGTTCGTTTATAATACATATTAAAGGTCATGCCTATTTCATGTTACTAGAGGTCCCGCAGTAGTCGAAATTCGACTATAATTAATTGGAATTGTAAGTTTGTACACTGTTATGATTTTATTTTATACTTCTATAATCCCAAATTTCGCCAAGACTACACTATAAAAAATATTAACAAAGACAAAAAATATTTAAGTAATCTATTTTCAATTTGACAACAGACGTCAAGAACAAAAGTTTGACAATAAATAGTATGCATGCGTGTGTGCGTCAAATACATGGTATGTAGTGTGTGTAACGTTTTCTTTATTGATTTAATGTATCTTTTATCCATTATTTAAAAAAAATATTAGCATTGTGCACTTCTTCTCTATATTCTCTTGTGTGGAAAATTTCATCCTCCTCCGACCACGCAATTTTCTTAAAAAGGGATACAAAGTTTTTGCTTCGCGTATTATAATTTCATGTTATTTCTTAGTGACAACGAATACGAATAATTAGAGAGTGATTATTTTGGATGACGGTCCAATTACTAAACAATCAATACAACAGTTTTGTGGATCGAAGCGGACATGATAATCGTACTAATATACTGAATTATAAAAAATCTTTTTAAAAATAATATGATTTAACTATTCATAGGAATCGAAAGAGAATACAAATTGATTTATTTCGTATTTCAAAACATTATACAAAGAAATTCGATTGGACAATTTTGGCACCCTCACGGTGAGAGTAACGAGCTGGAACTAAATTGTAATTTATTGAGTAACAGTATGAAGCATTGTAGAACATTACAAAATAAATTTTAAAATTTTATTTCTCAAAAATCATCGTGGCTTAAAGGATGAGACGCCTAGACTCGTTCGAGCGACGCGACAGTGCCGGTGTTCAAAACCCCGCAGGTAGGTACTATATTTTTTAAATGATATTTACTTAGCTCATGTTCACGAATGACTTCTACAATGGTAAAATAGCATCGTGTAATAAAAATCAAACACGCTAAAATTATGATTTCGGAAATCAGTGTATAATTGAGATACAGACCTCAAGTCTCGATGGATAGATGGTGGCATTTACGTTGTGATGTCTATGGGCTTTGTTAACCACCTAACATCAGATGGGCTTTGAGCTCATTAACCTGTCTAAGCAATAAAAAAAACCTAACTCGCAACGTTTGACGAAACTCTCGGCCTTTAGAATTACTTACTTTTGGGTTATTCTACAATTTAAAAGATTAGGCATAAATAGCGTGGCTAGAATAATAATAGGTTGAATCGAGAACTGTTCAAATTGAGTTGAGAAAGCAATCACGACATGCAGCCGCAACTACCCATCCAGACTGCGTTTGGTAATTTCCGCAGTTTCATCGGGCCACCCACAGTGCATGTCGCGGTTACCGATCGAAAACTACAAGATAGATAGATACCAGGAATAAAATTAGTCGATCCTTCACAGATAATATAAAACTGTCATTTAATTTACTAGAATTATTGAGAATGTTCTAGAGGGTTTCCGAATCTAGATTAATCTATGAAAACGCACAGGACACGAATGCCATGCTATTAATTCTAACATTCTAGAATTCTAGCTAGATTAATTCTAGACTCCAATGACTAGAATATTAATATTATAGCTTAATTTTCTAGTAATTTAATAGTACCAAAATTATTTTATACTAGCTATTGTATACGAGTATTACAGTCACAAAACGGACGCACTTAAAGACATGTTTCTATTATCAACTTCAAATTTCAAATTAATTATGTAAGATTCTTTTAACGTTCTTGACGTTTATTAGTTGCCTGTGGTCTGTTGTCTGTTTCATTATTTAAAACGTCCACAAATCAAATTATAAAAAACCTATAAATGTGATTATTTTGTAAATTCATAATAGAAGTCAAAGAGAAGTAGGTAATATTCCGTTCTTGTTATTAAAACAATCCTGTGACCGGAAAGTCATATTTTCAAACATTATTCCGAAATGAAATATGACAATGACAAAAATAAAACTCGATTTGTTTCATATATTCCGTGATTGTTCGACACTACCAGACACTACGTATGCCATAAAAACTGTAAACAGACATTAATATTTTGTATAACGATACTTTATTCGTTAAAAACAGGCTTTTTCAATTCTCGCATCTTAAGCGAAAAGGATAGTCTATAAATACAACAACAACAATATTTTTGACAAAGTATGTTAAATCCAGAGTATTTATATAATATGAAGCAGCTCGATGCACTATCAAAGGTAAATGCATAATCTTCCTTCTTCACGACGAGTGGAATGTTTTTTAATTGCGTTTGACGCGCTAGTAGATATAACTTAACTGCTTATATAAATATGAATCATTCTTACATGCAGTCAAAAACTATTAAGTCGTGGGTAAATTTACACAGTTATTATATTTTTATAATACATATTTACTTTAGTGGTTTCAAACAAAAACAATTGGATATAATTCTTGGAATTTAGAACCTCAGGAAAATGGTTTGATAGAGTTAATAATTACAACAAAATATTTTCAGTTATTTAGTTACAAAAACCTACTACCGATTATACAGCTGTCCTACACATAGAGCATTTGGAAGTAGTTTATAAAGGGATGACTATTTGAAAACGTCTGTAAGGGCTCACTTGAATAAAAAATCCTTTTGATTTTGTCCAAGATTCTATTAAGTCTTGCTTATTATTATTGTCAAGAAAAAAAAGGACTTTTTGTCAATATCGCGACACTTAATAGAGTGACTGTCACGTGCTGAGGGGTGATTTTCACTACCCGGAACAACTCTCCTCTTCGCCTACGCTTTACTTATAGAGGACAATTCCTTCCAGCTTTACCTTGGTCAGTCTACCTTACGGGAGATCTAACGCGCAGCCTACAGCCTATACTTTGCTTTACTACCACCATAAATACTTCGTGATACATGCCCAAAGAATCTTCGAATAGGGGACGGCGTTATGCAAGGAGAGAGAGAGATTGTTAATTAATCACTCACTGTTATGTATGCTGAGTATTGTTATAGCGATAGTGCTTCTTTTTATGGGTGGACGAGCTCACAGCTCACCTGGTGTTAAATACTTCACCCACCTAGAGATATAAGTTCTAAGGTCTCAAGTATAGTTACAGCGGCTGCCCTACCCTTCAAACCGAAACGCATTACTGCTTCACGGCAGAAATAGGCAGGGTGAAGTGCAATGATATCGCAAGAATTGGTGTCCCCACGCTGCCTTGTGTATAAAAACAGTGATGCGATATCATGGATAGGCTTGCGGCTATTTCAATGAAAAATGAACTGTAACGTAAAATTTACCTTTAGCAAAAAACAAGATAGCAGAATTGTTATCATCGTGCCGCCATGTCATTCAATCCCATTACAGAATGTCATATCGGATCTCTAATCTAAATGCGTTTTTTAATTATTGTTACGTCTATTTCAATTATTTTTATTAATAATCAGTATTATCAGTATCATGACGTTTTCTATGACATCGTAAAATCAAATGGGCAATATTTATTTATATGCTAGGATAAGTAACTGGTTGGACTCTGTGAGCCCACGTGAGTTATACGCGTGACCGAATCACGCGGTCAACGATTTGGGAAAAACGATATAGGCATGATGTTTCACCGACCGGTTGTAATTGCTCGTTCGGAATTTTTATATATGTATGGAAACTTCTTGAAAATGTCGTCAGCGCAATTATGGTTTTTTTCAAATATCTTTAATCTATGACAGTAACAGCTACTCTATTTCGGCGGCTGAGCGGTTATGCGTTTTTATCGGACGAATAAAATAACAAATTATTCCAATATAATTAAGCCAAACTTTCACGAGTATCGGTAGAATTAACACTGTAATATCTACGAGCTCCGGTTTCCACTTACCACCACCAGGTGTGCATCAAATATAAAAATCAACTTAAAAGCACTAAATATAATAAATAATGTTTATGTTGTAGATAGCCGCGAAGGTTTAAAACAATATTATGTTAATTGTATTATTGTACTTTCTTATTGCTATCTTCAGCATTGCTGTTACAGTTTTTGTTGTTTGATAGGTAGTAATTTTAAAGACAGTATCTCATTATTCTAGAAGAAATATAATCGAAGATAATTATTCTGTGGTATCGATCTTGCACGAGATTTTCACGTCCTTGTGCCATCCAGATTCCCGTCAGCTCATAAAATCACTGACGTCATAGCACAGATGCCGGATGCTGGATGCACGTAATAAGTACCTACATTAACGATAAATGCATTTTTGTGTATTACACGGGACATACAATGTGAGTTCGAAATTACATTAATTATAGATTATAGGAATGAAAAAGCGAAACGGTAAAAATAAAATAATTTTTAAAGAACACGCTTTCATAATATTTAATTTTAATCCTTAACTCAATGAATTCGTCATTACGTTGCCAATACCAGTACAGTTGTACCAAAATGTTGTATTGTTATTAGACAATACATAATTACAAAGCTTCATGATTGATGAGACAATTAGAAGTGAATTAAAATTAAATTTGATGCTTCCATTATGCCAGTGACGTTACTGTCACTATTACACATCATAGGTATCTCCCTTTTATCAATCTAGTCGTTCTAGTCAACGTCACAGAGCGAGCTAGCAAATACAGAGACCCATACATACACCTATGTAGGTTCAAAAACATCGCCCTCTGTCTGGGGTAGTCGGGGAAAAAAGGTCGCCAATGAACCGGTCATAAACTGGGTACCATAATTTAAAATTTGCAAGCGTATTGTATTCATTCTCTCGAAATAGATTCACGAATAACCAGTTGTCAAATTGGATTTAATTAATAAATTTTAATACAGAAAAATACCGACACGAAGCTCTTAAAAAAATAGAGTTAACATAACATTTATGACCGACCATAGACAAAGTTTAAAAAAAAGTGCAGTAAATGAACATTATAAATTATCATCAAAATTGTTACAACTTTTAATACGTTCCAAAACCATATGGAATAAAAAAGCGAACACAACTAATGTGTTTACTAAAATTGTGAACGATACAAACAGTCACAAATATAGCTTAAATGGATTACTCTACGATTTAACAGAAGCGAACATAGGACACCACCTATTATTAGTATTCATTAATAACTGTAATACTCACGCATACACGGCATTTATCTTAGAAAATAACCCGCAACTACGAGCAGTTTCAAAGGAGCCAATTGTCACGGAGAATATATTGAATTACTGATAAAACACGTCAGAACTGAACGGTGCGCACTTCGTTACTGTCTGGCTGACTGAATAGTTGAAAATCCAAATGAACACAGCTTGGTTCGAGTGTACTCGCGATGCACGGCGCGAAAGGTCTTGATTATCGGATCAAAAGCATAAAGATACTGTCCTAATTGTGATATAAAGGTTATATTTTATGTTGTGCATTATCTATATATCTTGAAAGTCGTACGGATCGTCGTCAATATGGATTTATGAGCAAAACGCGTAATTTAAATTACCTTAAAATAAAGTTATCCATCAGTAAATTAACACCAGTGAATCTCGGTAGATGCCATATTGTACACAGCGCGCACGTAGATTTTCTTTTTACAACAATTCAATTTTTGCCTTATTTTGCAGGTTCAAGGAAAGTCCATTTCGAAAAAGCGGCACACCACGAGAGCCCTCTCATCGTGGCCGCCGGTAACTACATTCCCGATCCTGCGGACCGAATGATAAACAGTCGACGTCGCCCAAAACACGTCATTTCGGATCCTCCCGATCTACTAACGGTGCTTTTAGGTACCTCAAGCACCGGTCATCGTTCTCGTCGAACCCGTCGCTTGCGACGAAGGGCTCGGCAAGTAAATTAACCCACAGACACAGCCCACTGAGTTTCTGGCCGGATATTCTCAGTGGGTCGCGTTTCCGATCCGGTGGTAGATTCAACGAAGCACTGCTGTGTTGTGTTTTTATCTCAAAATATAAACCACGATAATATTTTTAAACTTTTGGAAAAATAATTTAATATTGCAGTTACGAAATTAGTCATTTATTGATTTACGTTTGCAAACATCTTTACCTAATAACACATTGCTTTTATATCAAATTTTTGTTTAATTTATGATTGAATTAGGCACATAAAATGAACTTCTAGAACATAAAACGAAATCTCAGAATATCTCTCAATCCATAGTCCATTTTACTTCAATAATATGGACACCAAATAAATGCTATTTGTCAGGAATGTATTTTCAATGAATCAGCCAAGCTAGAATTCAACGGTGTATTTAATTTAGAAAAAGACTTAACTACAGATGATGACATGAATCAATGTACCAAGTAGAGAATAAAATAATACTAAATTTTAGCAATAAAGAAAAACCTGCTTCAAAAATGGTAAATGAGATGAATGTAGTCGAACTCAATTAAATATGCATTAATAAGGATAACTCATAAAATACTGGTCAGATGTTGATAATAACTAAATGGGACAACATGAGAATTCGAATAAAAGAATATTCATCAATATCTGTTCACCTTGTAAAAATTTCGAAGTTTCGAAAGTCGAATTAAGAACCTCCTCCTTTTTAAATTGGTTAAAAAATGGTAGCATTTTTTTATTGCCTAGATGGGTGGACGAGCTCACAGCCCACCTGGTGTTAAGTGGTTACCGGAGCCCATAGACATCTACGATGTAAATGCGCCACCCACCTTGAGATATAAATTCTAAGGTCTCAGTATAGTTACAACGGCTGCCCACGCTTCAAGCCGAAACCCATTATTGCTTCACGGCAGAAATAGGCGGGGTGGTTGTACCTACTCATGCGGACTCACAAGAAGTCCTACCACCAGTAATGCCAGTAGCATGCAAGAAAAAAATTTCACATCAGGAGCGAAATTTCGGTCCCAGAGGACGAATTTCCATTTTTTCTCCCGGTCTTTAATCTTTAAGGTTACATATTTTAAAAGGCATGCTTTAATTTTCAAGGAGTCTGCTACCAACGTAAATACCATGTTGAATGCACCGATTCTCGTTCGACCACCGAAGTCGGGCTTGACCAATACTTGGATTCATATCCGGTAAAACTAGCATAAGCCCTCGAGGATATTCTCAATAAGATGGAAAAAAGAAAAGAAGAGAAAAAAAATGCAATTATTAACACGTTGACTACCATGTAGGTCACCGGTGCCCTACGCGGTGCACTGAAGTAATTATGTCGATTTCTGTTACTAAGCGCTTGGATTGCCTAACTTTGTCTTCTTTTGTTTGATAATGTATGTTTTAGTCTTTTAGGTCTCTTAGAAATAGATTCATTGTCAGTACCTTCGGATTCGTCTTTCCCAAAGTCTACTAGATATACCGGCGCCTTAGTAAGAAGAACAAAGAGAGAAATCGACATAGTTACTTCAGTGCGCCGCATAGGGCACCGGTGACCTACATGGCAGTCAACGTGTTAATAATTGCATTTTTTTTAATTCTCACTTTTCTCACCGGTGCATTTCAGTTTACTAGAAAATCGTCTTTGGATTTTTAAAATATTTTTTATACCGAAGAGACACTAAATAGACAAAATAAAATAAATCACACAAAAAATTATACAGCGATATAGGCATATATGGCTTGCTAATGTATATAGCGATATATACATTAGCAAGCCATAAATTGTACGTTTCAGTGAACGTCAATCAAAGCAAGTGAATAATAAGACAACAACAAGTTAAGGCAATTGGCATAGCATTATGATTAAGTGTGATAATGGGAAAAATGCAAAAAGCTAATACTTTAGCTTTGCTAATATCATAACAGTATAATAAAATACACTATTGAGTTCATCATTTAATTTTATACTATTACTTATTCGAGAAATCCTTACGTCATACGTTTCTTCTTAATTTTTTAGTATGGCAATTTGCAAACTTTTCTGGCAATGCTATCACGGCTGTCATAGATAATGCACTCTATGATGACTGTTTAGGACAGTAAGACGGTAAAGACACGGCGGCAGGAACTGATAATCGGCAATTGCTTCATAAACTATGCACTAATAGAACTACTATGTAACTATAAGTATAACACTTGATCGTTTATTGTGGTAGCTGTGATAATTAATAATACATAATCTTCGGATGTACATACATACTGACTTTTTATTTTTTACATTAATCTACACGACTAACTAATTGTTGCTAGGCAACAATATTCTTTTAATAAATTTATGATGCTTACATCAGTTTAAGTACATACATTATTCTATACTATGTACAAAAAAAAACAACCACTTGACCTGTGTGTGCAGTGTCGAAATGATTGAAATAAGTTTAATTGGAAGCGTTCACGACGGATATGAATAATATGATTTTATGATCTGGTAACTAGGACCTTTAGGTCAAGTCTTATTTTTATTTTAATAACTTTTTTTTAAGAAAAATGGTATTATGAAATGAAACGAAGTTGATTATTATAAAACATGGCATGAAATTAAATGAAAATGAAATGAGATGAGTTGAGATGATATGGAATGAAATATAACCTTAGTAAAATGGTGGTCATTTACTGAGAGTTTTTTTGTGAACTGTTTGGAAGACCCCGAGAAGTTACGTTCAGCGGCTTTATTTTATTTTCCCACAGTTGTGCACTTTCACAAATACTAAACAGTTAATAAACCACCGTTATTACACATTTAAACCTGAAGAAACACTAATTAAACAAAATAAAACAAAATTAATCACACAACTTCACTTCTCGCGTTCCCGCTAAAAACTTAGTTGCCATATTTTGTTTACCATAGTGTACAGATAACAACAACAAAAAACAGATACTATTACGGTACTTATTGATGAATTAAAAACTTCAAATTACAGTGACGTTTTCATTTTAACAATAAAAAAATAAATATTTTGAACTAATAAATCAGTTGGCCCTGTTGGCAGATAGTTTTTTTGCAAAGTCAAACAGCTGCTTAAAAATTCTAGCAAATTACTCACCTTACTCTCTGTCAAATTTATATTATTTCGATTTCTTGTTATCTGTGGTAGATAATGTTGCTCATGTGAAAACGTTATGCAGGGCAATATTTGATTAGTTTACAAAATATTACCCATTGGTTCGAAAGAATTTGTTCACTATATTATTATAAGATAAAATGTATATAGCTTGGCCGAAAAGATGTCGAATTCAGTGCTGGTTTTTTTCATTGTTTTATTTTTCTGGATGAAAAATCAGATAAATATATTAAAAAGATAAGAACAAGACTCTAAATTAATAAAGAAATAGAATAATTTGATTGCCATCGATTCTTATGTGCCTAAATGTTTTTTAATTTTTAGTAAACTGGCCACACCGAATGGTGCAAGTTTGCGCATGCGCCGAATGGCGAATCAGTGACTATTTCTTTGAGTTAGATATTTTGTAATTAAGAAATTTTATTATTAGTCAGTAGATCATTTATGCCTGTGTGTGTAAATAATTTTATATTTTAGTTCTCACGTTCNGATTGCCATTGATTCTTATGTGCCTAAATGTTTTTTAATTTTTAGTAAACTGGCCACACCGAATGGTGCAAGTTTGCGCATGCGCCGAATGGCGAATCAGTGACTATTTCTTTGAGTTAGATATTTTGTAATTAAGAAATTTTATTATTAGTCAGTAGATCATTTATGCCTGTGTGTGTAAATAATTTTATATTTTAGTTCTCACGTTCTTGTTTGAAATTTCGATTATTGTTATTAAAGGAGTGTTAAAGTGTAACATTGGTGGCCATTACAAAACCTAAACTTTTATCAGGACAAATGTCCATTTGATGTTTCGGCGACGTTGTGACTAATCTCAAAGCTATCTGAAACTGTGTTAAAAATCTACAAAAGTAACTACGGAGAATACTTGAGTGATGTAAATGGTGACACAGCTACCATATTAATAAATTGTTTCAAAGATCTTGCCGATCAACAAATTGGGATTGACTTCTAAAAATCAACTGTCAATTGTTACATTAAATTTTATTTAACAATAAATACAATTTCTTTTAGATAATTAGTAATCATAAATGAGTAATTAGTTATGGATTGATCCAGGCTTCGCTGCATTCCGGGTAATTTAACCGAACGTGAACACCCACATCGCTTGTTGTCACTCTTCAATGAACATAACATTGGTGGAACGACCTCTATTCCTTTTTTCCCAATTCTTTAGTTAAAAAAGCAAATTTTAAAGTTTCAGCAAGAACTATATTAATTCACTTGTCGTCATAACTATCGCCGAAACATTAATCAGGATGAACTTCGGTTTTTTCAGTGTAACAAAAATGATTGTGAGATAAAATTAATAGTGGTACAGTAATAACAGTATTACTACAACATAAATCTGTTTTATACAAAAACAAAAGTGTATGTCTGGATTTTGGTATGGCGATGCATCGCCGATTGTGTTCTTCTAATATTTGGTGACATGGGCTGCATTGCTGCGGCCCGTACAGACGCTGGGCACAAGCAGTGATCGCGCGTGCACGGCCAGGGCCTGCACAATTCATCTAGTATTATGAACAAACGAGATAGCAACAAGGACAAGGACCGCCAGAACGAGGACAAGAGAACATCTACGTAAGAATTATTTTTACTTACTTATGAGTCCAAACCATATATTGACAGATTACAAACACGTATTTTTTTGTATGTTGGAAAGCTGTACTAGAACATGTTTACTTAATATACCATTGCCAGAAGTGAATAGTTAGGATAAGTACTTAGAGTCTTAAACTTATCTCGGTTGCAACTTTATTAAGATAACATCCTGTAAATAATGATGTTTTTAAAAAAAAGCTGTTCATTGGGTTAAAATAAATGCTTTGATTTCAAAGTTTGGTACATAAATTTAAATATAGAATTTAAAATAAATGAATCATTTACATAATCTCAAAAGAAATTTTAAAGCAAGTTTGCAAAAGTTAATTACTTTTGAAGTTATTGCCAAGGATATTCAGCATCACTACTAACTATAGTGTAACCTAGAAATGGTTATATGGGTTAGTTCTTTTGATTAATCTAGAAACCGATTACCTGTACAACAGATAAGATACTATGTAAATACTCATGGGTCACTATATTTATCAACAACATTAATATGGCTTTATTAATAAATATTTATTATTATTAATAATATAATATAGTTCAACTGAAGAAACATCAAACTAATAGACTTGAAAAAAGGAAAAAAAAAAACATCAGATAATAATTTTTCAAAAATATTTTTTCTTTTGCTAATTCATCATTATTTCTCTTCTATAGTTAAATTTCAAACACTATTAAAAACTTATGTAATCCACAGACAAACTCTGATTTTTGAAGGATACAGTAACATTCTATTATGTCATGAAATATAATTTATTTTCTGTTGAAAGTATAAATATAATGCATTTATATTGCATTAGTGAATCATAGAGGTTAAACATCTTATATCTGCTTCTGACACAATGGCACTGATAACATGTTCCTAATAAAAATGAAACTTATCAAATCATTCAGTGCAACTTTGATTGTGTACAATAGTAAAGTTTATGTTTCCTTTTATTACTACCTGTATTCTGGGTTTTGTATTCAGGCTTGTTTTTTTACAAAAAGCTCGAAAAATTATAAGAGGTCAAAAAAAAAAGGTTTNACATCTTATATCTGCTTCTGACACAATGGCACTGATAACATGTTCCTAATAAAAATGAAACTTATCAAATCATTCAGTGCAACTTTGATTGTGTACAATAGTAAAGTTTATGTTTCCTTTTATTACTACCTGTATTCTGGGTTTTGTATTCAGGCTTGTTTTTTTACAAAAAGCTCGAAAAATTATAAGAGGTCAAAAAAAAAAGGTTTTTGGTAACTCTGTGCTCTGTGTCATATTTCCATATGGTCATGAATGCATAAATTGACAAGTTTGTTCATTTTTTAACCATGACTAATTAATTTTGTCAACAATGATTATTCTAATTTATGGCTGTCTTAGCTTTTACTCACAAACAGAGAAACATGCATAGAAAATTGTAAGTATGTAAATCACAGTTTTAGCAACACACATCTTTATTTTGGTCGAATGATTATGTCCTTGTCCAAGTTCACAGCTCCCTTAAAGATTAAAGATATTTATCTCTCCTCACCTTTCTGTTGTTCAGCAAAAATCTCATTATATCCTATAATAATGTTACACTGGTTAACATTATCAATCATTATAAGTGACCGACCTGATGTTAATTGTTTACTGGAGCCCCTAAACTTGAAGGCTGCAGCCTCCTTTGAGATATGAAGTCAGATGCTTAATGATGTTTGTGTGATGAAAAAAAAACTTTCTTGTTGCATAGTAAACAAGCTTATGCCCCACCTGGTGTAATGATTACCAGAGCCTTTAAACATCAAAAAACCACTTACCTGAAGGCCTGAGATTGAAGGTCAACTGTATTTTGAGCTATATGTACCCTGCCTTTCAAATGGCAACCCATGATGTCTTTGTGGCAAAATAATTGCTTTTGTCGACAGACAAGCATAGACCCATCTTGATGTTGAGTAATTACTGTTGGCCGTGGACATCAAAAATAGCAGACGCAAAGCTAAACAGCTGCCTACCACGCAAATTTGGCAGACTGGCTACCGCCATTCCTGTGCAGGCTTACACTACTCCCTACTTTCAATAATTGCCAATTGATGATTTCATTAGATCTCACAAAACACTACTGTCCATTCTTTTGTCATTCCTTAGTTGCATTTTATCACCATCATGGAAGGAGATAGTGTGGTGCTGTGCTAAGCTAACCCCACTTCATCTACCTGTTAATAATTGTAATAAATTAATTCTTACCTGCAAACCAAACTGCTTCTCATTAGAAATAGGTAGAGATATGTGCTAGTTTACTACATTTACAAACTACATTTAATAAAGTTTTTGATAGCTCAGCTTGTATTCTAAAACACATACTTTTACTATATTTTTGTATAAACCAGTTTCACAAATCAACCAAAAAATTACAAAGACAAAAAAAATATAATGTAAAATAAATAAAAATTAATCAAAAACTTTTTTCTGTGATATTATAATAATATGTTTAAACTTTGTAATAAACCATAAATTACATAAAGGCTGTTCATAAGTTGATATTATTGTGCGTAACAAATTTTTCTTAGAAAAGTATATCTAGGTATACAGTAGATTGAACTAAATATAATTGATATTTGATATGTGAAATTGTAATTGACTGAAACTTATGGTAAATATTAGTTGCAATAAATGATAGTAATTCATTATTAAGGAAACTTACAATTGGATAGTTGTACATGTTTAAGTTCTTAAAACAGATATAGGAAATTATGTATCATTACTGATACCATTTTGTTAAATTAAAATCATCACACAACTGACAACATGAAAACTGATAATCTATCACTCTTATCATTTAGAAAACTACAGTCTGGGATATTTTGCTAATGTAGGAAGTTTGTTTTAGATTAAATTAATAGTTAAGAATTAATTCAATATTACTTTATTAAATGCAGGAACCTACAATTGCATAAGTTTGATAATAAGTATTTTTTTTATTAATTATTTATTTTACATAAATAAATTTGATTGTTCATTCATTTATCATTTTAGCTAGCTTAGTTACTGTGATTGAATGATGAGTTACTTTGAGTTAATTTCTATACATTACTTGCTCCTGTCATTGATTTGTATAAAGCTTGGTTTTAAAAATAACTCAAAAGTATGAATCAAATTACAAGTGTAAAATGTCTTACAGTTAATACATACAATAATTATTTAGTTCCATGCTTTTGGTTGGTGGTGTATTGCAACTTTCACTTTTAGACTCAATGCCGGTAACGGCTAGTATGATTCATTATGTTAAACCTGCCAGATTCTGCCACAATAAAAAATTATGTTTTGTGATTTAAAATTTTAATAGTAGACAAATACTCTATAAAAACGATAAAGAAATTATTTCATAACAATGGTGTACTTATTAGCACAAATGATTACAAATGTGTATAGTGTGCTTGAATTAAACAGTTCTCTTGGTCTATAGGCTTAACGTGGTACCCTTAATTTTAGAATATTTTTCTAAAAATAAGCTATTAAAGTCAACATTAAAATGAAAACAAATGTAATGAAAATGCGGTTTCAGAACAACTTACAAAGATTTTTTTTGTATTGTATGTAAATTTTTGCAAACGCTAGAAAGCAGTGTTTTATTTAATAATTTTTTTATTGCCCTCGCAGACAGACGAGCATACGGCCCACCTGATGGTGAGTGGTTACCGTCGCCCATGGACTTCAGCAATGCCAGGGGCAGAGCCAAGCCGCTTTATTAATTAATTGTACTAAAAGAGTTTCACAGAAACCACCAGACAAACTAAGATATTTGTCAGATTAAGCTCACGAAATGAATTGTATGAAGTTTTATTTTAGATTGAAAATTGGGTGACTGACTTTGCAACAGCTATTGTTTGTAAACATTGCTACATTTAAGCTCAAATGAGGTGGCTTCTGACTTTGTGATTCACATAACATTACTTCAGTGAAGTGCTACCTATTTTTACCACTTTATAAAATCTAAAATGTTTAAATTGATTTTTTTTTTACTTTTATTATTATAAAGTGATTTGTTCTATAATTTAAATCACTAATATTTTTATTGCAAGGCTGGGTTAACGATATTACGGTTCACTTTGTATTAAGTCGCTATCAGATCCATAGGTGTGTCAGATGTCAGATTCAACACAAATGCGGCCACCAATCTTGAGACATGAGCTCGAAGTTTCAATTGTATTGTGTAACGTCCGTACCACCCTTCAAATCGGACTGCTTCGAAATTAACATATCTATGTATGATTTATTAATATGTAGAATTTTCATAATTCAGTTCATACAAATAGAATCGAAAACCTTGAGACATCCAAACTATGATTTCTTCACAAAGGTTATAGAACTTGTGTAAATATTGAGTTCAATGCTTGTTGTAATTGATCTTGACCCACCGAGATGAAGTACAGACACTGATAAAAAAAAACGAGGCAAAATTCAAAGGAATAGATAAATAATAAATAATCTTGAGTTTTAATTACTTTAAAAATTAGCTTAGGCTCGCCAACTTCCTTAGTTGCTGTGTTAAATACCGAGATATCCCTTGTTGATTTATATGTTTTTAAAGAGCAGTATGTTATCAGCCTTCCGTGACCACGAAAACTACGAAGTGTTCGAAAAATGGGAAATAATATAATTACAATAAAAAAACTGTAAAAGCATTTTTAAGTATACCATATTATTGTTAATGTACAGTGGTATTAAAACATCTGCGGGTGGTTCTATCTGGTTTTCAGTGATTATTATTAAGTTTTACGTTGATGACAAAGCATTTCGCGAGCTCTACTTCTCTACTACTCTACGAGACTCTTACACAGTCTATTTCTGCCGCAAAGCAAATCACGAGTCCAGTATGAATGGTAGGACTGTTCTTGTATCAAATCAATGCGAAGTAGCATGTCTCAAAGCTATATCCACACCGTGCGAGAACAGAATACTAACAACTATAATAATATAAAGTCATATACAAGAAAATAGCAATTCAACAAACTTTATAGCAATATCATTTTATTAGATATGATATTAATTTTCGAATTTAAATTAATATACTGATCCCTAGTTCGAAAGTTAAAACGTAAAGGAGTATGTACTATAGAGTTTAAATTAATTACTCATCCTATCCTTCCTTCTTCATATAACAAGTAAAAATAAAATTATTCAAATATCCGATAAATCTTTAAGATAATTGTCTTCCGTCAGTGATAATGTAACTATTTCAAATGAACCAATTAGGAAACTGTATAAAATGTATAATAATTAGTAAAATTTTATGACTCATATATTTTATATTATACAGTATATAAACAGATTTGAAAATTGTGATCGATTTAATCTTTGCACACATTACTTTGACCTTTATGCAGGCATTAATAATGTCATGTTTTTTTTAAAATCTAATCTTCAGTTCTTCACCCACTTTGTATCGTTCAAATCGTGATGCTAAGTTATTTCAGTGTACTTTTCAATGCAACTGAATCGAATGGTAACGGGTACTGGTTCGCGTTGAAGAAGCGAAGAATGGGTACTGCACCACTGAATGGCCAGCAGTAAAACATTTAGTTTGAAGTCAAGCTAGATTTGTTAAACGAACATTATTCACAATGTATTTAAAAACTATTCTCTTTTTACTAGCGTGTGAGTGTGATAACGGGCAAGACTGATAATCGTGAACCGCCAAAAGACACCAGAAGCACTACTAAACGTCACTACTATCTTTCGTTTTTATCTTATATCATTTTACCTAATCTACATGAGTAAAATTAATCAGATTTTATTTGTTTTTTTTTATTGCTTAGATGGGTGGACGAGCTCACAGCCCACCTGGTGTTAAGTGGTTACTGGAGGACATAGACATCCACAACGTAAATGCGCCACCCACCTTGAGATATAAGTTCTAAGGCCTCAAGTATAGTCACAACGGCTGCATCACCCTTCAAACCGAAAGGCATTACTGTTTCACTGCAGAAATAGGCAGGGTGTTGGTACCTACCCACGTGGACTCACAAGAGGTCCTACCGCCAGTAAAAAAGATGTTTACGTTTTATACGTATGATGTTAATAAGGTTGTGTGCACATTTGCAGCGCGACCGGTGCAGTGGGCGGGCGCGGCGGGGGCGGAAGCAACGCGATGCACACCTCAAGGTACTCGGTCACCTCGTCCTCGGGCGTCCTCATGGTCGGCCCTAACTTTAGGGTCGGCAAGAAAATTGGTTGCGGCAACTTTGGTGAACTTAGACTCGGTGAGTTACGTTGGCAAGGCTATGAATATAACACAGTACCTAATCATTCAAGATTGTGTACTGGAATGACGTTGATGTTTTGGAAGTCAGTAAAGACAAGCGAAACGCTTTTTAATCGTACATTATCATAAAATATTAATTGAGCAAATGTAACAATTAAAATATATCTAAAGAAACAAATAACTTATAGACATATATCAACAAAGACATCCGCGGGTGAGTCGATGGTGCCTGTGGGAAAGATCGAGAACATTATTGGGTGTTTTACTCTATATAATCTATACATATATTAATGAGATATCATCTCATCTCATTTCATTTCATAATGTCATTTATGAAAAAGTTTTCATTAAAATAAGACTTGACCTAAAAGTCTTAGTTACCAGGTCATAAAATCCGTTATAAAAAAATCTGTATATGAACTATTTTCATTACGAATGTAAATCATGGCTAAATAGGAACTCTTCGTAATAAATAATCAGCAAAACCATTACGGTGACATTAGCTACCTATATTCAAATCAACGGTATTATATATATTTACTTGTTAAAATTAATGGAAACACTTGAATCGTTTACATTTTAACGTATTCGCGTGTAAGGTTATACTAATTGGTAGCACAATAGATTCTTGGTTCAATTTCAAGTTAAACGAGATACGATCTGTTCAGGTGCCGCGTTTTGTTTGTCAATTAACGAAACATTCTCACAGATGTCACACGTGCAAGAAGGCCATGCTGTTTTTGTACAACATCGCTCCGCCGAACGCACTTTCATAAGCACTTTCTCGTTGAAGAGTTTTGTGCCGTCACAAAAGCTAAATCAATGCTAAGAAACGTTAAACGTCGAGTGTAAACGATGGCTTTGCATTCGTAATCGAATTTACACGGTCACGGAGCGTAACGTCTTTTTACCTTCCCATTTAGACTAATCGAGTCGATATTAAACTTCAATAATCTTTCTAATCGATGTTATCACGTGTCCGTTCGTTCATTTCCTTCAGTCGTTTAGCTATAGAGAAACAACATCGTAACAAAGCGCTCGACAACCTTGTGAAATATTCTTATATAATAATAGAGTTTTAAGTGTCTGCCATCGTATACATGCAGAACTAGAATCATCATTAACATACTGCTCTTACGTTCAAATCGATGTAAATGAAAATAAGTATACGTTATCTAATTTGCGTATCGATCAATACTAATAGTAGATATACCTAGTCGCTTGTTTACTTTTTGATCGTGAGAAGTATTTAAATTTGTTTCGAAATTTAACATGTGTGCGTTCACGGAGGCGATCGTGTTTCCGTTCTTGCATTCAGTGATCGTCATCTGTAAAGATAAAGCTTTGTCAACCTTAGTCAGAAATAACAGCTGACCCGATCTGCGCTGATTCGAATGACGCCAATTGACCCACCACATAAACGATCAGAACAATAAAATAATTTGATTTGTTTTTGAGTTAATTAATTTGTCGTAGTCCGTGACCACGAAAACTGTAAAGTATCCGAAACGTCGGTAAGAATGTAATTACAATAAATAAAATAAAAACGCAATATTCAGCCGCTTAAGTAGTTTTAATTAAAATTTTGATTGTGTTTCGACATTTAGAAAATTAAATTATGAATTATTATTGATTGTTGTTTTATGGTAATCTTGGTATGTATGAATCATTATCATTTTAATTAATTAATCAGTAGTATAAATCACAATTCTAAATTAATTTCGTCTTAATAGGTCATTAAAATCATATCGCTCTTGCTACATCTTTACCCTATTTAGTTCTTACTTCATTTGAAATATTGAACAACGGACAGGTAAAAGTAGACCCGTCAACAAAGATAGACAATAATGGAGAACCAGTGACTCATTCTTTCGCCGAAAGTTTTCGGAACTGTTCTTTTAAATGCATCTTAGGCTATGTTCACACGAGGCTAATAATAATAATCGTGCCATTACAGCATTGTCCGTCAGCAAAATTATCGAAATCCATGCGGGTTTTTAAGTATGAACCATAACGAATGTCATACAATTGAACTCTGTTGTCTACGTAATAAGGTTTCTTGAATACTATATGTGATATTATATGGCTGCGTGCTCATGAGAATTGGATTCAGAGTCGCGTCACTGAAAAGAGCATTATTGTGGGCACGTGTGCGAAAGGTGACTAAGCCATACACAGCTTTCTGGTACTATAATATTTATTAAAATAGAAAACGAAATGTACCAAGGTCAATGTCGTCGAAAGAGCATCGTTCACGGTAAAATCAATAGGCTTCAAAATCATCTTAAAATGTCAGCCGTGCGTGATGGTTTCTGTATAGTCCGTATGTATTGTTCACGGTCAAACTGCATTTAATTGCAACTACGAAAAAAAAGGGTTTTTATTTTGCTGTCCAAGTATTGACCAAATTGAGTTCACGGTTCTTTGATATACATTGCTTGCCGGAGTTGTACAAGGGAAGATTTTTGGAATTGTACTTATAGAGAGATATGTGGCGCCCAAGTTGTTTCGACATATGAGGCCTATAAAATCAAAGGCAGCTAAATCCAAGTCTGTCAAATATTCAGGTAAACTACAAAAATCGGCCCTAAACACGTCATTACGGATCCTTCCGATCCATCGAAGTACTGCTCTTGCTAGGGCCAGTGTTAGCAACACTCCCGGTTTGAGAATCTTTAATAACTTTGTTCGTATAGCTACGATATTCTTTATTTTAAAACAGATTTATAAAGAATGAGAATATTACTAATAATCTGAATTTTAAATGATAAAGCTTCGTTTATTAGTACTTAATACAGAGTAAACTTAACTTTTTTGAACTGAATTTCTTAGAGATTTAGCTGCATTTGTTATAACATGAAAAAACTAAAGCATGTTCAACTAACTAAACAAGATAGAGCCATTGTTAATAAATTTTACGACATTAAGGCGTTTAGCTGCCTTTGATTTTATAGGCCTCATATGCTTGTATAGATAGCCCTAACCATGGTAGTGTTTCATTGTCCAATCTGAGATTTCGAAAATTTCCTCATAATAAATGTTCAGAGCATTTTGTTTCGGTTGGACTTAATCCGTCAGGGTTTTATCAAATCTACTTATTATTAAATGTCATCTGAGCAAAAGCCTTCATTGTATATTTTCTAAGAACAACCAAAACATTAAGCAGTATCCAAGTACGGAAACAAACGCATGTCGTCGAATCTTTCTATGTCATTTTTTACTACTACATACTTATAACGATATTAAAATCAGTTTGACTAATTGCTTAAGCAAATCTGTTTAAAATTGTTTTGGAATGGTAAATAATTTGGAAGGGTAAATAAAACACATTTCGGTGGGAAAAATAGTGGAGAAAATGGTCCTTATCTTTTTTGTTTTTCTATTTGTGTACCTCTAGATATATTTAAGAAAGTAATTGTTTCACAAATAAAACAAAAGGTACAAAAGTATGTCTATTTGGTATAATTCATTTGTCGAAAAGATATGCTAGAAAACAAGTACTATGTTACTAAAACAAGTCAACACGATAATGTAAATTATAATACCAAAACCACCGATGACAATTGCACAAGAAAATACATTTGTAAAAAAATTTATCATTGTGTACTAATTCGGTTTTGCTGACGCTACACTAATAATGTACACTAAATCTTCAATGTCAAATGGTTCAATTGTAAATTTTAAAGGCACCCGCTCTCGTTTTCTCACGTAGCTGTCATATTCATATTAAGAAGACTTTTATTTTTGTAGCAATGTACTATTTATTGATTTCACTAATTGAATCTGTCATATTGGTTATAGATAATAATTTTGCAAATCATAGAACCAAAAATAGTTAAAGTAAAAGGAACACCAATAGAAGATATAGAAAAAGTAGCTCTCTATGGCACAGTGGTACAGCCTAGTATAATCCAAGGAAAGTTAAGGCCGGTAGTTGGTCGTAAAACTCATGCCAAATCCCTATGCAGTATTAAAATTGGACAACGACCTCATATAATGTGGGATAAGGGCAAGAAAAAGTTCGATTGCTTCAACTAATTGAATCTGTCATATTGTCAAAGTCAATTATTTTACTTTAAATCTGTCGAAATGCATAGTGAACAAAATCGCCTAAAGAGCTAAATTCCAAATATGGCCCTGCACTACAAAAACAATTTTTTTATTATTATACTGATTTCTTTATCACTACATAGTATAAAACAAAGTCGCTATATCTGTCTGCCCCTATGTATGCTTAAATCTTTAAAACTACGCAACGGATTTTGATGCGGTTTTTTTTAATAGATAGAGTGATTGAAGATGAAGGTTTATTTATGTATAATAACATCCATTAAATAGTAGAGAAATCAATAATAAATTACGTCGTCGTCGTGTCGTGCCTCGATCGATTTTGGACATGTACAAATTTTCTTAAATAATTAATTGTATAATTGTGTGCGATCGACTTCAACGGCCAAAGAACAACACGCGTGTATTTATTAAATTGATATCCCCAAGTTTTTGATGTAATTGGTGGTAGGTAGGGTACGAAATTCAGTTTGTAGAATGGAATAGTTGAAATTCCAATGTAATCGTAACTTCAATCTCTAGTTTCACGGCATTAGCGGCACGGTTTTAGAGGGATGTTGATGATGACTATGACGATGTTGATGATGACGTTCATTTTTATGGACTTTAATAACTGCTCAATACTATGCCCTGACGTATACCGTCCATCAGCGTTAGCAGTCGTCTTGAGCGATTGAAGAACTAAAAAACTGCATTTTCCTTGCTTATTCTTTACGTAGAATGTAAAGAATGTGTTTCCAAAGTGGGTGGCGCATTTACGTTGTAGATGTCTATGGGTTCCAGTAACCATTTAACACCAGGTGGGCTGTGATCTCGTCCACCCATATAAGCAAAAAAACCCAAAATTTTAATCGTAATATTAATGTTCAAAAGTAAAAAAAATACAGACGTTACAGACATTATTTTATATTTATTTTGAAATGAGACGCTAGGAGAATCGCTAAGAGTCTACAGAATTAGTCACTGGTATCTGCGGCAACCGTCTAAGAAAGTAGTCGCTTTAGACAGACTTAAAAGTCATCGTTTCCATTTCTCTCATTTATTTAAAAATATGCATTTAAATTTCGATCAAATCCAATAATATATAAGATAAATAATTAAATAACGTTCTAAAGAATGTATTGTAGTGTAATTGCGATAAATTTGTTCATTTCTAAAGTAACAATATGTCTTGAAAGTCGTAATAACGGTTCACCGTTTTTCACATATATTTTGCGAGACGTAACCGCAAAATTCTCTTAATGTTGATAATAGTAGAGGGCGCAAAGTACTTGAACCATCTGTCCTGGCGAACTCCATTCATAATGTAATTACTGGGCTGACTAGCGCTCTGCTTTACAGACACGTGATAAGATTATTTGTTTGAGATCTAATACTTTTTAGGTGTTACAATAAACATGTACTGTTATCGATAACGTCTGATATAAGTGACGTCAGCGAAATAAAACATGAAAAACTACCGGTTGTAAGTCGTATTACATTTCGAATGAAATGTTTGTGTAGTCATTGCTGAATTCGCTTTTCTTAATACTTTTATTCGTTTAAAGATTTTAATTTAACCACGATTCTGATTACGAGAAGGTTTACCTCACATCTGTCCATTTCTAAAAGTTTTTTGGTAGGCAGCGGCTTGGCTCTGCCCCTGGCCTTGCTGAAGTCCACGAGCGACGGTAACCACTCACCATCAGCTGGGCCGTATGCTCGTCTGCCTACAAGAGCAATAAAAAAATTCTGAAAGTCACTGTCTAAAAGTTCTGAACAAATTTTAATTTCTCCCAACGATTCTTAAGTACTAAATTTGATCTAAGCTAAATTTTACATAGTACGTTCGTACTGTCGGTGTGTTCTTTGAAATGAACCACAAAAAAATAATAACGGACGCTCATTTGAAAGGGTTCGAAGATCAGTTATTCATCGACCAAATAACCAAAGATATGATTCAACATTCATTCGTCGCTGGTGAAGAATAATAAAGTATTCCTCGGCCGATACATAAGTTACAAAAAAAAAGAAAAAAAAAAAAGAACTTTACAAGCAATTTCCGGCATCGCACGATAATTGTGTCAATTAAGATTTAACGAGACTCTTTAACGATTTCCTTTTTATTTCAGGGAAAAATCTCTATAACAGCGACCATGTAGCGATCAAGATGGAGCCTATGAAGTCCAAGGCTCCGCAATTACATCTAGAATACAGATTTTACAAATTATTAGGGACGCACGGTAAGCGATTATGTGTTCACATCGGGGAAACGTCTTGGAAATAATGCTGGTTCACTCTGCTAAAGATTCACACATTCAAAGTGTTCTGTGTGAAAACAATTCACTGAAAGCCTGGAAGAGATCTATGTCTTTGTTTAATAATGTACCTCATCAAGTGTTTGGTTGAAATTGAGCCTGAAACTTTCATTTATCCGGATATATTACAACAAAACGGTGCCACGGATATTATAAGTACCCTACACGCGGCCTTAGTTTTGTTGTATCCGTGTTCAAAACATCGAATTTATCATTAAAAGTTGAAAAATCGATTCTAACAATCAATTCTTCAATCGATTTTTCAATGTTTAAACGTGTGCAATAGTTAATTTAACGCATTGCACTGTCATCTTTCATAACCGGCTCTTATCATTTGCTAATAATGTTGTTTGCAGAAGATTTACAAATAAACGTAACTTAAATAATTACTGCTTCACTGTATTGAATCATATAAATATTTGTTTTGTCTGTCAGTTGGTCTTCCGTCACGCTTCTCACGTAATATAATATAACCTTAATCGCGTAATCAAACCCTGAGATTCTTAAGATACTGACTGGCATAGTTTGCTCAGAGGGAATACCCAAAGTGTACTACTTGGGTACATGTGGCGGCCGATACAACGCCATGGTCATGGAGTTGTTAGGACCCTCGTTAGAAGATTTATTCGTGCATTGCGGACGAAGGTTCAGACTCAAGACCGTACTAATGATTGCGATGCAGCTAGTAAGTGCACGCGAATCTTCAGTTAACGTTTGTAATAATTTAGAGAGCTTTGTTATGTAAATTAATTGAAGCACAACACGGTAGCCGACGTTCGTGGCAAAATTTAACAGCGAGGGCCGTAACGATGTGGTCATGGCTTTTGTTGAGGTCGTTTAGTGTTTATTTATTTAAGTGTTTAGCGAGCAATTCTCTCGCGGGTCACCGAATATCGGATACTGTGTTGTGTTCGGCTGAGACCGGAGAGCATTGCTCGTCGAATGTGAGTACTAAATTTGCTGTTTGTTCCGCTCTGTCCTTGCCTATATTCCCGTGAATCCTGTAGCGCCGTCGACTGCAGAAGGTATACCGGAGGTGTATTACTTTGGTCCTTGCGGTAAATACAACGCTCTCGTAATGGAGTTGCTCGGGCCGTCGCTCGAGGACCTATTCGATCTATGCGGCCGTCGGTTCTCTCTAAAGACTGTGTTAATGATCGCTATGCAGTTGGTGAGTCAACGTACTTTTGTGTTTCGAATGACGATCAGATTAAGGTTTTTTTTTTTATGTATCGACACTCGGAATTAATTATAGCCTTATTGGTATTCAGAGCTGTATTGTGTTGAGTATATTTTTTTAAACTTGATTAATGTAATAGTTTTAAAAAATATCTCAATTCACGGACGTCATAAATTACTGTAAGTAGAACGTATGTGGATCTGGGCGATCGTGGACAGCTATTGTGCAATAGAATTTAGGCTTGGACCTAATGTCTCAAGGTGGATGATGGTTCACGTTATAGCGTCTATGAGTTCCGGTAACCACTTAACGGCACATGAACCGTGACCTCATCTGTGCTTCAAGAGAATAACAATCTCACATTACATACAGAATATCAATTTAATATGTTGACTGCCATGTACCTCACCGGTGCCTTACGTGGCGCATTAAAGTATGTATCTATACCACCATTCTGCCTATTTCTGCCGTGAAGCAGTAATGCGTTTCGGTTTGAAGGGTGGGGCAGCCGTTGTAACTATACTAAGACCTTAGAAATTATATCTGAAGGTGTGTGGCGGCATTTACGTTGTAGATGTCTATGGGCTCCGGTAACCACTTAACTCGAGGTAGACCGTAAGCTCGTCCACCCGCCTAAGCAATATAAAATAAATAAGATAAAAATATATTTTGTATGTTGATATATGTTTTATTCTTTTTAAATCTCTTAGAAATAGATTCATTTTCAGTATCTTCGAATCCGTCTTTTCCAAAACTCTACTAGATAGATATTTCGGGCCCTTACTAACAGAAATCGACATAATTACTTCAGTTACGCCACTTAGAGCACTGACGACCTACATGGCAGTCAAAGTGTTAAAGACGATAAAATTTTATATGACTTTTCATAATTCGGAGTCACTGAATGAATTTGATTATATGTATATCATGTTTATTTTTTTCTATATTTACAGTTATACCGCATCGAGTATGTCCACACGAGACACCTAATATATCGCGACGTGAAGCCAGAGAATTTTTTAATAGGTAGAACTGCAACAAAAAAGGAGAAAATCGTGCACATCATTGGTAAGTGAGCTTCTATTTTATTTATTATTAATTTATAGTTATCATATCTTCCAGTATCATACAGTTCATGCGATTGTTTTAATTTGTTATTATGTTAATCCCTAACTTCAATGTGCTGTGACTTTAGTAACAACGATTTGAATTTGTTTAGTGCCGCATCTAAACGTTTTTACGTCTGCTGTAGATAGCGACAGCGCTCGTACAAAATGCCGTGTCTAGTAGTTGTAATGGTAATTTAGTGTTTCTTTAGCTTTAAACGTATAATAATGGTGGATAAATAAGAATTTAGCATCTTTAAAAGTCCCACACGTGTGCGAGAATGAAAAGATATCGTTAGGACTTGTTCTTTTCGGGTTGCTTCGGGATGGTTCCTTATCGGGTCATTTCAAAAGTCCATTGAAACGTTTTGGAAAATTATCTCATCAAATCCTGTATCATTTTATTGCACAGTCAGTCGCAGATGTATCAATTTCATTTCACTGCTATCCAATTCATTTATCTTTGAAAAAAGCACGTAAAATACAATTAATAATAATTTGGCTAAAGGACTGGAATCCAGGGCTTCTAGTGTAATTTAATAATAAAAAAATATGCTTAGTATAAAAGATCTGGATCGTGACGTATATATCGTGTTCAACAATAGTATTTTGATAGATATAGAAATGTGATAAAATTAATTAATTACTATACTAAGAATGGTTTAATTTATTTCTAATGAACGTTGATAATTGTAACAAAAATAAACTTTCCATCTTAAACCTTTTTAGAGGATTGATTTGGTTGATTATTTTTATGAATCAGCAGTGATAAATAAAAAAGATAGGTTGTCAATGACACTGAAAAGAATAAAAACACAGGACAGAATTAAAGTCATAAAAATTTAATAAACCTTACATTTGCATTACAATATTATGTATTATCAACTTTCTAAATTGTTCCAAAATCTAGTTCCGAGACATTACCAGTTAAACCAGTCCATAGACACCTGTCAGCTTGCAATCCGAACATTATGCATAATTGAATCATAATTACTCCAACGTAAAAATTACAATGACGATGTGACTCATTTGAATGAAACTAAAGTTAACAGAAAGAAATGCGCGTACCCTCAATGTCATTCTTCGAAAAGATCTATACACAAAACAAGGAACCATTCTTTTTTTTTCTACAGAGTATCGTGTTATTACATAACGCATGTGTGCAAAATGTGATATGCATATGAAGTTTATTCTAACACTAGTTTTTACACGTGGACTGGCTCGTGTCAAAATACGTATGTGTAAAAATATATATACATTTTTTTTTATTGCTTAGATGGGTGGACGTATTTACAGCCCACCTGGTGTTAAGTGGTTACTGGAGCCCATAGACATATACAACGTAAATGCGCCACCTACCTTGAGATATAAGTTCTAAGGTATAGTTACAACGGCTGCCCCACCCTTCAAACCGAAACGCATTACTGCTTCACGGCAGAAATAGGCGGGGTGGAGGTGATAAATACATAATATATATAGTACATATTATTATATATCCCGCGCGAATAGTATTTTTTTTAGTGGAAAGGGTGCTTGTTACCTCTATCGTTTTGACACCTGAAAACGCTTACCTACACAAAATTTCGTGTCGATTGGTTCAGTAGTTTAGACGTGAAAGCGTAACAAACAGATTCACTTTCTCATTTATAATATTAGTAAGTAAATATGAANTCAAGCGTCGATATATAGTACATATTATTATATATCCCGCGCGAATAGTATTTTTTTTAGTGGAAAGGGTGCTTGTTACCTCTATCGTTTTGACACCTGAAAACGCTTACCTACACAAAATTTCGTGTCGATTGGTTCAGTAGTTTAGACGTGAAAGCGTAACAAACAGATTCACTTTCTCATTTATAATATTAGTAAGTAAATATGAATGAAGAATGAATACTGACTACGATAGTTATGGTAAGCGCGATTTGAAATGTGCTCGACATTCGCTCACGGCCCTTAATTTAAAGTTGAAAATCGCGTATCATCTTCACATCATTTGAATGTGGCTCCTGAAATGGTATTCATTATATTAATAAAAGTACTGGTGGTAGGACCTCTTGTGAGTCCGCACGGGTAGGTACCACCACCATGCCTATTTCTGCCGTGAAACAGTAATGCGTTTCGGTTTGAAGGTTGGGGCAGCCGTTGTAACTATACTGAGATCTTAGAACTTATATCTCAAGGTGGGTATCTATGGGCTCCAGTAACCACTTAACACCAGGTGGGCTGTGAGTTCGTCCACACATCTAAGTAATAAATAATAAATAAATAAAGTAATCGGCTGAAAATGTTGAACTTTAAATTAAAAACAATACTTTTTGAAATTATTGTCGGTTCATAATATTATTTTGTGATTAGAGAGTACTTGAAGTTAATAATCGTGTAGTAAGTAACTAGGCTACAAGTGCAGTAATATAATCTCGGGAGTTCGATCGAGGTCTGCGGTTGTAATATGGCACTGTATGAATTTATCTGTCAAGTGTGTGAAGAACTTGTTCGAATACACTACAATTCTCTTACAATAAAAATTAACAAATCATTCTGAGTTTTGCCACTTCGTAAAATTTCGCCGAGATTAAGACACAAAATAAAATTTCAAATTATTGATGTGCATTATCCTTGTTTTTGTTTTGCTCAAAATTATGAATGATCGTGAAAAGAGAAGAAGAAATTAAATAAGAACAGCAATTAGGAATCCAATTTTGCTGCAGGGTTAATTAATTAATTAATTAAATTGATCAAAAAATTACTCATCGACATTTCTTTTACACCCCTATTTAAAGCACTGAGCTTTTACGTCATTTTATAACAAAACGCTACTACTACATATTTTGAGAAATTTTATAGTCCATGGAATAATTTGAAAACCTATATTTGTTTCAGATTTTGGTTTGGCCAAAGAATATATAGACTTAGAGACAAACAAACATATCCCATATCGGGAGCATAAGTCGCTCACAGGGACTGCTAGATACATGTCAATAAACACACATTTAGGAAAAGGTACGTAAACACAAGAACAATCTTCAGATGGTTTGCTTACCTTTGAGGTGTGCCATCCTCTTTTTTTTTTTCAGTGAAGCAGTCAATCCTTACAAACATTCCAGGTAGGACATGCGTTATACTCTTAAGATTACGACCTCGTGTCTTTAGGTGCCAGTACTTCTTTTGTTGGGCTGGCAGCTTAGACAATACTCCCCGAATCCTGATCACGCCGGAGCCAGTCACCGTCGACGCCCTAGATACGTTCTTACGGATCCATGAGATCTAATAACCTTTGCATTAGACGCCTTCAGCTCTAACACTAGGAGCAGGCTTAAAGACCTCGGTAACCGTGCAACCTAACCCATGAATCAGCTCGCCGAGTTTCTCGCCGGATCTTCTCAGTGGGTCGCGATTTCGATCCGGTAGTAGATTAATTCGCGAAGCAGCTGCTCTTGAGTTGTTAGGTCTCATTCGCAGACGCTCGGGCGGCTGTTAAAAAATCCCACCGCTCCTGGCCTAGCCTTTGCTCGACCACCTGTCCTGGTGAAACTGGAAAGGCCACCGGGCCACCAGTAATAATTCAATCATAAAAAAAAAGTTTAGACAAGAAAAATAATGGCAATTCTTATTTCGGAACCGAAGGATTTTGATATCATGACATCAATGCGAAATATATTTTACGAGGCTAATGATATTACGCTTTCACGTAATAGCCTCCAATTGTATATGTAATTTACAGACATTGTGCCGGAATTGTGGTAGAGTTTGTCATTTATTTACCCCTTCCCTGGAAATTGGAAAATTGACGTCACTCGAATAACGCGATGGCGCGCTGTACGAGATGTTTTAGTTTCTAAAATACTCGTTTTCAAACAAATCGATGTAAAATAGAACTGGACAGAGATACAATTTTTTGTTTTTTTATGTATTAATTTAATTTATTTCTTAATTTTCCAGAACAATCGAGACGTGACGACCTAGAGGCTCTCGGACATATGTTTATGTATTTTTTACGTGGTTCCTTACCCTGGCAAGGTTTAAAAGCTGACACACTCAAAGAAAGATACCAAAAAATTGGCGACACTAAACGAGCGACGCCTATCGAGGTAAGTACTCAACAAACGTTACTAAAATTGCGCGCAAATGTTACTCATATCGTACACTAAAGATGATTGATCCATTGTTTTATTTGACTAGGGATGGTTAAGCAACTGACCCATAAAATACCATATTTACTGATGGTAGGAATCTTGTGAGTCCGCACGGGTAGGTACTACCACCCTGCCTATTTCAGCCGTAAAGCAGTAAAAACTGAGACCTTAGGACTCATATCTAAAGGTAGGTGGCGGAATCTACGTTGTAGATGTCTATGGGCTGCTGTAGCCACTTTACCGGTGAGCCATGAGCTCGTCTATCCATCTAAGCAATAAAAAAAACGTTGCTCAAACCGCATGCTAATGATGGTTCATTGTCGATCAAAGCTTCTTATTTGTCTTGGGATGGTCAAGCAACTGACCCATAGATTACGAAACCAGTCTCTTGCTATATATATTTTAATTGCTAGATGGTTGGACGAGCTCACAGCCCATCTGGTGTTAAGTGGTTACTGGAGCCCATAGACTTCTACAATGTAAATGCGCCACCCACCTTGAAATATAAGTTCTAAGGTCTCAGTATAGTTACAACGGCTGCCCCGCCCTTCAAACCGAAACGCATTACTGCTTTACGGCAGAAGTAAGCAAGGCGGTGGTACCTACCCGTGCGGACTCACAAGAGGTCCTAACACCAGTAAAAATTATCGAATACGTATATACTATACTAGCGGCCCGCTCCGGCTCCGCTCGGGTCTTTAACAAAAATTTCAATGATATTTGACGTTGTTTTATTTTTAAAAATAAAAGAACACTTATTGCGGCATAACTATAATAGTTAGACATGCTGTCCCAACACGTTTTGTAAATAATAATGTGTTTTACAAAGTCGTAGTACATTATTTTATTCTATCATCAATAGTTTTCGCAGAGCACGCGATGAAAACAATATTTTATGTAATTTTTTACACCTTGGGTTACATGTGTTTACACCTTGAGTTTAAGTAAGGATCCCTATTTTTTTCAAAAAAGATTATATATAGCGTATGTCATTCGGGATTAGTGTAGCTTCCAAACAGTGAAATAATTTTTCAAATCGGTTCAGTAATATCGGAGCCTATTCAATACAAACAAACAAACAAATCTTTCCTCTTTATAATATTTACGTCGTGGCCTAAGCGATAAGACGTCCGGTGCATTCGTGTTGACCGATGCGCCGGTGTTCGAATCTCAGGCGGGTACCAATTTTTCTAATGAAATACGTACTCAGCAAATGTTCACGATTGACTTCCACAGTAAAGGAATAACATCGTGTAATAAAAATCAAACCCGCAAAATTATAGTTTGCGTAATTACTGGTGGTAGAACCTCATGTGAGTCCGCGCGGATATGTATCACCACCCTGCCTATTTCTGTCGTGAAGCAGTAATGCGTTTCGGTTTGAAGGGTGGCAGCCGTTGTAACTATACTGAGACCCTTAGAACTTATATCTCAAGGTGGGTTGCGCATTTACGTTGTAGATGTCTATGGGCTCCAGTAACCACTTAACACCAGGCGGGCTGTGAGCCCGTCCACCCATCTGAGCAATGAAAAAAAAAGTATAGATTATCGAATACGTGTCGTGGACAGGTGCTATGCGAGGGCCACCCCGAGGAGTTGGCGACGTACCTGCGCTACGTGCGGCGGCTCGACTTCTTCGAGACCCCCGACTACGACCAGCTGCGAAGGATGTTTCGGGACCTGTTCGACAGGCGCGGATATATCGACGACGGAGAATTCGATTGGACCGGAAAGACCATGGTAAACAATTCTGTAGCTTAACTAGTTAATGTCCGCTCGTAAACATTCTGGACGTGATTATGTAAAAAGGATCCAATCAAACTATTACATATACATATTTTATTTCATTATTAATGAATACATTTGATGTTAAGCGAGCCTAAAATATTTACTTACATTTAATACAAAAAGTTAAAATATTTCAACTAACGGTGTTGTCTGCTGCATATTATGAAACGCAGGCCTTATAATGCTTGATGGATGTTACGCTAGGGTTATCCATGTATCAAGTTACTTTATTTGTAATAACAAATAATCTTGAATCAACAACTAGGAAACATTTAAGAAAAAAGAAACTTGGCATTATGTTTTTTTTTAAAGTTTAGTCCCTTTTTGAATGCTCACGTCCAGTTGTGCTTCTCGGATATGCTCAATTATACTTTGTGTGCTTGCATGCCCTAATGTTTGCCAGTGCTTGATTTCAAAAAACCAAGATTTTTTTATGTCATTGACAAAAAAATGCCTATTTTTTATGGCTTTTGCATGTGGCCATCTGTAATGATTAGTTTTTTTAATGTTTAAAATAATCAAAATTAGATGTTATATAGCTCTAATTTCCTTGCTGATAGATTTTTAATGATAAAACTATGCATTTTCTTCCACACTTAAGTATTTCAGCACAAAATTGACACAAATTGAATATTGTAATTATTTTGACGCAGTGATGCTACATGTTGATGCAATTTTACTATGCATTTGTTTGTGAAATACTAAGCCAGCCCCACCAATATGAAATTCCATTTCAATTATTTAATTAATAAATAAAAATTGTATTTAAAATAATTTTGAATAGAAGGCACTTACATACTTAGGTTTTCCTCAAAATCGAGATTGTTTTGTTTCTTATATTCAAATTCATGTTTTGTTCGACAACAAGTATTTTATTCCTAATAGTATAACGCTCATTATTGTATGATTTTTTGTTACAAAAGTCAACATATTTTTCTTAATTAACTATTTATTATTTAATAAAATTTAATATTTGCTTTGTTACACCTGTGTTTTTGTGTAGACGTTTGTGTTTATTTTTTGTTAGGTTATACAATAATATACTGATAACAATTTAATTTAAATAGCACGATAAGTTAACAGTGCACATTCAATTAAAGGCAGAACTATATCGGGTGACAATAGACATTTAAATAAGTTTATTTAAATCGCATTATTCTATAACTAGGTTCATTGCATTTCACGATATTGAATACAATCAGCTGATGAACGGGGTCAATGAGCGGTCGTGACGCGGGGTGGTTATTTACTTTCGCTGTAGATCAGACGCCCACAGTAGTTATGTAACGGCCCAAACGGCCCATAACATTGGTGTGCCTCATAAGTCACCGGGCTTGAAAAAACTAGGACTTCGTTTTAGTTAATAGACAAACAAGGCTGGGCCACACCTAATATTGACTTGAACTCGGAGACATTAGTCTTGGGACACGAATACAAAGTTTCGAAATTATTTTGGATAATGACTGTTCCATACTTTATACCGCATGACTGCTTCGCTGTCAGCTTGACTAATAAATACCAAAAGGTTGTAAGGACCCTAAACGTACCCGATGTAGTTCTGCCGTAACTGGTATGGTATAAAGTTGCATGTTGCATGCTTCGCTTTTGTGATGTGACGAAACAGCCTGCGAACATCAACGTGATGAGAATATTACGTAACGCGCCCCCTTCGAACGTTGTTAGAAACCAATCGGACAAGGTTAGTGCTTTTTGTGCTTCAAATATCAATGAGATAGGGTATTTGATTGTTTTGTAATTTGAATTTTGGAATACGTAAATTGATCGCTATCGTTAAACTAAATTTTTAAATTTTAGTGAAAATGAATATTTAAAATCGATATAAATATATAAGTATACTTTTTTTTTTATATTTGAGGGCGTCAGCGCAAAAGTGGCCTAAGCTTACCATAGTTATTATAGAGCAATGAGGTTTAAGTTTTCATTCATTCATTTCATTTCAATTTGTGTTGGAAAAATCTATGGGTGAAACTATGGATAGGCCTGTTTTGCATCAAAATTTATTATATTTTAAATAAATTGCAATATACATATAAGCATGATTATGAAAAATTGTGGGTTAGGCCACTTTTGCGCTGACGGCCTCATTTGTAGTCCTAGGTTCAACGAACTAGTAACACATTGCAATTATGTGCTTTATAATGTGTGTCTCAATCTGCTCTAGGGAATGTGATTGAGCCGAATGAGCCTGACCAAAGCAATGCTCTTTGGCTTATGACGTCACAGTACAAATTGTCACATGACCGACCAGATTTTTGTTTGTTACAAATGAAGAAAATAAATCGTATGATAATTTTAAGTGTTGTAAACGTAACGAATATTTTGAAGGCAATCAAATATCCTATTATTGCATAGAAAGCTTGCGTTCATAGTTTTAATTATTAGAAAAACATGAAATCGGTAAAAAAGAATCTGAAGTAATTTCCTTATTATGTTTTTAATGAAGTTTTTTATTTTTATTTTTAATAACAAGCGGGGAGACTTGCATATTTAATTAGAAACATTAAATACTTTTAATAATCCATAATATGAAATAATAGATTTGTATTCCATCTCATTTTAATGTATAATGTCCTTGAGATATTTGTAAGAGCATTAATTTGCATTGGTGAAAGGGAGTATTTCTCTTTATTTCTGCCGAGATCACTGCAGACATGCGTTACTTCAGTACGATTGAGGTCTCAAGGGTGTGAAGTCGATCAGTTCAGATAATCGCCCGACCCCAGGTCGGCCATGAGACGCGTAAAGTCCTTGCCCAATATGTAAAATGTTATATTCAAATCCAACAAGACACATTTTGTTATCAAGGAACATTTAGGATTATTATTAAGATATAATAGTTTTAATTAATTATCTTTACATTAATGTAATTTAATCAATTATATTTTTTGCTGGTGGTAGGATGTTTTGTGAGTCCGCACGGGCGCGATCAGTACGAGGCTTTGTGGCGGACTGCCGGCGCAGCAGCCCGGCGTCACCTGCGATAACGCGGCCGCGCGTTGGCTCCTGATTGGCGCGCGCACGCATCACGCAATCAGGAGCCAATCAGGCGCATAACGCATTTCGTGTGACATGCTAGTACGATTTTGGTCCCCATAATTTTCATACCCCGGGCCTATGTATGTAAATCGATTCTAAAGGAGTAAACTCCAAAAACAAATATTCATGAGGTGAAAACAATTGTGTCATTTCGATAACTAAATTTAGAGGGTAGTATCATTTAATTTATAAAATTGTCGGTAAATATAGTAGTTTTTGTAGCTAACGAATCTCGTATTATATAGTCTCTGTTTTGTGAATTTTATGTTTTTATTTATTATAATATTAACAGTTATTGATTTTGAAATTTTCAGTCAACTCCTGTCGTGTCCGGCTCGACTGGTCAGGAAATCGTGATCTCACCGAACCGAGACAGTCACCAGCCGTTCAACAAGGTAAATATTAAAAAGAAATTATCTTTACTTATGTTGTTATTAAAGTTAACTGTAATGCTTTCACAAATGTTTCTTTGCGTCATTGCTTCGTGGACATGTTACGAGATAATTTATGACATATTTCTATCTATACCATATTTCTATACTATTCTTGCAATAAATATTATATGGCAATAATTATTTTAGTGAAGTAGTTTTTTTGTTTTTTTTTTAAATGAAGATTATATATACATATTTTTATTTAGTGTATTGTATGCCATTAATTTTTATCACTAAGAAACTAATGTTCGATATAAAGACATGACATCGAAAGATTTATCAAAAGATAAAAATAAATATAGTCATTCTAGTGACCTACTAAAATTTATTAAATAAAGTTATTTTGCAATAAGTTTTTTCGTTCAAGTTTTATACAGCTAATAGGTGAATTGTACATTCACGCCCGTTTTAGTTGACGGTTACAAGGAATACATAAGTTCATCGTTAATATTAGTTATTTTTTCTCTTTGTTGATGCAGGATGATTTGTGTGATTATATGATTGGTTTGATTGAGGACGATGAGGCGGCGCTCATATCGGGAGAGGTTTGATGATATACAAGCACCCGCCTATGCGAGCACATAACTACAGAAATATCATTAAATCAGAACGATACAATTTCACAAACGATCGTAAAGAACAATGAAAAGGAGACTGAAACCATTACATACATTTTTGGGCCCGAATGTAACGTGATAAAACTAGTATGAATTATTAATAGATTCAGATTTATCAGTACCTTGCTGAAAATTATAAAAGCTTTCTCAATCTGAGAGCAGAGTTATTAAAGATTTAGCAAAAGTTAGGTTATGTTACAATCTCTATAAAAGAGCTGAATAATAACTTATTTATGCATAAGTAAATGTTTATTATATCCATTGGATAATCTTTTAAATGTCATATTATGAATGAATATCAATGATATACTTATATCATGTATGGATTTACCTAAAAGGCGTCGAAAAAAATAAAACACAACGTCTTGTATACCTAGTGTATTCACCTTCAATTATTATTAAAATGTCGTTCAGGAAAAGTGCAAGGAGAACAATATTATCTTGGTATGTACCTAGCCCGGCTAAGGTACCATATAATACTGTCCAAAGGTCCAACCATATGATACTATAACACTGTCCAAGGGTCGACGGCCTATGGAATTGCTATGATTAATTGCTATCCCACAATTCACACAGCGATCCATAATTTCAACAGTATCCAATTCAACAATTTCAAGTCAAACGTGTGAGCGATCTTCGGTGTTCAGTGTAGAAGCAATAATTGTCGTACAAGGCCGGCAGGGTTGGAATCCGTAATAATAAAGCAGTGATCGTTGAAAATAAATAAAAACAGCCAGATAGATACACACTCAAAACGCGTCGAAAATACAAAACGATTAGAGCAAAAAAAACCCAACAAGCGCCAAATATTATGTGTATAATCTATGAACAAGCGTCATGTCAGCTTATTGTCAAAGCTGTCATTAAAAATACAATTGATTTTAATCGATTTGAAATCGATAATCATATTACTTTGTTAAGTAATAATAGACTTTTTCTTTATTTATGTATATAATCGCAATTGAATTCGCCGTATACCGCACTTGTATACAACAAGTATAAATCGCTCATTACTTTGCATTCATTGCCTAGTGCAATGTTTTTCTTTTTATAATCCTGTAATCGATGAATTAAATCGATCACACCGCTAAACCGACAAAAACTAACTTTCTCATTTTTCTCCGGTCCCAGGAAAAGGATTGAGGTGATTTTTTATATTCTCATATAAAAAAATATGACAATTTTTTAGACTACATTCCAAGTTATTGCATTTTTGGCCCACGGTTTTCCGTCTCCTTTATATATATTGTTCTGCTTTAAATATTTCTGTGTCCATCAATTCAAATCATCGTTGCTGTTCTTGTTTGGTTTTTGTTTATTTGGCTTGGATTCACGAATATACTTAGCAATTTAGACGAGGCTCAATTGTAAGCTACAATGCTAGAAACATCATCCCTCCTAAATTACTACATAGTATAAAACAAAGTCGCTTTCTCTGTCCCAATATCCCTATGTATGCTTAAATCTTTAAAACTACGCAACGTATTTGATGCGGTTTTTTTAAATAGATAAATTGATTGAAGAGGAAGGTTTATATGTATAATAATATCCATTAAATAGTGGAGAAATCAATAATAAATTACAGTTTCCGAAGCGAAGCGAGGGCGGGTCGCTAGTATACAATATACTCGTAATATAAAATTGTAAACGGTGCTAGTTTCTTTTAAAGTTCAAAATTTTAAGATTTTATTTTTGTTGGATGGGTTAACTTTGTCACGTCCCATCTAAGTGTTAAGTGGCTACCGCAGCACATATAATCACAACGTGAATGTCGCCACCTCCTTTGATACAGGTCGATGTTTTGGTATACAATTAAAATAATGGGCCTACCCTTCAAATAGGAACGCATGACTATTTCACTGTAAAATTAGGTAGGATCGTGTTACCTACTGACAATTTCCTCCACAATTGATGGTATTGATATATGAGCATTGAGCATGAGTCGTATTGATGATGATATTGAGCAGTTATCCGATAGCGATAAATAGTCCCAAATTGAATGCTATTCATCTTGAGGTGTTATATTGGAATCTCGATACAAAGTCGTAGTTTAGACAGTGGTGTTACCTTGTGCGGGCTCACATCAAACTAGCAGACGTAGAGTAATTGAAGACATGAGTGGATGAAGGGGATATGATACAATTTGTTAATTTTGAGAAAACGGGCAACAAACTTTTGTTACTTGTACTTTTAAAAATAGTCTTTAAACTTGGAGTTTTAAGGTATAATATGGTTTATAGTATAGGCACATAAGACCTTCGTTCAATATATAAACTCAAGAACCTTAAAAATGGTACTTAACCCCGTCATCCACTCATGTCTTCAATTCAGACGAAAAAGTAAGATGATAATTACATATCAATGATAGGGAATCAATCGGTAGTACATATATCCAACAGACCAAAGACACATTGTACGTATCTGCTAAGCGATGACTGTAAGAGTTCGTCCGATATAATCTTCAAACAGCATTAAGATCTTAACCATATCATCACCTTTGTCAGAGGCAATTCGCTCCCATGTAAAAAATTTATAGAGCGGAAACCCCCTTTTATTGCGGTGAACCGTGCGTGTTTCAAAAATATTGTTTTTTGAACTGGCAACACACTATCAAACGCCTTGCTTTTTATTTGAAGTTTGCGTATTTGTGTGAGACTTAGATATTGCTATCCGTGTGCTATTATTGATTTAAGATAAAATAATTTATCTAACAACTATAAAAGTATTCTAAAATGTAATTTATAATTGAATTAATAATTTAACAGATCGTGTAATAAATTATCTATTCATGGTAACTGTGAGTAAAGGGGGATAGTGAAGGTTTTTAAAGGTCAATTTGCTTTGTTTTATTTTGGGTTCTTTAGGAATACCAGCTGTCCTTAGATTTGTTTTGCACCAGATGGGCACGTTGGCCGCTAAAGAGTTCGGCACGAGCGGCACAACCAACACCGGCAACTGGCCTCACAGTGGCAAGGCGACTCCGCTGACGACGGGGCATCTGACCCCCGCTGACAGGCACGGCTCCGTACAGGTGATTCTTAATATTTATTTCCTTTTAGCGATGTGTGTTACTACTAGTTTTAAATGTGTAGTAGGATATTAAAACTTTATTGTGTGTGAACGCGGATGAGCATAAATAAAGCATAATAAAAATTTACTAGTGGTAGGACCTCTTGTGAGTCCGCGCGGGTAGGTATCACCGCCCTGTTTATTTCTGCCGTGAAGCAGTAATGCGTTTCGGTCTGAAGGTTAGGGCATCCGTTGTAACTATACTGAGATCATTTACGTTGTAGATGTCTATGGGCTCCAGTAACCACTTAACACCAGGTGAGCTGTGAGCACGACTACCCATCTAAGCAATAAAAAATAATACAATCCGCTCGATAGTGGGTGGTCGTTAATGCACATCGATACTGTTAAATTGGGGTCATAGTCAAGTCCCACATATATGATGCACAAAAAGACTTTAAAAGTTTAGAAATCTTCCATACAATCTTACTATTCAATTGTGTGCTTTTAGGAACAACCTTATCGATTAACTTCAGTAATAGTGTCGATACTATATTTAGTTACCCAATCTCCCTATATAGTTGATACTTGGGTCTCTTGACTCAAGTTAGGCGGTTAGGTAACATTGTCGATCTCGTGATAAAAGTATATCGTTTTAACATGACGTGTTTTGAGCAATATCTATGCATTCGTCATTCTCAAATCCTGTCATAAGGGATTATAAAGTTTATTTTTCGGAAAATGTAATGGTTGCAGAAAAAGAAGGCACAAACCGCCACATTGAAAAAAATATGAATATTAACGTCTGATAACTAATTAGGTTCTTTATATGTAGTATGATCGTATCGTTATGTAATTTCACTTTTCTGTTAAAATGTTTCAGTTTAAAATGCATTTCACTGGTAAATGATTAGTGCCGTATTGAATAAACTTGTCGAAACCTGTGTTTTCAACGTTGTTAGTTTAATATCCTGTTTGATTTAATACTTTTTTTAGTGTAATGTTCACTCAAATCACACTATACAGAATACACGAAATTTAAAACAAAAACAACTAAAAAAAGAATGCATGCTCTTGAGACGATACCCTGTCGTATATATGAGTCGACTATCATCAAAGCCGGCAATCTGACTTTTGGACAATGATTGGTAAATCAGAAAAACGAATTATTGACTTTGTATTCCGTTGGCAGTCACAAAACTCTTCGGAACGACATCTTAGATAAATAACAGGTTAAGTATTAACCTTTATTTAATGCAGGTTTTGAACCGTATTCTTTGAAGGAGACGATTATATTCAAATCAATCTGTATTGACATATCAATAAATTTTTTTTGTCCAAATGCACAGATTGCCACCTTTGATAATAGACGACTCATATACCACTGTTGTTGTTATAATTATTATTTGTGCAAATGTTTGGTATGTTCAATTTTATTTTATTTTTAGTTTTTCTTTGTGTCCTCAATTTTATTGTGAATGTATATTGGTGTATTTATTTTTTAGCTATTGAAGAATAAGCATTTTCGGTATGTGAAATTTCCGGGATCGGTTTCAACGGTCAGTTTTGAACATTTTGCGACATACCTTGTGTGAACGTCTGCATGATTGATGCTTACAGATGTTGTGCTACAACTTAATTTTAATGTAACGAATCGAGCCAATCACACGGCGACATACTCGCATTTATGTAGACCAACTTGAGCTAAAACCGTTGGCGGGACCTTTAAAACGAAATAATATAATATAACTAGCTATGCCCGTCCGCTTCGCTGGGCATTTAAAATTAACATTATTATTTCTCACCCCCACAAAGTCTCATCAATAACGCCCCCGCAACTGGTATAGGGAGTCCAACATTCATATAAATGTTAGCTTATCCATTAAGTACATGCATTTTTCTACATGGATACCAAGTTTCAAGTCAATCGGATGCATGGTTCAGTAGTTATAATGGAACATCCGTAAAAACCACTGTAGATTTATATATTATAATATAATAATAATACGTAATGAAATGCTTAAATATTATTTTGAAGAATTTAATTTATATTTTCTCTAGACGTTGTAATGTGAATTCAATTAACACGAACATAAACCAAGTTTTTCTTTATACAGTTAATATATAACTGACTCTTTTTGCATGAGAACAGCATTGTATATAATGCGTCTAGTATACTTGACGTCATCAGCAAGATATGTACGTGGCTTAAGAAATTCATGGATATTATCGGACGATAAGAGTCGCGGCGTCATCCTACGAGCGTTTTTTGTAAATTCGCGCGACATAAAGTTTTAATGGTGGTAGGTAGGATGTCGTGTGAGCCTGCGCAGGTAGGTACCACCACCCTGCCTATTTCTGCCGTGAATCAGTAATGTGTTTCGGCTTAGTCAGCCGTATTGTAAAACTGAGACTTGAAAATCATGTCTAAAATTCAGTGGCGACATTTACGATGTCTGTGTGCTCTGGCGACCATTTTACACATTTCTTTTCATAATATCATTTTTCATAAAAATGGGTTTTCAAATTAAAATAAGACTTGACCTAAAGGTCTTAGTTACCAGGTCATAAAACCCCTTAAAAAAAATTTACAACAGGTATATACCGTGAGCTCGTCCGCTTATCTAAACAAAAAATATTAAAAGTTCCGTAAAGATTTTAGTATAATTAAAAAACATTTTTCGTTTTATCTCAATTACATTATAGCAAAATTAAATGTATTCATGACATTAATTAAATGTATTAATGACACACTAACAGATTGTGTGACATCGCATTTTGTATAGATCCCGTGATTAACAAGAGTTCCGCCGTGTGAAATGGCCGTTACTAAATCGAACGCTTACAAACGAAGCACTGCCAATATTCATTCATAAATATATCACTTTATTGATTTGAGCTTTATTACATAGAAATAACGAACAACACTGATCGCTTATTATTTGCATTTTATTTGCCAGTTTCTTACCACACCGCTTGAGATATGTGCTGCTTCTATATCGTATGAATATGATGATAAATCGATTAACAATTGATCGATAAGTATAGAGTAATTTAGGCGATTTTTTTTTCTTTCTTTTTTTTTTGAGTCATTCACGTGAAAATCATTTTTGTGTTTAGGTCGGTGTGTAAAGAAAATAGTTGTCGATGTGTTGAGGGTAGATGTTATATTTGTTCTGTAGTTATGATAATTGGAGTTGAATTGAGAATGAGCAGGTACCACGGCAGTTGGTATTAAATATAATGTAACGTTTTAATTATATGTGTATTTTAATTATATTTTATCAATTCAAAAATCATCTACACACACAACAAGTGATTCTATATATAAGTTTTTCATTAACTATAGTGCTGGTATCGATTAGAATTATCGATATTAATTATGTATGTATTCGTCGGCCAAGAGTGTTCTCGAATGTTTTTTTTTTGTTCTTTTGTTGACGTATCTCTTAGCAGCTCAAACAGGTAATTTAGCGGCGATAGGGATGTGTACTATTGAAGAGTGAAAGGATTTTGAGAATCGAAGATACGTGTTCAGTTCAAACGTTAAGGTTAGTTCCCCGGTTGGCCGCCAGGTGGTGAGCTCGACCAATGGCGAGCTCGGCGCCGACGACCCGACGGCGGGCCACAGCAACACGCCCATCACGGCGCCGCACCACGAGGTCGACGTGATTGACGACACCAAGTCAGTTTTCCAACTGTATGGACATCTCTTTTTTTATTTTCCTTTTTGGGCTTTTGGGAGGACGGGCGTGGCGCTTTTTTTTCTCGATTAACATTTTTTTTTCTGTCGTATCATCATTTTATCATTAAACATTTAGTCTTTTCGAAATTGGCTTAGACGTTTTATGAGAAGAAAAATTGTAAAAAAAAAAACAACAAATTGGATGACAAAATTCTGAAACAAAATTGATTCCATTTTAATATTGTTTGCTATATGCGCCGGTAGTTGGTAGTTTAAATATTCAATTTGTATTTTACTTAAATTCAAATTTAATATCTTAACAGCTGCTTTAATACTAATCATAATTATAAGAACTAATTGTATTATGAGAAGATTTACTAAAACTAATCATTACATGTAGGTTAAATTTTTTTTTTTTTTAAAAGATCAAAAGTTATTTAGATAATTTAATTAGAATTGAAATAATGTCACAAGAAAGTCTAAAATTCACATTTCGTCGCTTTCGTGTTCACGACATCGACTTCCATAATATGACATAACCCGGCACTGTTGTCCACGGACAGACATTGTAAAATCGTCATGCAGGCAATCGGTTTATTCCAGGTGCTGTTGTTTCTTCAAACGTAAAAAGAAGAAGTGCACCGCGCGCGCGGGCAAGTGACGCGGGACCGTCGCGTGACGTCACCGCGCCCGCCCACGACCGCCGCGCTAACCGCCGCCGCCGCCGAACCACACCGCACCCGGTCACCCGGACCGCGGCTCGACATTACAAAGCCTAAGATCGGAATGAATAATCGAGAAAACTAGCGAAAAAAATTCAATACGGAACCCTGAATATTTATCATAGAGTAAGAATAAGACTCCCTATTTATTTAAGCTACATTTTTTAAATTTTTTTTTAAATAAAACTTACATAGTAAAATGGGGTCTTATCGATATTTGTATCACACTAGCGAGCCCTTCAGGCTGTGATGTCACTGCAAAACTTGAATGTGATGGTAACGCCATCTACCGGGTCTAATTGTAAATCGATATCATCCAGGGATCCAATAAAATATTATAACCAGTCTAAGAGTTCAGTTACTAACACACGTACTGAAGAATTGTAAATGTAAATTATAAATTGGGTTGTATGGATATCTGTATCACACTAGCGAGCCTTTCAAGCTGTGATGTCACTGGAAAACTTGAATGTGATGGTAACGCCATCTACCGGGTCTAATTGTAAATCGATATCGTCCAGGGATCCAATAAAATATATACAATCAGTCTTAAGAGTTCAGTTACTAACACATTTGAGTTATTACGTATTGAAGAATTGTATATGTAAATTATAACTCGACTACAATTAGTAATGTTTTATTTGAAAAGTTTATTATATTATTAATATCCGATCTTATATTTGTATTGTCGAGACCGCTATTGTACTATTCCACTCGTGGTTGCTCGTAATGTCGATTATGATTTGTCTGCTTCAGAACTATTAGTATCGATTCGAATCGACTGTTATATCGATTAAAAGAGATTCGATTAAAATGTTACAAATGTGTTAATAGGGTATGTACGCTCTGTATTTATTGAATTATATAATTTACACGTATCAACAATCGATCCATAGTCAATAAGCGAGTGAGCAACCGGGGTGACTGTAAATAAATTATTTTGCAACAAACACACCCCCAAAATAACTTAGTTCTCAAATCATTAATATTCGCAAGTGTCAGGCATCCTTGATTAGTTAGTTAAAAAGGAAAATTAATCGATACAATGTTCTATTTTTGGACGAATGTGAAAATAGAACAATTTTGTTGTTTGTTTTTTTTTTTTAAATATTTAAATCGAATATCAGATTTTATAATGACGCGGCCATTTTACCTGGTCCCAAATTTAATAAGCCGTTTGTTGTTAAAATAATACGTAAACAATTTTTAGGCTGAAAATTTATTCACAGCGTGTTTTCTTTATGAAAATATTTTATCGAAAACATTACCCTGTGATATTCTCGTTCTAGTTCTGACATAATCAACTGACTGAATATCTCTTGTCTGTCGCTGTCCGTGAAGACGACAGCCTGTCACGATGCTGTAGAAGCGTGAAGCTAGATTAAAATTCGACTTTAAACACGTGAGAATAAGACGCAATTTGGGGTGCTGATCATTTCGGGAAACATTCAGTTACCAAAGCAAGTGGGCGTATGATATTCTAGTTAGGACCGTAACGTGCAGTCGGCGTGTTTTTTTGTTCCCGTCCGTTGAGAATTACGTTTGCGTTCGACCGTAACTCGATTATTTGTGTGTCTGATGTTCGATACGAGATCACTGCGGCTCGTCGAGCCAGTAGCAGATGCGATGTCCATTCCAGCGTGGTCCGAACTAATTCTATGTGTTGTTCAGGCGAGCACCGTTGCGGTATGTGTGTCGCCGGCCTTAGCCGCGTCGCGAGACTGTATACAGGATGTTCGAAATTGTGATTCGGGTTTATAATAAAAAAAGATTATTGGTAGTAGGACCTCTTGTGAGTCCAAGCGGGTGGGTACCACCACCCTGCCTATTTCTGCCGTGAAGCAGTAATGCGTTTCCGTTTGAAGGGTGGGGCAGCCGTTGTAACTATACTTGAGACCTTAGAAGTTATATCTCAAGGTGGGTAGCGCATTTGCGTGATTTCTATGGGTTCTAGTAACCACTTAACACCAGGTGAGCTGTGAACTCGTCCACCAATCGAAGCTATAATAAAAATAATAAAAAAAATATTCGACTGAGACAACCCTATGGATCGTTCCCGTGAAGGGTTTCTGCTTTCTTTACTCTAGCTTTGGTTCCACAGCGAGATAACTAAAGCTGGTGACACACATCCGTCCCTAATTATACATATAAATACATAGCTATTCACTAGTGTCGCTTCATACCGTATAGTGGAGCGGTCAAATATTATTTTTTTACGTTATCTGTCGTTTCGTAATTCCTGCGAGGAGAGCATTGTATATTTTTTTTTTGTATTTTTTTTTTTGTATATTTACATAAGCAATGAATTACCATAACGTGTGAGATATTTGCGACTTCGTAATAAGTCTGTGTGTGTTGAGGGTACGTCCGCTGGAAATGGCGGCTCGGGTACTAAAGCTGAGGGTACATTTATATTCCGATGTCGGTTGTGACGCGGCGATCGCATACGACTGAAGTTTTTTTTTTTTTTTTTGTTACTGATTGGAATGTAAAGACGTCAAACTGCGTACTCCCTAAAACATTTTCGCATAAAATCACAATGTAGTTAGTTGTAAACGTTCACCGATACAGCCATTGTTTTTAGTAAATACGAAACCGTAATTGCTTTTTTAGTTGATTAGTAGATAGTTGATCGAATTATGGTATAGTTGTTGCAAGGTACGATAGCGCGCCGCCCTTCGATGTGTGAGTGACCAATCTGTATACGCGTCAATATAGGCTATACTGGACGTTAGAAGACCGCTTCCGAAATAGAAGACAGACGATAGTACTAATGACACCTTTGATGATGGGACGGAATACAAAAATCGATTCTAATGTCATATTTATAAAACGTTTACTAGTATTATTTATGCTCTATTATGTTAGTACAGCTAAATGACCGATTGTTTCAAAAAAATACATTACTAAAAAAAAACAGCAATGAAACACAAAATCAAAAACAGCTGATGCTCGGGTCAACGAACGCCCGGGCGTGGGGTTTCTTTTACACGCACACAGGAGCGGCGCTGATAGAGAGAGAGAGAGAGAGTATTCTTTATTGTGCACCAACAAAAGAAACAATGCGAAAAATTTAATACAAAAAAAAGTACAATTGGCGGTCTTAGCGCTAAGAGCAATCTCTTCCAGACAACCATCAGGTGGAAAAGAATCGCTTGGAAACTTATAACACTCGGTGTACCTACCAATGCAATTGAAATGTATGATCGATTACAACTACAAATAAAGGTCACACGCGCTCGTACTTTGCAACAACTATGTTGTTGATGGTCCTAAGAGTTGTAGGGGAATTGGACTCAGTATTGTTGAGGTAACGTGACGAACGCCCTCTGATCAAATGTTTCAGTATCAAATGTTGTGGCAATTTTTTTTTTTGATTAAAATCAATTTCAAGGCCGGTTAGTGATTGGAAAATATGATGGTCATTTGTTCAATTGTCCGAGATAAACTATTAAGTTTTTTTTGGTATTTTTTTTATTTATGTAGTATGTGTTGTGTTTGGTATGTACTAAAAATAAAGTTTTATCGGATGTCACGTATTTATATAATTTATTGTAGTAGTTGTAGTTTAAGTATCTCGGGTGTACGTGAGTAGGGACAGGCCGAGTGCGCGAGTCGCCCCGCGGACGAACCCTACGTCATAGTTCTATTTAGTCAATTTCCATGAGCTAAGTTCCGTCTGCGCGAGTTGCCTGCTCCGTTCCTAAGACGCCGCTTATCCATAAAATAAAATTATTTATGCATTACTTACTACGTTTAGTTTATGAGCTGACAACACTGAATCGAACGCGCAATCGTCAGGGAATGCGTACGTTAGAGTTTTAATTAATTTGTGACAAGTCTTTTTTGTTTTTTTTTTTTGTTTAATGAACGCTGATTTTCCACTTGATTACGGTGACATTATTATAATATTGATCGTGCAATAATTTATGTATAAAATCGATGGAATAGTTTTAACAGAGACGCGTGTGCGTTTCGGTTCGCTGCGTCCGGCTAGTCCCAAGCGAACCGGCAACTGTATTCCTACAAGACTGAGTGAGACATTTCAACTAGGGGCACGCGACTCCGCGCCGAAGTCAATTGTGATGCGGTCGGCTTTTTAGGGACCTCGCTCACGGCGACTTTTCGTAGCGATGCTGCCGCGTTTTGTAAGCGCGCTTATGCATCGCTACTATCGCGCGTTAATCGCATTTGTAACGTGCGAAAGAACGCGCGGCTGTATCGATACACATGCGCGATAGCATCGCGACTATCGCTGCAAACGCGTACACACATTTCTGTGTAGAATCTGGGCGATCGCCCACTATGTTTCTCGCCGGATCTTCTCAGTGAATCGCGTTTCCGATCTGGTGGTAGATTCTCCGAAGCACCGCTCTTGCTGGGGCCAATGTTAGCAAATTCTCTCAGGTTGAGCCCGTGAGCTCACCTACACGTCAAGAAGTTGAAATAGCCTCTAAAGGTTATCAGCACAGGTAGGAAAAAAAAAACTGGGCGAACTGTATCGATGAGAACGCGCGATAGCATCGCTACAAAAAGTCGCCGTGGGCGAGGGCTCTTGGTGTCGAGCCGCGCCCCGCCCCCAGGGGCTCCGCACCGACTCGCAGTCTACCGTGTTTTGTCCCTTTCGAACGTCTTCAAACCGGGCTGCTATACTTGGGCCATTATAAACATGCGAACCGAGTCATAAAACATTACTTCAAAGGAATGTGACAATATCGATTAATCGATCGAATTATCGATAAAAAGATGCCGCTCGGGTTCAGGTAGTCAGATGACGTGCTCGTTGATGACTGGTGCATGTAAATTGTAGGTTGTAGAACTTGGTTTGTAAAAATTGTGTTAGTTATCGTTAGACAATCCTACGCGAACCAAGGAAGCGTTATTCGATAACTTAACTTGGTTAAAATTAAAGGGCGATATTTAACGCCCAAACTCGTTCGGTTATTCGTAATATGTTGATAGTATTTAACGAATTAAAAAGTGATTCTAAAAAAATATTTAAAAAAATTAAAATAACGCTTTTTTTTGTGTAATTATATTGATTTTACACATAAAACACTAGTAGTGTGAGCGAGAGATCCGATATGCCTATAAGTGTGAGCGAGATGTCTGATAAAAATGATTTAGGACTCAGTTCGCACGTTTGTAATGGCGCAAGTTATAGTGAGAAAGAGAAATGACGGTATCTGTTGTCGCCCGCTTGGATCGTAAATAGACTGAGTCAAGAGAGAAAGGCGCGCGGCCGCCCCGCCGTCGCCGCACGTGTATAAATTGTTTATAAGCCGCGCCAATAAAGAAATGAATCGAAAATGGCGTCTATGTACCTGCACTGACAGATGGTAGGGTCAACAATTAAAAAGAAAGATAGAAAGAAAAAGTTGTTTATTGTAAAAAAAATAAAAAAAAAATGAGAATGTAGTTTAATTTACTTTGGTGCCCCGGCAGAGGGGGAGGTGTCTCATCTGGGATGCAACTTGCGTAGACACTTTTGCTGCCAGTCAATCTAAGTCGATATTTTTTATATTTTTTTTGCATGCAGTACGCACCGTGTGCGACTAAAGACAGCAATAGCTTAGAGTGAGAGCGCATGATCGCCGCCGCCATTTTAGATTCGCTTCTTTATTGGTGCGGCTTAAACAGATTTAGAATGTTAGAAATACATGTGTATATTTTTGCTTGGACCGGAAGCGGCAGAGTTTCGACAAGCGTGTTTCGCATAGGAGTAAGGTTTGTAGATGTCGCTGCGGTCGGCGTTGTCGGTTGCTCTAAAGTTTTTATAAAGTATTTTTGATTAGTCACCGTTTTGTAGTCATCACAAAATTGTATCCCGTGCATTAGGAGTTATTCATTTGGCTATTGGTAAGTTCAAATGTTTTATATATGTATGTATGTAAACAATAAAAATAACATCTTGTTGTGTCGTTTTCATATTTTAGGGGGGGAAGGGGGAGTGAAGATAATACGAATATTGTCGTTTAAGTTAACGGAAATATTTAAAATTAAGAAAAAAAGTAATAAGAATACAGTTTAATATTGGTTTATTTTTCTTCGTTTGGTAACTTATTGTGAAATATTAAAGTATTCTTGTGGTTTGATTGATCGTTAAGATTATTTTACGATCGTGCAGCGATAATCAAATGTAAACAAAAAAAAAAACATTTTTTCAAAAAAATGATGAGCTGTGTAACTAATTGTTACTTTCTATTTGCTAGATAGAATAATCAAATTAGATCGGGTATTTAAAAAAAAATGAAGTCAAATTGTGTGATCTTTTATTAAGCGAATGAACGATTTTTGCTCCGCGATATTTAATGTGAATGAATTGAATGGATGTCTCGTGATAAGCACCGACTCGGTAATTTTGGAAACAACCTCCGTAACGAAGTTTTATAGAAATGTTAAGGCTGTTATTTTAATACGAACAGTTTGATGCTCGAGAATCGTAATGTAACAAAGTGCTTTGATCTCAAGGGAATTACTGAATTTATAGTTGGTGTTTATTGGCGGTCGACGTTTCACCCAAAAATCGTTATGTTGTGAAGAATGTAAGGTTGGATCCGGGTTCTGTGTGTATTAAATTAGGTAATTATATCATGGAGCGAACTGAATATATATCTTCGCATTTCTGTGCGATAAGTTTTTTTTTTTCAATTTTTTTTGTTCGTATTAATCAAGACTTACCCGCTATCTTATAATGCACATTATTATTTAATTTTCGTATTTCGTCTTCATTCAATGTGATTGAGCGTGTGCACTAATGATGTGTTGGACGTCGCGCGTGTGGGACGTCGATATATCGACGACAGTCACTTTGTTCAGAATTCATGTGGCAATATTCTATTTGGGTAGTTAATTTTAAAGTTTCGCTTACTAAGTAAGTCATGTTCAGTCGCTCGGCTTGAGGACGCACGAGGAAGGTTTTTGAGCTATAGTTATTAAATTTATGTATTTATAATGCAATGATGCTTTTGAAACTGAATTGAATTCTTATTGTAAGTATAAAAATTAATATTAATATTCATAGAAAAAAAAAAAGAGTTCTCAGTGGTTTTTCTTTTCTTCTTCTGTAATTTGTATGGTTAAACGATTTGCGTACGCAATTTGACTTGTATTCAGTTAAGGTCACAACCCTGTTCAAAAGATACGAAAATATTTGTTAACTCATAATTAAATAAAGCTTATTATAAGATACTAGTTTTATTCTTTATGATTTCGTTTTGTCGCCGCGCGCCCGCTGTATTAAAGTTAAGTCATTTTTAGAACAAAACGATGTCGGTGTGCTTAAGATTCTACAATGACGACAATCTATACATATATAAATGAATTGCTGTTCGTTAGTCTCGCTAAAACTCGAGAACGGCTGGACCGATTAGGCTAATTTTGAACTTAAATTATTTGTGGAAGTCCAGAGAAGGTTCAAAAGGTAGATAAATATGAAAATGCTCGGAATTAATAAAAATAACAATTTTGTTTTACCTTTGATGTGTCCCCCGTCGGACGGATTCCTTTTGTTTGTTTTAAGTTTATTTTATACAAAAGCTTAGGTCTTTTATTTATCGATTGAGGCACTACGAAGTCTGCCGGGTCAGCTAGTGATAAATAAAAATAATGTTTGAGCTAAAGTTTAGTTTAGCTGCTAAACTCGACATGAATTCTTTAGTAAGAATACGTTTTTCTTTAAAAGTTTTGGGTTTTCCTCTTCTGTGTCCCAACAAGTCGGTTCCCGTTGCACCGTGATAAGTATAACAGACACTTGAAAGTCAAATGCCTCTTTATTTATAGTCGGTCACTTCATTATATTTGTATTCACGACACTAATAAGCTTTAAGACTACATAATTTCCAAGATCCTTTATTTAAATATGTTTTAATCTAAACTAAACTTTTGTAATATGTAGTTTATAGAAGAGCTCATGAGAATTAAAGTATCCCAATGAAAGACAAATCTTTTCAATAAAATATTTATTCGAACCAAAATAATCAGTATAGGATAACACAACAGTGAATCTTGTCCGCTCTGTAAGTAGATAATATAAAATAATCTAAAACTAATATTGAGATAGAACTATATTTTTACTAGAACAATTAAATCTGTAACTAAAATGTAATTGCACCCAAAAAATAAAATGCTTAAAATTATAGATAGACATGCACAGTGAAAGTGTAATTTCTCTGTAAAAAATATAAAAATTGATTTGTATATATATATTAATTTTGACTTTTAAAAATAAATTATAAACTCTCCGCATATAGTAAATTAATATAAAATTATAATCTTAATTTACGTAATAATCATTCTTCACGATCTCACTAACACATAAAATCTAAGAGACTAAAATTATTAAAATAAAAATTGATCTTAAAATATGGAATCATGAGTCACATACATCTTCTTCACAAATAAACATAAAAAACCACAAATATTCAGGAAAATAATCTAATAGTAAAATTATTATTAAAAGGTAACAAAAAAAAAGTAAACGGAATTTTTAAAGGAATTAAATAATTGTATATTTAAAAGTTATTAGCGGTGCCGTTGACAACAAAACTCCTGACTTCGGTCGTGTTTCTGGTCTCGTGATCGGATACCTCCTCAATGACGATGTCTTCGTTCTTGACGGGTATCGGCGGCATAATGTCGAACAATTCTCCTAATTTCCGTCCCGTGGACAGCAGCGTGTTCGTCAAGAAATCCTCAGTGAGATCCGGTTTGATTTTCGCTTCGATCTTGTAACTGCCGTAATTCTCCTCTTTGACTACCGGCGTTAGGTAATCCCGGCCGTCTTCGTAGTCGAATTCGAGTTTTTTCATACGTTTCTTGAGATTAGGCGGCCAGTCCTCGTCTATGGGGAGGTCGACGTAGCCGTTTGGCAGAACCTTGTGAGTGTCTAGGTTCTTGACGACCTGGTAGTCGTGGTCCGAGTGCGGGCGGTTGAAGGTGATCAGCTCGTCCATGTTGAACTCTCCATCGTCGATCACCGTCTCATCCAACGTCATTTCTACAAAAAAAAAAAAAAACATTGTAATTTAGATAATGTCCAAACTACGAATTTAGAGTAGTGACGTGCGTAGTGAAATTCACGTAAAATCAATTTTTTTTATTGCTTAGATGGGTGTGTGTTAAATGGTTACTGGAGCCCATAGACATATAAAACGTAAATGCGCCACCCACTATGAGATATAAGGTCTCAAGTATAGTTAAAACGACGGCCCCACCCTTCAAACCGAAACGCATTACTGCTTCACGGCAGAAATAGGCAGGGTGGTGGTACCCGCGCGGACTCGCAAGAGGTCCTACCACCAATAAAGATAGTAGGTACTGTTTACATTTTCGATTGAGCTGAAATTATGAAAATAAATGATTTTTTTTATTGCTTAGGTGGGTGGACGAGCTCACGGCCCACCTGGTGTTAAGCGGTTACTGGAGCCCATTGACATCTACAACGTAAATACCCCACCTTGAGATTTAAGTTCTAAGGTCTCAGTATAGTTACTATGTAATTTCCCGCTCGCTTCCATTTGACATTAACCTACGTAACATGTCGCTTATGTGCGTTCATTCTGTGCATGTTTAATTATCACAAAATAATAACGGCAGCAGTATAACTTTACAGATAATCTAATTTTCCTATATAATTTAATTTATTTCTTGTTATTATATTACCACCTATTTATCCAAAGAATCATTTTCTGATCTACTTTGTTAATACATTAGCAATTTCCTTAATGTATTTTTTCATGCAAGAAAATTTAAACAAATCAGTTATGTAATGCACTAGTTGTCCATTGAACTGTTTGAAGCAATAAAACGGGCCTTATGTAAGCTCATCACCACTGAAATGAAAACGTTACGTAATTTCCAGATCCGATACTCATTGTTCGTTTAGAATCTTTTGCAAGTTTCTCCAGTAATCAAAATGGGTTCATGATTCATTTTGAATGTAAACGACAAAAAATATCTTTACACAAACTAGATGACTTCGACATTAAATTTGTTTTTATTTTTGGTGAGGTATAGGTGCTTCGTAAACTCTTCTCTTTAGATATTCTATATCGAGGGGTGAAATACTTATTTGGTTTAAGCGAAATTTTTGCAACTTCATAGGGGAGCCATTTAAAGTTTTAAAATTGGGAATAATATCATAACAAAAAAAATATCGGTACGCGTGCAACTTGGTGCACGTGAATGAAGTGAAACTTCTTTTTCGATGTGTACCTAGTGTGGTTTTCTTCATTTTTCATCCTTAAATCATATTGCTCTTGTAATAGGGAATGCTGTGTATAAGAGATGCGAAATTGATATTATATATATTTTAAATTATAGATAGAAAAATAAATATATTTTTAAATGCTTCTTGATAATATTGCACCTACTCGTTGTTAGCGGTCACTCTGGCCTGTAACAGTTATACTACGCGCATGCGTTTGAGTATCACGCATTCACACTCGCTCTGACTCTTTCTATTCCATAGTAGCGTTAAACGTTTAACGATACCTTGTTAGAAGTCGCATCAGAAGTTTCACTTCAAAAAACTTCTTCAGCTATTTTAATGAGGCGGTAAACTTAATCGAAGTTCAATTAAAAACATCGAATTTTTGATACTGATACCAAAGATCTCTGTAATCTTGTAACGATACTGAAGATCTCTGTAACTATACTGAGATCTTAGAACTTATATCTCAAGGTAGGTGGTGCATATACGTTGTAGATGTCTATGGGCTCCAGTAATCACTTTACACCAGGTGGGCTGTGAGCTCGTCCATGCATCTAAGCAATAAAAAAAGAAAAAAGAAAACGGATCTTTAATTACAAAGATATATAGCTTAATCCAAATAGCCTTTCCACCCCCTTGATATTATTATATAGACGTACTGTTGGTGGCGGAGAGTAGAGCCCGCGTGACTGCAGGGGAGGCGGGCGCGGCCGGGGAGGCGGGCGAGGCGCGGGGCGGGGCCTCGTCGCGGAGGGAGGGCAGCGCCACTAGCGCCACGGACAACAGCAGCACTAGCAGACACGTGGCCGGCTGGGCAGACTTGTTCGTACTGCTACCACTCGCACCCTTTAACACGTTCTGTAAAGATTCAAACGAAAACATAAATTAAACCTGTACTCTAAAAATACCAATTCCATATTTTATTGTAACAAAAATTGACAATTAGGATTTGACAGCAATTTTCAATCTTAAGTTGACAGTAATTTTCCGCGTAATAAAGTAATTTGAATTGTCGGCGCCATCTAGTGTTGTTCAGATGCAATCAACCTTACGGTATCGAAAACTAAAGATTGAAAATTTTCGAAATCTCCGTTATAAATAATATAAAATGTAATTTCTCTCAAATTTCGTTACGAAAATGCCTTTCATTGAGTAACAACTGTTACTTCTAACAAGTACACTTTCCTTGAAAAAAAAACTAATTAAAATTGTGGGTAGGCTCAATCATAATCCGATGATTTACCTGTAAACGTTTCAACTGAGCACTCAGTGACTGGTTCTGTGACTGCAGTATTTTTATCCTCCTAATTAACGTCTGGTTCTCTGCAGTACACTGTTTTACCCTGAAACAAAAGTATTGCTCAGTCTTTCCTTATTATTGCGTCATATTTAGCAACTAAATTATTCTTCAGTGTCTTAAAGCAATATTTTCAAACAATTTCGATGTTATTTACATCCTATTCTACTTCTAACATAGGTTAGGTTAATGAAATTTAGAGCATACCGACATGTATAGATACATTTGCCAATAAGTAATTCGTGGCAATAGATCGCTCATAAATTAGTTGCACAATTAATTTACTACTAAAATTTATATAAAGAAAGAGATTATTAAGTATTCAATATTAGTAATCTAAAACAGATTAGTACTGTTTTAGTATTGACGTTTGAAGTTATCGGATGTTTAGTTAATTGTCAAAAGGTTTTTGACCTCGCGCTTCAATTAATTATTGCCAACATCACGCGTATTTTTTTTTTTCTTTGTTAAAGTCATACTGTCATCAGCGACTTTTTGGCGGGATAAAAATATGAATATAAATTTTAAAAAAACATGACCTAAAGGTTTTAGTCACCAGGTCATAAAATCCCTTAAAAATAGCGTCATCAGCAATTAGCAGTACCATTGTTCTTTATTCAGCGACTTTTTGGCGGGATAAAAATATGAATATAAATTAAAAAAAGACATGACCTAAAGGTCTTAGTTACCAGGTCATAAAATCCCTTAAAAATACCGTCATCAGCAATTAGCAGTACCATTGTTCTTTATAATCGTGAACGATTCCGATGCACGATTTGACGTTTACAACTCGAACCGGCAGTGTGAAGTTATTACCTGTCTTCGAGTCCATCGACATATTCCTTCTTGCGTTTCCTCGAGTCCTGAGCTGAGATCTTGTTCCTGATTTTGCGTCTGATCCTCTTCAGCTCCCGTTCCTCGTGTTTCGTGAGCGGATAGCTGGTGGGTAGCGTGATGCCCTCCTTCGCCAAGAGGCGGCGCTCCTCGGCGGTGAGCACGAGGCGCGGGTACCCGTTGCGGCCATCGCTGACCTGAGTCTCCTTGTGGTCGTCGTCATCGTCGCTGCGTTCGCTTCCTGAGTCATCTAATTGGGGCAATAAATTTATGTTTGTACAACAACAAACAACAAGAAAGAAATTCGTCATATATTTCACTGGTGATAAGACCTCTTGTGAGTCCGCACGGGTAGGTACCACCACCCTGCCTGTTTCGCCGTTTAAGCTCTAATGCGTTTCGGTTTGAAGGGTGGGGCAGCCGTTGTAACTATACTGAGACCTTACAGCTTATATCTCAAGGTGGATGGCGCATTTACGTTGTAAATGTCTATGGGCTCCAGTAACCACTTATCTGTGGGCTGTGAGCTCGTCCACCCATCTAAGCAATAAATAAAAAAATCGAATTGCACAAGTCCCTTAAAAGATCGAGCAACGCGTTACGTTCAGAAATACACTTGACTTGTGGAAGGAAATAACATAAAAAGACTTGCATTTTTAATACTTTTTTAAATATAATTGAAGTATTGCGAATTAGGGTTTTCATAGTTTTCCGTTTCCACTACCAAGAAACCATAACTTAATTAGGGGCGGTTTAACATTCACAATGGAATGATCGGAACATGACATGAAAATGAAATTCTGCGTTGACTTAACACTAACGACATATACGATGAGATAAATTTAGAAATATCAACGATCATTGCAACCTCTTGACAGCTCCAAATAATATTTGATCTATAATAACTTTTTCATTGTAACGCCAAGCATTGACCGTCCTCGCAACAGTACGAGTCATTTAGACTCAAATATTTGTAGACGATAAATCAGTGTGAGATGGGCCTTAATGGGTCCAACGACCACATCTATCAATAAAGGCGGCGACAACGCCAACAATTGCTTTTAATCGAGCAAACGATAGCTCAAATAAGGCCAGGACTCACCGCAATTATTGTTGTGTTCGTACTCGTATTCATTTCTGGATTCTTTCAAGTCGTTGAGTTTGCTTTGCGATAACAAATTCGCCGCCGCCAACTTTATATTCGACGCGTTCTTCAAGTCTGCCGCGTTTATAATCTTTATCGATTTCAAATCTTTCATGTCTTTAATCGTGACGGGCAACAATATCGAGCGCGGATTTCCCGCCATCGGGGCCACCCGGATAACTCGCCGCTGGGGCGCGACTGATTCGACCGGTTTCGAATAGACTTTAGTCTGCGGGTTCAGTACTTGTATGTTGGCCACTTTGACCGGTTTCTGCGGTTGGGCCGTCACGATTAGCTGCGGTTTTTGCGTGGTCCCGGGCAACTTTATCGTCGGCTTGTGGTGTTTGGTTTGGACGGCATTTAGCGACGACGTTGAAGGGCGACGTTTTCGCCCGTTCTTACCTACGACAATTTCATCNGGTTTCGAATAGACTTTAGTCTGCGGGTTCAGTACTTGTATGTTGGCCACTTTGACCGGTTTCTGCGGTTGGGCCGTCACGATTAGCTGCGGTTTTTGCGTGGTCCCGGGCAACTTTATCGTCGGCTTGTGGTGTTTGGTTTGGACGGCATTTAGCGACGACGTTGAAGGGCGACGTTTTCGCCCGTTCTTACCTACGACAATTTCATCCGCATTACAATTTCGCTAAGACCCCGTGTGCAAAATTCAAGCCTCTCCGCCCGTTTTTTTTAGCAGTACCAACAAGCGGGAATAAACATTATAATATTTACAGTTTCGTAATAATGAAGCGTTTTGCAGTTTTAAAAGTAAGCGCGTGAGTTAATGATGGTTCATGCGTGATGTTAGTAATAGAAATAAAATCGACACGTTCAAGATTAGTGCGGTATTGAAATACTGTTTGCGACCCAAAATACGTAAACCGCAAGCATTTCCACAATGTTTGCTCAATCGACCAATGCAAACAACAGGCTACCTCGTTACGATTCGTGTTATTAGATAATTACAATAAAAAGTCTTAATGAACAATGTTAGTTAATGTGTAAGCACCGGAGAATACAGGAACAGTAAGCCAGAATTTTGATAGAATGTGAATCTGGAAACTAGCGAAAACTTATTAAGTTATAAGCAATAGAATGGCGTATGTTAAGGTATTGTTGATTCAAGTGTTGTCGAATGAGTAAGAAACGTTGAGGTCACATGTTTGAGGGCCACATATGTTTTTTTTTATGGAATTTTAGTAAACATATTCGAAACATTACAGATAGAGAAATATCTTCGGAATTATTGTGGAACTAATACCGTGTGTACCTGTGTGTAACTTTATCTTGAGATCAAACTTGTTTGTTGATAAAACGATCTTCACTAAAACTCGAATATCGTACGTATTTTTAAAGTTAGATTTAAGATAAGATGTAGTTACAGACTACAATAATGTATTTTTATTTGAATTAGAGCTGTGCGTGAATTTTTGAAAAAAAAAACATGTATATACCTACAAGATAAATATAACGACTCAGATTCATATACCCATCAAAAAAATAATTTCTTCGAATGAACTTTCCAGAAAGCATTTTCATAGTTATTGTTGATTCTGAATACCAAACGACTTCATAGGAACTCAAACGCATAAAACTTTATGACCATTTTTATTTATTAAATCAATACAGCTGATTTGATAAAAAAAAATGACACTAAACATTCACTAAAGAATTGTCATATTATAAGTACGATGGCCGTACGGTTGTCAGAACAACATGCGGTAAATAGTTTGGCCATAAAACACTACTCACCCGGGCTGTGGAATGTATTCGCATTAATGAATCCGGGGACGACGTTCTGCTCGAAGTCCTGCATATCGAAGACGTCGTCCGCGAGGTCCGTGGAGCTATTGGACGTATCATTCGAATCCCGGATGACGACATCCTGAGTGCTGGGGCTCGTGGGTCCGTCGACTATCGGAGCCGGCAGTTCCTCCTCGCACGAATTTTGTATGAGAAACGGGGACAGTTGCTGTTCAAAATCGCTGTAACAATTTGGATTTTTATGTTTTGCAATAGAACGTAAAATAAAATTTGACTCCCGAAAATTTGACTTGAAGGTCGGTTAATATATTGAAGGAATGTTGTATTTCCGAAATGTCATGTCTATCTTCAAAAACGGCTTCGGAGTGTAGTGAGTAAAAGCGCGATAGTGATTCTGACATCGACGTTGCCCATGATCAAAGACGACAACATTCCACCAAGCACATGTATAAGGGAATTGGTATGTACAGGTTTTTCAAATTTCCTGATGTACCTACTTGACGGACGTTATGTCCAATGTATTCACGAATGTATAGAGTTAGCAGTAGGTATATGAAGTTGTTGAAAATATTGAAATTGCCCGAATATCGATTAATATTTTGATTGACGACGAGATTATGATAATAAAAGTATTTAACTAATTCATGAGTGATTTCTTGACCTTACTCATACGTACATATTTATGTTTGTATGTTATAAAGATCATTAACCGAACCTATGTAATAGAATAAAAGCTCGAGCAGCTGTTAGCTAATCCCACCCTTGCTCGCCCACCTATCCTGGTAAAACTGGAAAGGTCTCCGGGCCACCAGTAGTCCTTTAATAATGAATGACCAAAAAAAAGTGAAGGGTTTTTAATATTGTACCACGTTTAAAAAAAAGACACTGGTATAGACATCAAAATATCTGACGTGTTTCACTTCTCTTAGTCACAAATGATGATGAGCGCTAAGCCCCAGACAACATGATGTAATCATCGTGAGTTTGTTTGTAGCCAACGTGTATCTGTGTTTGATAGAGTTTTAAGTAGTCTCGTAGTATTTAGTTGAAACAATATTTTTACAGTGCTACGTAATAATAATGATCCACTCTTATTTGCGTAGCTAGAATTAATGCGTTTTGATTGGTTAGGGGCGTTAGGGCTCGCGTTTTAAGATTTCTGTTTTAACTGCTCTTGTTAGGACTAGTGTTAGTAAATTCTCTCAGGTTGTACCCGTGAGCTCACCTACCCACCCGGGCGTAACTGGAATAAACTCTTAGGCTACCAGCTCAGAGGTAGAAAAATAAAACGGTTTTAGCCTTCGCAAATACGTCAATATTTAATTAGATTTCTTGATAGAATTTTTTAAGAAGTTGTAGCCTCGACCTTACAACTCAAGACGCGTGACAGACATGTCATTCACATGCCGATCCGGTCACGATCTCACAGGTCGCTAGCAAGTTTCACCACGTAAATAAAGTGTTTTTTCTTTCGTACAACTCCTGTTTTCACACCTACGATGTGAATTAAGCATCATTATACCAATGAACAAATATATTAGCGAGAAACGCTTAGGTACACACAGCTAAGGTCGTTTGTGTGTTACAGAATAAACATGTAACGAACAGGTGTTTGTTTGTTTTGAACATAATATATTAATATGAATTATAATTTCTATCTATTTTGACTCAGAACGTCCCGAAGGGCAAACAATTTTGAACGGTTGTGGCGGGTAGCCATCATACAACGCAAGATAATTGACAGATGCCTGAATCTCGCTTACGACATTTTCAAGATAAGCTTGCATATATACAAGTCAACATTCGGACCGTCGGTCTACCGAGCAATATCACCCGCTCGGTGGAAGATCTGCCCTTTGTCGTAAGCCCCAAACGGTAGCTTCGGCCATGGATATGATAATGGCATAAGCATAGCTGTATTACTAGTTATCGTAAATATGTTATTACGTTCTGAACAATATATGTAGATATCGCTTGTGTGCAAATTAACAACCAATATGGCACAAAAAACCATAGGTTGCAATTATGAACAAACATCACATTACATGCGTATTAAAATACATAGGTATTTAATGTCATAAAAACAATAACTGTAATATGCAATTTATTATATTTTAATTTTATTATTATTATTATTATTTTTATTGCTTAGATGGATGGACGATCTCACAGCCCACCTGGTGTTAAGTGGTTACTGGAGCCCATAGACATCTACAACGTAAATGCGCCACCCACCTCGAGATTAGCGGTAGGCAGCGGCTTGGCTCTGCCCCTGGCATTGCTGAAGTCCATGGGCAACGGTAATCACTCACCATCAGGTGGGCCGTATGCTCGTCTGCCTACAAGGGCAATAAAAAAAATAAAAAAAGATATAAGTTCTAAGGTCTCAGTATAGTTACAACGGTTACCCCCACCCTTCCAACCGAAACGCATTACTGCTTCACGGCGGAAATAGGCGGGGTGGTGGTACCTACCCATGCGGACTCCCAAGAGGTCCTACCACCAGTATTTATTATAGTCGTTTTATTTTGATACTAACATAGTTTTAAGAGTTCTACTAACATAACGAGTACTGGTTACTTTAACATAATAATATAAAGAAATAATAATAATAATTAACTATTAATAAAAACATAGAGCAAGCAAAGATTTTCATTAGAAGACGAACAAAATTGGTACGTATATCAGGTATTTACTTAGAACAATTATTGAGAGTTATGAGAATTTGTCTACATTTATACCGTCGTTGCACAGTGCTATAAATACTGTTACATCAGAGTCAAGAATGTTATCAATCCACAGCACTTACTCCAAGATAAGACTTTTAAGTCCGGTATTTTTGGTACTTCATAACTTTTTTAACATGGAAGGGAAGCGCGCTAGAGGAAGAGCGCCAGCTAGATGGGTTGACCAACTCAAGGAGGTGACTGGAGGCCAGATATGGGGAGCGGTACATATGGCGCAGAACCGGACCGAGTGGTGAAGATTGACATACAGTCACGATCCTCAGCATTGAGGAAACGACCAGAAAGAGAAAAGAGATAACTTTTTTCGACTTCATTGGATAATTAGCCTATTGTTAAGTTTGTTTTGGGGCACACGTCCTCGTCAGCAATTTCAAGCATCCATTCTCCCAAAAAAATTTTTTATGTGCTTAGATGTGTGGACGGCCTCACAGCCCACCTGGTGTTAAGCGGTTACGGGAGCCCATAGACATCTACGACGTAAATGCGCCACCCACCTTGAAATATAAGTTCTAAGGTCTCAAGTATAGTTACAACGGCTGCCCCACCCTTCAAACCGAAACGCATTACTGCTTCACGGCAGAAATAGGCAGGGTACCTACCTACGCGGACTCACAAGAGGTCCTACCATCAGTAAAGCATTCAAAAGAAGTGAAAATTCAGACTGATTTTCATCTTATCCATATAATAATTCTAATAACTGGGAGCAAATACACACGGTCATCCGGCCCCAAATTAGGATTCCCTGGGTTATGGGTACCACAGACCTGTCATACGTACATACTCGTATACGTTTAAATATATACATAATAAACACCCAGACAAAGAGCCACGACCCTCGGAGCAATAGTCAGATGCACTAGCTACTACACCGCCGAGTCAGTACTTAACTTAAAGCTCCCCCCTCGGACGGAGGAACTCTACAATCGGCCATGATCATATCGTTGGTAAATCGAAAATTAGCTGCATCAAAGCGTCAGTTATCATGGCCGCCGCTAACTATATAACCGATCCTACGGACCGAATGGTAAACAGTCGACGTCGCCCTAAACACGTCATTTCAGATCCTCCCGATCCACTATCGGTGCTTTTAGGTACGTCAAGTACCGGTTATCGTTCTCGTCGAACTCGTCGCTTGCGACGAAGGGTGAGTAAAGTAACCTACAGACACAGCCTAGTGAGTATCTCGCCGGACTTTCTCAGTGGTTCTCGCTTCCGATCCGGTGGTAGATTCTGCGAAGCACTGCTCTTGCTAGGGCTAGTGTTAGCAACGTCCTCAGATTAGAACCCCTCGCCTAGATTAGGTAGGAAAAAAATTTGCGCAGTATTGCTATCGATAATATTTTTTATTTTCAATTTGATTTTCGTATTCTTGAATTGTTCGAACCGGACAATCAATAATCATTGTAATCAATCTTAAAAAATGATTTATTTAACTAGACTATCGTCTACAGGTAGGTACTATCGGAGATTCAAAATGTTTATCTACTATTTTATTATCTTAATGAGCTCTTCCTTGTTTTTTTGAACGCAAACGTAATCATTTATACTTTTTTTATATTATCAACGATAACAATGAATGATACTAAATTATAGAGAGATATCAAAACAGCGTAGCTTCCGATGAAACTGGCTAGGCACTTATTCTTGTAAAATGTGAACAAGTTCATCTTATTACCATAACGAGTTTCAGGTTATGGCATCTAGTGAAAACCGTGTTAGAATGTTAAACTTGAATAGGCTTTTCTGATGAATATGAAGTGGATTTAATGAAAGTCGCTTTTAGATCACTTCCCACGATTATTTTGTTGTCTCATAAATTATGCAATCGCGATAAATAAAACGAATATTTAGCTTTTTTTTATGTAGTTTTCTTTTTAACACCCTCATATTTGGTTCAGTAGGTATGTATCTTTGAACATAATATTAACAGAATTCAATATCCAATTATTTGGAAAATTGCATACGCATCAAGAACCTATGAAAATATAAAAAAAAGGAATATCGTCGTTATAATTTTCTAACCAGTGTTAAAGGGATAAAATAGATGAACCCAGCTGTTATTTCGATTTTTGTTTTGTCTTTAGGCTACATTTATTATTTCTGAAAGTAAAAATTAAAAAAAAAACTTCAAGCATACGCACATGTCAGCTGTTACTGGTAGTGTGATTTGTATTATAATAGTTATTAGTGTTCGTCCAACGGTTAAAATTCGACCATAATCATTTACATTACAATAGGTAGGAGAGAAAAAAACAACTTTTTTTTCATTGATAACAAACAATTTTGGAAGTGATAGATAATTGATAACAAGCAATTTTGGAAGTGATAGATACTCCTCAAGAATACCTAAATACAAACTTGTCAATGAAAACAAAGGTAGATGTCGTCTATTTAAAAAAAGGACGATGCTAAGTTCTCAATCTCCGTCCTTGTTTCTCAACCGTAAAGGTAGTTACATTTCTGTGACATGTACT